TCAGGAGGAAAAGAACGAGCTGCTCGGGTAACTCGCTGAGCTAACCTCATATGGCACATCCTGCCCACGCCGAATGATATATAGCATAGCTCATCATAAAGAAATATCCGCTTCGATATCGATACGAGAACTCACTCTTGCGAGTATTCGGGACACTGAACGGCGGAAAAGGTCCCGCATAGAAGCGCTAGATGACAAAGCGGCAGCTGCTAATGCATATTGAAAACTTTGCCAAAGGATCGGTTTGGCGCTGCATAAGTGCGGCGTTGTCAGCAGATGCCGAACCATCGTGTTCCGGGTCCGGTCGAACCCCTGCTCCAACCGTGCGACGCGGCATCGGACGATGATCATATCTGCAAGGCTGAGCCCAAAATCGATTTCTAATACATTCGGCTGCATGCAGATTTGACAGGGAGGCTAGTTGGGAATGGCCATGTGGGTTGTTGTCTTTTATGTTATGGGGATCCTTGCGAATGTGCGTTGTTGGTGGTTCTGTTCATCGAACGCCTCCAGTGAGATACAGACGCGCTGCAGAGGCGCGTGCAGATGGTGGTATTAGAAGGCAATATGGGATGAGATGTCATTGATCTATTATTCGTTAATCGTCACACTATGTAAGATTATGTACTGCCATCCCTTGGCGACAAATCAGTCCCTCCTGAACCCGTTGTTTTCGGGTTTCCAACAGTTATTATCATTATTTTTGATCACTAGTCATTGAGGTTAGCAACGGCGCATCACCGTGTGATTGAAAACTTGAGCTTACAACATCGATCCATCTAGCCATCCACTTGTTGACAGCAGCCTTGGCCTCATCAACGAGGCCAAGCTCGAGAAGCAGCTGCACAGACCCGCGGATTCCAGACTCGAGGGCAGAGGCGATCCAGGCGTGGGTGTAGGAAGTGTGCTCGCCAATGAAGATCATCTGATTGTGCAATGTTAGCATTCTCTTCTTTGCTCGGTAATCTAGTCAAGAGCAGGTCATAACTTACGTTGTCGTACGTCTTGAAGTACTCGGGGATGTAAAGCTGATGCTGGCCGGCAACGGGGCTGACCCAGCTACCGCTCTCAAGGGGGTCGAGAACCCAGCAGCGGCGGTTGTACTTGCCTGTGTACAGCTCACGGGTGTTCTCGCCGTGAATCTCAACCATGGCATCGAGAACGTACTGGACGTGCTCTTCCTCCGAGACGGAAGCCCAGCGGTGGCCCCAGTCGCCCGAGATGTATGAGGCCAACATGGTGGCCTTGCCTGTGCCGTTGATGTTGTACGAGGGGTAGCACGTGGAGCCGATACCAGCAATGTCAGAGGTGGTACTGCAGCCGCCGACGATGGGGTTTTCGTAGTGCTCCCAGAAGCGCTCGGAGAACTCGAGGGCGACCTTGCAGGCGCTGGTGTAGGGAAGCTCCTTGATGGCGTTGGAGATGGTCAAAGGCAGGGAGGGAAGGCGCCACTTGCGAATGATGGAGAAGGGAACAGCCAGCAGGGCGTAGTCGTACTCAGAGGTCTCAAAGGTCTGGTTCTTGAAGGACTCGCGCCATTGGAGGTTGACCTTGGAGTTCTCCGAGTCAAACTGCACGCGCTCAATCTTACGGTCCATGGTGGTGATGTCGTCAACGAGAGGGTGGAAGGCCAATGGGAGACGGCTGAGACCGCCGTCGATGGTCTTGTAAGAAGCAGCCTGGAAGTACATGCCCTCGTAGAGAGTGTCCCAGAACGAGGTGGCGGTATAGCTGCCCAGGGCATCCGTGTCGTTGAGAGAGCCCTTCAGGTAGTTCACCATGAAGGCATACTCGGACCAGACATCGCCACCGAGACCCTGGAGACCAGAGTCGAGGAACTCGCGGTGGGCCTTGAACATGTTCTGAGCCATGCGGACAGAAAAGTCACTGCCAGGAAGATACTCGTCGACCTTCTCATTGAGGGTGTTGGTAGACTCATCGTAGACAGTGGCGACAGCCAGAGATGAGTTGGCGGCGATCTGAGCCAGAGTAGGGGGCAGACCGTTGGGTAGCTTGATGCCGTTCATGTAGGAGAGACCGTTCTGGTTGCTCTGGATCCAGGGGATGAAGTCAACGCTAAGGTTCTTGTCGTGCTTGTTGAGCTCGTTCATCTCCGCGGCAAGCTGGAAGACGAGCTGGTGATCCGTGATGTTGTAGGTGGTGTTGGTCTTGGGGTCGACGTAGTGCTCAGGGAAGCGCATGGGACCCATCTCCTGGTAGGAGTAGTCAAAGGGACCACCACTGAGGTACTCGGTGTGCACACGGCCTCCCAAACGCTGACCAGCCTCGATGATGCTGATGTTGGTCATGCCCGCCTGCGAGAGGACGAGGTAGCTCATCAGACCAGCCATTCCGGCGCCGACAATGGCAACGTGCTTGGACTTTGCAGCGTCGACATCCACGGTGGTAGGCTCCTTGTCCTTGAGGAGATTGACACCCTCAAACCAGGCTCCGAGCGTGTCGATGCCGGTGCCGTTGTTCATCTCAATAGCTATAGCGCGTTAGATCATGAGATAGTACATCATCGTTGCGAGCACACTTACATCTCTTCAGAGCCCGACGCTTCCACTTGTGGTGAAGAGTCTGGGGTTCACTCCGGCCCTTCAACTCGCCAGAAACACTCCACGCAGAGATGCATCCGTCGGTGGCAGCATCCTCGGGGAGGACCCAGACGAGACGCTGAGAGTTGCGCACCTCTGACTTGACGATGGTGTGATGAGCATCGCCCATTGAGGCACCCCGGCATGAGCCGTAGGTGAATGTGACGGTCTCCTCGATGGGCTCCTCGAGAGTGATGTGAATGTTGGATACGCGAGAGGTGACTGCGCTCCTTGTCTCGAGCTTCATGGGAAGTCCAGAAGCCGCCGCAAGGGCGCTTCCGGCAACGAAAGAGAGGAACCAACGAGCCATTGTAAATGGAGAAGGCTGATCAGAGGGAATCCGGGGTAAGCTTGGCGTGAGGATGAATCTCTAGGAATTCCTCGTCTCCTTGTCAAAGATGCGCCCGCACCTCTTTATAGTCAGGCACAGGTGTCGATGATAGTACGCCGGTAACGAGTAAGACGCCGGCCACTACCCGGACTGTCGTCAAATCGATATCGATCCCGGTGTAGCCTCGAGAACGCGGCCGACGGCCACAGCATGAACCGTACCATCGGTGCCCAATCCATGAATACTACGATATTGGTCATCGGATGACAACCGGTTGGGACTTGGCGGTGTCGGACCGCTTACACTACAAGTGGCACTTGGACGACGGTAGATACAACGTCAAGGGTAGCTGGTACTGGAACAATATTCGGCAAGCCTGGGCTCCATCGGAGACTTTCCCGCGCCTTTTGCTTTCCTTCCCTTGTTGAAAGCATCAACTATGCCAGAAGAAGCAGGTGAGAAATGACAATCAAAAGGCACTTCGATGGCTCACCATGTGGTTGCCATGCAGACTGACGTCGCACACGGGCGGATGTCGTCTGTTTAGAGGATCCGAGTCATTGGATGTTGGACGTTATCAGTGGAGGCGGTGCGGTGTAGGCGGGAAGATAGGGTCGAGAAGCCATAGCGGCCGAATTCAACGTGTTTGGCGGGGCGAACGAACCCATGCCGTATACGACGGCCCCGTTCTCTTGGAGTCTTAGCCTCCGGAGGCCGCGGTGGGGGAAGAGGAGAGAGGGCGAAGGATTGTGTGGAGGTTCGAGGTTACCGAGACCGGGAACCTATCAGCTTGTTCATCTGCCGTGGCTATGTTGTCGGCGCCTTAGTTCGTCTCTTCGCGCCCTTGGGATGAACATGGCAGATGGAGATCATGGGATAAGACGGGGATGCCAGGGATGTTGGCTGTAGACTTGCAGTTTACCGGCTCACTCCGGGAGAGTCATAGGTTGAAGTCATCTACTCCGATGTGATAGCCAGCGTTGCCTGGCGGACTTTGCGGTGATGGCGGTGCAGTCTTACATCCGAAACATCGAGCAATACATTCCGTCGAAGCTAGCGTAAGCTCGCCCGAGATCAAGTTGTGTAACTGAACGAAATGTACGACCATGCGTAGGCACAAACCAGAGAGTCGGCCTTACGCCGCTTGGCATATTCCTTCTCTCTGACATAAGCGAGTGGGCCTGCGATATCTACGATGGAAGATAAGATATATCCGTAGATAGATAGGCTCAACAGAGGAGACCACAACTTTGTGGCATCATCTCGGGTTTGTATGCGTGAGTTGACCGGCCCGGCTCCGGTAACGGGTTGCTCTCAAGGTTGATTTACAATCATCGAATAGATTGCTGTAGGTAATGTGGATTTGGGTGGGAAAGTTTCTGTCTTTGCCAGCCGGGAACCTGGAAACCGCGAATCAATAATTGAGATAAGGACAAATACCGCAACAACACAGCTTCGGGGGGATTCAAGGTTGAGGTGGACAAGAGTGCCGAGCTCCCCACTAATTGGTTGAGATAGCCGATCCGAATCCCACGGGAAAAGATAAGGGATGCATTGGTTTTAGTCTCGGCATGTGGGCGGGGAAGCAAGATGGTTGGTTGGTGGTGCTGTTCAGAGAATCAAAACTTGAAGAGAGAAAGAGAAGAAGAAACCAACAACTTGTCTCCAAAAGTCGTGATAGTTGTAGTTGAATGTAGTTGAGCAAAGTCTATCTTGGCGTACGAGAGTTTCGGGTAGTGAGCTGACTCTCATGGGGAATAGAGTGTGACGGGCGCAAGGGTTCAAGTTGCAGAAAGCATCCTTTGGTGTAATGGCATCATTGGTAGCCAATAAACGCCCCGGAATGACAGAAGATTCCGAGCGGGAATCTCCACAATCGCAGAGTGCCGAGAGTTTTGCAGATTGAACGCACCGCTTGGCTCGCTTGATGGCTTCCGCGGCTCTGCAACTCTCTTCTCAACTGCCCAAACCCGTTAATCCCCCCATCGTCCTCCCGTCAAATCGGTCACGATCACCTAAGTAGAGATCTTATTGCAGAATCCGGGGTAACTTGCGCCCGCAACTCTACGCCCGCACCTTCGCACCTGCCGTACGCACAACCTCTGTCCGCAAACCGGTCACACATCACCACGTAGCGCCAGGAACAACTGGCTGGCGTCTCGTCACATTGGATAGAGAAAGAGCCTGAAGTTACACCAGAGCTGGGTTCAGTGGTCTACGAGAAGCACGCAATGGCAGAGGCCGCAGCCACAACGCCAGAGACCCCGCCATGGTGGGCGGCCTTTCCCGCTCCCAAAGCCAAGTCACCGGAAATCGAGGCAAATGAGGTGATGGGGTTGCTTGAGGCTCAAGCTGCGGCTGGTAACGACACATCCCGAGATTTCCTGCTCGTTGATGTGCGCCGGAACGACTTTGAAGGCGGCACCATCTCAACGTCCATCAACTTTCCAGCCCAATCCCTCTATCAGACAAGAACAATCATTCATCAGCTGTGCAAACAGGCTGGTATCAAGCGTGTTGTATTTTACTGCGGTGAGTTCCGCCGTTTGCCTTTTGTGACTGTCTAGACCTCTTTTTGGCATTTCCCCCCTTGCTGAAGCCGCTCAGGAAGCAGTAATGGCCGTGGTCCCAGGTCAGCGAATTGGCTGCAGGACTATTTCAACGAGATCGGCGAAACAACCGTGCAGGCCGTCATCCTCAAAGGCGGCATCAAGGGCTGGGTTCGTAGGTATGGCGGCCGTAAGATGGACTGGTATGACGAGAAGACCTGGGCCGGTCTCGACAAATAGACACGCCCCGCTCCGTCCCGGCCTATGGTAGGCTGCACATTCCTACTTCTGAACCGTTTGAATGTGACATCGTTGTGCTGGTATCTAGCATATTTCATCCCCATCCTTGTCTCTGAAACCAAAAATCATCTTTTTGCCGTCATAACGCCAACTTGTAAAACATGTGCTGCATTCTCGCGGAAGTCGACCACCGGGCAGAGATGCCCCGTTTACCGCTGGTGGTTGCGATCGTCGCCGCCGATTCTCTCGAGAGCCTCCAGCATGACAACGGAGTTGCCGCGGATGACCTGTTGCTGTGTTAGTGTCTATAGCCCAAGGCAGGTTGCAGAGGGGCTTTTGTAACATACCACCATGCCTATCCGAACCTTCTCGCCGCCCTCCTTCTCCTCGACCGCCTCGTCCAGCACGATGTTCAGGAAAACCTGCGCCACAGGTTAGCAGGGTTCGCATCCAAGCAGATTGTCAGGGAATTGCGTACATCGTAACCGCGGAGGACACCGATGACCTTGCGGCTGCCGTTGAGCTGCACAAACAGTCTCTTGTCAAGGTACTGGAAGACAAGTTAGCTTTCTGAACTCTCAAACAGTACTGGGGACAATGAGGAATGGCCAAGCAGCTTGCATGGCTTCCGTTATCTGGCAGTACATCAAACAGGTCTGGAGACTCTGGTATGTCTGTGAGGAATCGGGGCTTCCGTACCTTCTTCAGCTCGGGCTGTGCGGGCGCCATGTTGACTAGTTGTGTGGGTAGGTGTAGAGTGCCGGGAATCGGTGCAATGGGTGGGTGCCGATTTGATGATGTCGCGCGAGATGAGCTTTGCGACGCGACGGAGCTCTTTGCACCTCAGCCTGACCGAGGGGGACCGTTATCTGGAAAATTGGGTGGAGTCACGTGGAGATAAACTTCTTATCGGCGCGTTATCGATTCGACCTTTTGAGAGGTCGCGAAGCTGCCTGTCCGACTGACATCACATCAACAAAAGTCGCATTTGCAACCTCAAATTGTACAAAATGAGTGCATTCACGCCAAAACGAAAAGCGAAAGTAATCAAGGTCCTTGATGACGACGAAGATTACACGGGAAAAGCTTCGCCAACTGGCCAAGCGCCAGTGAAAGATGGTGAGTCTGCAGACCCCTTCTAGAGACCTTGCGCTGATATAGTTCGCAAGGCTAATGAGTCTCTAGAAGGTGAACCGGTAGCAGTAAAATTCACGAGAAAGCCATTTCGTCAATCTGGTTTGCGCAAGAGTATCAACTTCAACGAAACCGACGACTCGAATGGCGGCGTCGCGATCGGCGCAACCACGAAACCGAAACCCAAACCCAGGGTCGCGGAACAGGACGACGAGGATGATGATGGGCCCGTGGTCATTCGTCCTGCGGTCAGTCGATCGAGTTCGCTGAAACAAAAGAAGCGCCAGTCCTCCTCGAGGCTGTCTTTCGGCGGCGCTGGAGGCGATGGCGACGAGGGAGCGAAGCCAGAGTACACGACTCCGAAGAAATCGACCTTGGGCCACCAGGCACTCGAGAACAGCGCGATCAAGAACCGATTACCCATGCGGTCATTCCGCGACGAAGACGAAGACCGTCCAAAGTACAGCAAAGAGTACTTAAGCGAACTGCAAAACGAGACGCCAAACACGCCGCAGAATATGACTTCCCAGCGCATGGAAGATGAAGATGGGATGGATCTGGACTCCTCCGAGCTAGAGGGCGCGGTGATAGTCAACCAGGATGATTTTGCATCTCTACCAGCAGAGACAAATATTCTTACCGAAGCCGAGATCCAGGAGAGGAAGCAGCGTCGGGCTCGACTGGCGCAAGAGCAGGATGGGGACTTTATCTCCTTTGACGACACAGAGGAGGGCGGAACCTCTCTGCGGAAGAAGAAGACCGAAACTCGCCTCGTTGCTGAGGATGAAGATCTCGGCGAAGGATTCGACGACTTTGTCGAGGACGGAGGCTTGTCGCTGGGCAAGAGGGCCGAGAGGGAGGAGAAGCAACGCCGCAGGCGCGAAATGGCTGAGCAGATCAAGATGGCCGAGGGAGACTCGGGCGATGAGTCTGATGCTTCGGAGGCAGCACGGCGCGCGGCCTTTGAGGCGGCACAGACAAGATCGGGAATGGACGGCCTAGAGAAGCCCGAGCGCAATCCCGCCGAGCAGCTCCTACAGGTCCCGCCAAAGATCACGCCGCTGCCGAGTCTGACGGATTGTCTCTCGAGGTTACAGGCGACAATGCGCGCCATGGAGCTCGAGCTTGCGGAGAAGAAGAAGCGGGTGGATGAGTTGAGACAGGAGAAGGACGGTATCACAATCAGGAAGGATGAGGTTCAGCAGTTGCTCAACGAAGCTGGGCAAAAGTACACCGCCGCAGTGGGCAACGGAGCATCGGTCGAATCGGCTACGCAATCGCCAGCTAGACAAATTACGAATGCCGGGGCCAGCGAGCTGAGGGTTGAAAGGGGCCTCGAGAGCTTAGGAACAACACCAAATAATCGACCGGACGTAGGAGACGTCGACTAGGTGTCGTAGCTAGGACCTACAGCATCACATATTCGATACCACAAAACGAGAAAGAGGAATTTCGTTATCGTAGCTTCAATTCTTTTCGATTGTCTAAGAAATAACCTCTCCGTATAAAGAGAGAAATGTCCTGCCAATGCCAACGCCGCATGAGAATACACCTATGGTACAGACTACCACTTGCCAATTATAAGCACAATCACCCTGCCTTGATCGAGGTCAAGGCCCATCCTTTCCTATTGTTAAATGACCATCCAATGACGATCCTTATTTGGTCTTGGAGACGCCAGCGCCAATGACACCCGGAAGCTTCTCCTCGCCAACGCTGAAGAGCAGACCAATAGCAAAGGTGAGGGTACCGACCATGGCGATACCGAAACCAACAAAAAGCCAGAAGGGAACGCTGACATCAATCTTGCTGCAGGTCTTGCCGCCCCAGTGAGTAACACTGCCCGTCGTCTCATTCTTAGTTCCGAGGCACAAGCAGGAAAAGCATGTTCCGGCGGACTGGCCATCCGCTCTGGCGTACTTGTTCAAGCACTCGCCGTGGCCCGAACAGTTACCAGTGGCCTTGACACAGGCATCCTGCGAGCCAAAGCAAGAAGGAATGGTGCCTCGCTCGGCGTTGCCAACGAATGGCGCCGTGCTCTGGACTGGGGTAGTGGGAGCGGGCTGGTCGTGGTCGTCGGTCTCGGTCATTGTCATAACTTCCTCGGCTTGGCGACGACGGAGCTCCTCAGGCTTGGAGGACCAATGACGCAGCTTGGAGTTGCGAGACGACTCGGGCATCGCGATGATGACGGTTTCCATCTCACCGTTGGCAGCAAGCTGCTTAAGAAGGGTGGCGTTCTCGGTGAGGGACACGAGGATCGACGAGTCCTGGGAAGGGGAAAGCGTTAGTTTCTCTGCGAAGCATGCAACGTCTGTGGAGGGTATTCGATGCTCACCTTCTTGGTATCAAATCTGACGACTGATGACTTGCCACTCCAACATTGCTCGGCAAAGGGGTTGATGGCTTTATCGAAAGCACAGTTCTTCACGGTAACGCCAACGGAAGGCAAGTCGTTCGCCAGCAACATGTCATTGGCTGTGATGGAGGGAGCATCTCCGACTCTGAAGGTAGGTCCAGAGGTGGCAAGAGACTTCTGGAGCGTCTTGGCATCGTCGGCAGTGATGCCCTCGAGCATGACGACGAGCTGGGACGGGTCTGTGGAGGCGGCATTGGTGAAGAGGGCCTGAGGGGCCTTGCCGAACTCGTTCAAGTAGCTAACAGCCTTCTCGTTGGAGATAGACTCGGGAAGATCCCAGGATGCATGTTGACCCTCGGGGGACAGACGTTGAAGGAGGATAAGGCGGGCAATCTGTCGTGGTAATGATGGGATATCGGAGCTCGAGGGCTGCTTCGATTGCAGGAGATATACGTCAGCGGGCTGATCAGAGGAGAGCGCGGTCGCGACGCCGGTCAGGGCAGCCGCAAGCCCTACGGAGAGCTTCATGGTATCGTCTGATGTGGTTTGAGCTCGTAGATGGGAATTCGATGATGATGTCGTGGAGGGGAGGAGGATTGTGGATGCGGCTGTATGCTGCTTGCTGCTCTCTCCAAGCTGCGGCGTGCGTCGAGGATGTCGAGCTCACAGTGCTGCGCCTGCACGCTATTGCTACTGCCACACGTTCCAGGCTAAGCCCATTCAACCCCCGTGTCCCAATAGCGGAGATCGGCAGAGATGTTCTTCCGGAGGAGCCTGCAAGTGGACCTAGAGGTACCTAAGCACTCACGCACCTAGTGCCTCTTCATGAAGCTTAGGTAATTGCTCTCTGGTAAGGTAGGGACCTGAACGGAACTTGGAGGGTCCTCCAGGCGGTCCGTGATTCTTGTCCTCCGGCTTGCACTGTACGTACCTGCTGGGGAGTCGGGGCAGCTGTGGAGTTAGTTGCCTTAGGTAAGCCCCGAGCCCATTTGCAGCTGCCGCATTCCTCGGTCAACAGTCAACGGTTCATGCAGCAGCCGACAGAGCAGAGTGGCGGGACGTTATCGGAGGGGCTCTCGTCACACTGTGTGCCGATAGGAAACGCATCCACGCATCTTGAACCTCCCGTTGGCTTGGTGCGAAAGACGATCAGTGGCAGCGCATCCTGCCTCCAAGTCAACGTTGTCCTCCATCGCACACCGAAGCAGTTGCCCAGGTCGCCACGAAGTCACGGTCATACACCAGGCCAGCTTAGGTTGCTTTGTCGTATTGCGCCCTGAATATTCTATCAACAACCGCGACTTTACAGGCTTCCATGGTTACCCTCTCGTCACCATCCATCCCGCCGCCGCCGCCGCCGTCGCCGTTGCCATCCTTCCATTTCCATCCACCATCGAAAGAACCGCGCCGAATTTAAAGCATCATCATCAGACTCCATCAAACCCTCGCCGAAAATCACTCGTCTCGCTCCCGTCCTCGGCAGCCGGCGCTCGGCGAGCCCCCTCTACAGTGATGTGGCGGGTATTCCGACCTCGCGCTGGCATAACGAATGCGAGCACCCTGGCTGTTCGTGCAGTCGCGCCACAAGTTCCCAGCCAACAAACAGTCATAGTACAGAGGGTCAAGCTTTCAAAACCTAGATTCAGGGCCGGGTACGTCAACAGGATACAGATAATGTCAAGTGCGCTTCCACTAATCTTACGTCTAGAACATTTCTCATCGGAGCAGGCATTTCGCTTGCGTGTTGGCACATTTACTGGTCCACCGTTTTAAATCCCTTCTTCCGACATGTAGACCGAGAATACGAGAAGCTGTCACCGGCCGAGAAGAAGGCACTCGACGAAGAAATAGCAGAGGAGGAGGCCGAACCCTGGTTTATTCCGTTCCCTTTCACGACAAAGTCCGTCAGCCAACCGCCGTACAAAGGCAGCGACCCCGAGTGGCAAGAATTCGTCAAGCTCAGCAAGCAAAAGGGAAAACTTACTCAAATCCGCTGTAAGTACCTACCCGAGTCTCGGCTGCAAGTTTTCTCCTGACTGACCGCCGTCACTAGCCGATCTGGCCAGCTGGGTAAAGTCCTCGGTCGAAAGGCACCCTGTAATCACAGCCAGATGTGGCAACTCAGTCAAGCTTCGTAGATATTGGTTGGACATTGACTTCCCATACCGTCCACCGCCGGTCTTTTACTCTTCTGGGTAAGCGATATCAAACCAACCCATGCCTCGCGACGAGCCAGCCGCTGACAATCCGCTGTAGATTACTGCTACAAGGCGATGGACTGTACTGGTCAACTCAGCCCGTTGACTCTTTGACGGTCAAACGCCTGCAGAAGATACTTTGGCCGGATGCAATGGCCGTGTCATCGTGGGCTTTTACGAGTGCGTTGGTAAAACAACACTACATGGATATTTCCCGAGCCCTTGGCTTCGAGTCAAGCAAGCCTGTCCAACCGTTCCCACCAGTCAGCGGTGGCAACATGCAACAAAAAGCTCAGGGGCCTCTTCCGTCCGCCAACAGACAGACTCCCGATGGCACGCCGGCAGAGAATGCCTCTCACAATGTCAGCAAGTCAACGGATGCGTCACAGGCAGATGAGCCTGAGAGCGGCGGCAAAACCAACTTTGTCAGGGACACTGCTATATCCCATATAGAGGGGATGAAGCAAATAACAGACGGCCCTGCAAGAGACTTTCGAAGGAAACTGGCGCAGTCTTGGAAGCCCACGCGACCGTCTCCTCCGCGTGGCTGCATTCTCGTTTCGGGCTTCGTCGAATGTGAGCTACCCAAGGGATTCGTGCTGATCGACGTCTGGGGGTTCTGGAATCCCAAGACGGAGACCTTTGAGACTAAATCAACCTTTATGAATGTACGGAGGGTACAGATGAAGCAACAATCACCTCGGCGGGGCTGAAGGGATCCGCCGAGATACTCTCACCTTTTCTCATTGCATACTGGCGGCGTTAGGGTAGCGGTGAGCATCTACCTTTAGGTTAATTTGGCATTGGCCGGCGATTTGATTTCACCGGCACCCCCTCCATTGATAGGGGGCTTAGCGGAGCACTCTTCTGGTTTGCGAATGGGAATTCCACAGGGTACAGCAAAAGAGTGAGCGTTTGTTCGATATCAAGATACAATAGACGAGCTCAGAAACGGGCTTGGGACAAGACAGTAGAAAGGAGCCACGAGTTCTCCTCCGTCCCCCACAATGCCCTCTTCCTCCTCTGCAAATTATTTTCACTTGGTATTCTGCTACCTGCCGTGCTGTTTCTCTCGGTGACACTAGACGCTTACCCGATTCCAGGGCATTCTGATCTATCGGAAACATCCCGAGCGGCGGCCCGTTTGTGCTGGTAGGAAGGGCTCGAGTCATCCTGAGAGCGTCTTATTGATCGTCGCATTCTACCCGAAATATTGCAAGATTACGGATCAAGCACAACATGATCGAGTACCGGAACCCGACTGGGTACAATAGGCAAGCGGGAATGGGAGTCCGCGCCTGAACTTTATTTCTCCCAATTCTGCAAATGCAACAGCGTTCGGGAGCAATGCAGCACCTACCAGTGTAAGAAAGATGATTCTCGGAAGGATCGTGGGCGTGTGCTTAGCTGTGCGCCTGCGCTGCCCCATTGAGGCCTCTGCGAAAAGTGAGGCCAAACGACGGCACTCCAACAAGGTGCAACTACAACATCCGCCGATTGACTCAGCCCGAACTACCTTTCCGAAGAATAATCTTGAGGAAAAGGCGGCCTCAGTCTTTTGTTACATACATAACGAAGCAAAATAGTCTCAAACTCCATCCTCCGTTAGATCAGCAGTCTTCGTTATCATCAACTAAAGGGATAATCAACAACCATCCTCTACCATGGCCGCACACCTCCAACGCCGACTGCTTCAGGACTTTGCCGAGTTGCAGCGAAACCCGTATCCCCGGGTCACTTTGCACACAAGAGACAACGATATTCGCCGGGCATGCCTTGTTCTACAGCCAGAGGGCTGGATGCCCATGCACACCACCGTCAACTTCGGAGACCGCTATCCTCTCGTCGCTCCCACCATCAAGATGAACACGCGAATGATACATCCCAACGTCTTCGAAACCTACATCTGCGCATCGATTCTCAACACGTTCGAGGGATACACGCCGGCGTATACTCTCAGAGGCATTGCCATACAGATGTTGAGTTTTTTCAGTAGCGACTCATTGGAGCAGTCCGACGGCGATTACACCGAGCCTCTCGAGTGGTATCGGCAAGAGAGCCTCAAATGCCAGCAGAACTTCAAGTGCTCCCACTGCGACTTTGACGGAACCAAGACCAAGGCAGACTTTAGAAGAGCTCGAAGGCACGCCCTAAAAGCCTTGTCGCCAACGCCGCCGTCGCCCTTCTCCTCATCAAGTATTGCGACTCCAGTGGCCACCTCCGAGAACCAGCAGGGATGTGTCTTGGCCGCTTTACCGGACGAGCTTCTGCTAGAAACCCTCCACAGACTCGACTTCGCGGATCTCCTCTCGTTCTCACAGGCTTTGCCGCGGATTGCAGACATGCTTCGCGCATATGACCTTATCCGGTTGAGAGAACTCCAATGCTTCGTCACCAAAACCAACTTCCGAGATACAAAGCTCGGCGTGGGCGTTATGGTCCCCAAACGCAGGCGGACCATCGAGTCGGAGTTCGATCTCATCTCTCTACCAGCATTTCAGGACCTGGGAGTCCGCTTCTCTGTCCACAACGTCGCCTTCGAACACTGGCTTCCGCTGCCTCTAAGCCGCCGCCACTGGCGCGCCGTCCAGGACTATGTGGTACCCGTGATGCATAGTCTAGCCGTGGCTATCTCGTTACCGAGCACAAACAGCTCTCCAGTCGGGGTACTCGCCGCCTTCATGAACGACATTGTCGTGCGGCTAAATCAAGTAGATGCAAGCAAAGCACCTAGCGGCGCAGCATACAGGGGCAACGATAATGTCAGGATTCCGCAGATGAGCACGTTGCGGCATGCATCGGAGAAGGCAATCGAGTCTTACTTCCATCTATTCCACCTCCTCCTCTGCCTGGCGACGGCGGATTCCCAACTGGTCACCGACGCCAACAACAAAATCAAGCGATTCATGAGTGGGAAGACCTCAAAGATAGCCTGCCCGAATCTTGGCCACCTCCTTGTCTACCTCCTCATCAGCGATATTGATATGACGGAGACCATGAGAAAAGCGATTATCACCGAGGCTATCACGCGCAATGTTGTCTGGATGCTCGACAAGAAGGGCTCCAATATGCCGGAGTTGAGCTATCTTGAGCCAGATCACGTCTCGGGGTATCGTCTGAAGAAAACCTTTGAGGCAAATCGTACCTCCTACCGACTCCTCATGTTTTCCGAGCTCTTCCGCCGCATCGCGAGACCATCCAACGACAAGACCTTGAAGCAAATCCAGGACGAGCTCTTCGACCGCCATGGCGCACCCCCTCCCGGTGCCGCTCTCCGACTATCCACCGAAGTCCGCCGTCTTCATGACATTGACAATTTCCCTCACTTTTTCAAAGAGATGGGGATTGTGCAGCATCCGACAGCTGAAAGGTTCACCGGCGTACTACGGGACTGTGTCAGGAAGAGCATGGAAAGAGGCTACTCGGTTTGGGGCTTGCCGGCCTCTACTGCTCTGGCCTTGCGGTCCCGGGTAGAGCCCAACGTTGGAGTCCGAGGGAATCTCGTGGTGAGGCATCCCCCTGGTCCTCGTTACATGTCACGGGTCACTTTCTTCCCTGACAAAAGTCGACGGAGCTAAACCAGGCAAGGTGCTTGGGTTGGGGAGGAAATTTGTATAGACCAAGCAGCCTGTCGTTGAAGATGATACCCTCGATGAGAGAGTAGCTGCAATGTCCAATATTGGGACGAGTATTCAAATAAAGATGATTCAGTAAACCTAGTGCGCCGCGAACCAAGTCGTGAACTTCTCAGGACATCAGTTGATTCCAGATTTGATTGTCAAAATGAGTTTGATCATTCAATTCAAGAAACGCTGGAAAGTGGTGGCTGACAGGCTGGGAGGATCCTCACCGCAGCCTCACTGTAATAGCAAAGTTGGACTTTGAATTGCAAAACAGACTTAAACATGTGGAAAATTCCTACTCGCTCAAGCTCAATCCTTTTTGCGAGTATCTTTCTCTCAAAAAGTTTATCAGCATGAGATCTACTAGATAACATATTCTTCTATCCTTTTTCATACTTCCTAGTAGGTGAGGTGCCACGAGGCACCGTTGTCTTGCTCGCGAGGTCCGCACCAAGGTGAAGGCAGCTCGGTGAGCACGGGTGCCTTCGGTGAGGAAAGATCCTTGTTAGTCAGCAAGAACCTTACGTAAGGCAGACTGCAGGGACCCCGGCCGCTCTCACTCAACGTCACTCCATCCCCCCCAACTTTTACGTCCCTTCCGTCCTCTCCTGGTCCCCCGAACTCGTCGTTCTTCGGATCCAGCCCGTGTAAGTGGTTTTGGGAAATTCCATCTTCAATTTTACTCCCACTTCCATCCCTAGTCTCGTTTATGGACACAAACGGCAGCACGACACACGTATTTCGTTTTGATTCCGGCTTATACCTCACCTTTCTCTTGCCTTGCCCGCTGAGGTCCGGCGGCCTCCCTTGCCGTGTAACAGCAAGATTGTCTACGCCTTGATTGACGATGGCTTCAACCGCCTCTCAATTCAAGCATCGTGGTGCAAGCAGATGAGAGCGATGATCTGGGAGAGTCCCATCTTCATTGTTCAAAACATCATCGATTATGGGTTGTCTGTCACCATGTCCAGTCGATCTGGACGTACCTCTTGCCCAAACGCCATACACCAGAACACCAATTCCAGTAACAGTCATACACATCTTAGCCATTTCAATCAATTTCATCAACAGACGATTAGCTTTGCCAAAAATTATCACGAAATCAATCCAACCATCCCTCCTGGATTGCTCTCACCCTCTCCGCGTGCGACTGCGTCCCTCTACGGCCGCCATGTAAGCCAAGGCATCATCCACTGCATCAAAGTCAGCCATTGAGCTCCGGGAAATGACACATCACGGTGCGAAATCGTGAGTTCTTGGTTAGAGCACTGACATTGGGACGCAACCCTCTCCCGACCGGCAATGTACCAAGCCTCATTAATCCTGTCTCGCTCAGCTTCATCGCCGAGGCAGGGGAAGAATTGGACATCTGTCGACAGCGGTGCAAGGTCTGGTGTGCGAAGCCTGGAGATGCGGGGAGCCCTGGGAGCTGATGATGATGATTGAGCGGGCGATGCGAAGTCCTCGTTGATGTCATTTTCAGCATCGTCAGGGAAGAGGATGAAATCATCATATGGCGCATTCTTGGATGAACAGTCGCCGTCGTGGAAGCTGCTGCTGCCTTTTTCACGACCGTATCTTGCACATGGTTCTTCATCGTGGATGCTTTGGCTCGTCCATGATCCCATTGCGATAAGACTGTCATGATCCGGGCTGCGCCTCCGTCTCTGCGATACGGGCCTAGGACTTTGTCGGTATGACAAAGGTTGGTGCCTTGGCCGTGGAGATGGCGGCATGCTGTACAGCTGCTCATCAGACATGGGATTGGACAAGACGCTTCCTGTGTAGTCGGCAGGGTAGTATGCCTGCATCGACGTCTGTGTCGGGTACATTGGCGAGCGGCGATCACGTGCTCTGGCAAGAGGTTGTCTGTGTCTGTGGCCTTGAGGGGAAGTGCTTTCCCGCAATGGCATCATTGCTGAGTATATCTGACGTCCTGGACTAATTGGAGACTTGGATCGTGGTACAGTGATGAAGTCTGGGTGGGTATCAAAGTTGAGAGGCAAGAAAGCCATGATGCTATCTTGACGAGGCCCGGTGAACAGGATTGAAGATGCTTTTGATGGAGCTAGTGATGGTTAATGAACTTTTGGGATGAGGAGGTGGGTGAGTTGATGAAGTGGGCGAGATGGAGGATGCTGGCCTGTGGTACCTCCCTCGGGGCGATGCAGAGAGAGGTAGTGTGTGCCAAGGCAAGTCTGAGAAGTCTGAGAAGGGCTCTGCTGGGGTCCAGGGACCTGTCCGGGATGGAAACCGAAAGTCAAAGGGCTATTTGGGCCGTTGGAGAAGTTTCTCTGATGGCATGGAAGAAAGAAGAGGGGAGGAGGAGAGGATGTAGAGATGGAGGGTGGTGGGAAGCCCGAGGCTTTTATATGGTAAGTGTTCCCCCGGGCTGCTCTCTCCTCCAGGTGACCAATCAGGGGACAGTATTCCACTTCCCCTGTTGCGTGCCACCGACCCCGACACGAAACCCGGGCCCGCACTAGACCGATCCTCTTCCTTCTTACATCCAAGTTGGATGCCATCTCCCATGTTCCTCGTCGTTGGTGTCATTGAGTCGTGCGATGCCTCACAAAGTCAGATGGAGCTGACTTGAGGTTGCTGGATGTCGTTGAGCCTTCTGGACGATGATGGGTGATGCTGGACGCATGTCTCGACTTCCGTCTTCTTTCTTTGCCTGTCCACTTTCTCTCATTGTTTCATTCCCCTCTGCAGTCGAAGTCGATGTTTCTTCCCAGAGCCCGGAGCCTTTGATATATCCAAGGGCAAGTTGCCTTGTCCTTTCTGTCGTCTCTTTCTTAGTCGTTGTTCCAGTAATATTGGCTCTTGCCTTTTGTCGATGCCCTTGTTCGAGTGTATCACCACTTGCAACGTTGTGGTCCAGATAGTAATGTGTTTCTTTTATCCGACCTAGGAGTGTAATGCTCGCCGTGCATATTTCGAGCGGCCTGCTTGTTGCGAGAGGTCAGTCCTGCTTGGACTTAATGTGGCACATCAGTCATGTGATCTTACGCTGACCTAAGGCGCACCCTCCTTGCAGCTCGCGAGTCCCAATTGCTGGAGGAAGCACACGCGAGACTACCATCACCAAAAGGACGCCGGGGGTACCGTGGCTTCGACTTCCCAGTCGACGTCAGGCTGCCGGGCCCCTTCCCATCTCCACCACCAAACGTCGACACGAGTGAAGAAGTTGATGGTGTTGAGCCGAGCAGAGTCCCAGAAGAACAGGCCAAAGAGACGACAGTTCGTCATCCGAGGATCGTTGCAGGTTGACCCCGGAAAAGATTGATACGCCCAATTCCAGGCTTCTTCGGGGCCTTTATCGGCGTCCTCGCTCACCAGGGACTGCCGTACATACTCCTTGTACTCATCCGGAGTATAGGACGACAGAGCCTTCCTAATCGGGAGTTCCAAGTTGCTCATTTCGACGCATCTGTCAACGGCATCGGTGAGCCATGAGTAAATCTCGCCAACTCGGTTGTAACTGGCGTAGCGCGGCTGTTGCGGGAGATCAAGAAGTAATTGGTAGAACTGGGTTGACGGCGAGGTATCGACCCTGTAGAGAAACTTGACTCCAAAGCATAGTAGCCGAGCCTGATTCTGATTGATGTGGCAATCGCCGCGCTCCAAATTGGGAGGTAGAATTGGGGCGGTCCAGTACACAACCTGGGCCCCGTTCCTCGGGCCACAATGATGTGTCCGCAGAGCCTCAATCTTACGAAGCTCCACGAGTGCACGCAATGCTAGAAAGGATCGTCAACATTGCATAGAGTTCGAGGGCTGTTGAACAACTTACGAGGACCAATGACGAACGCTACAAGAAAGTCCCGTGTCGCAACCAGTTGTTCAATCTCCCAAAGTGACAGGTAATCAAAGAAGTGCGCTCTCTGGAAGTTCACAACGTCCAGATTGAACCGTACAACTTCGGGGTCCTTGAAGAGCTTGCAGTAGACCTCTAACCGGTAGATGGCTCTCTGAAAACGAGCAGCTTCGGCGTCTGTTGGCTTCTCAGCTGAAGAAGGTGCATCGGGCCAGTCAGGACGATCATTGGCGAGACTACATTGCTCTTTCATGAGATGATGTAGCGCCATGCCCTGGAACTTGGATCCCAAATGGCTAACGCAATGGTGCAAATCTGCCAGTCTGTAGCCGTCTGATAAGCTGATGGTAGGAGGAATGCACGGCCGTCTTTTGAGATATTCGTCACTAAAGGCGGCAACCAGATTGAGGTCTTTTGAGTCGATTTTGGAGGACTCTAGCGCCATTACAGCATAAGGAAGTGAGAGGTGGCCAATTTCATTTAGGAGCACCTGTCGACATGCTGATGAGGCGCATCGGAGCCACATCGGAGAGGTGAGGGCTGCATCTCTGAGACATTTGAAGGTTGGTAGATGTGAAAGGATATACACCCAGAGCTCATCTGGTATGCACCGAGACATCTTGTCGCAGAGGTTTCGTTAAATCCACCGTCAAATTGTTAAGGAACCGCATCGAATTCTCTATTTCGTCCCTAGGTAGGAATCCCGGACATGGACCATTCGATGTTTGTTGCAGGAAGACGGAGTTTCCAGGTGGTGATATTCCGATTCAAATCAGGTCAAGGGGCCGTATAGTCTGCAATGAATGATGCTCAGGGAGTCATATGCTATGAGAGAGATTTGTTTGGGTGGATGAGCGTGGTGATTTCATGGCTTGTCGTTGTGAGATGACTGAGCTGATTGATGCGAGGATCGTCGAGACTCGGCCGCCGTTTGGTCCAAGCCCGGGGCCGAGTCGTACTGTGCAATTAGACAGTGTTAATATCAGTGATAGCGATATTCACTGTACGGGGCTTGATGATGGATAAGCCAATCAGAGACGACTTTGAAAGCTAGACGAAATCCGGACTAGCGCTCAATTGCTGTCAACTCGGCGCAGGTGCAATGAATTGTTGGTTGAGCAAGCTCGCGTCAAATCCCTTCTCCAGCCTGCCACGGTACCTCTCCGCGAACGTCAATCTTCTCCGCCGCATCCCACTTGACACCATCTTTACCAGGCAATCGTCTCGAAATCACGACTTTCCTCAGGGCCGCCTCGAAATATCGCTTAATCACTAGTCGTCGCGATGGGCAAGAAGCGCGGACACCCCGACGTCGAGGACGTCCTCTCCCGGCCGTGGTGCTACTACTGTACGCATCCATTGCCTTTCGCGTTTTGTGTTTGAGCGCGCATTGCTGACTTACTCGCAGGCGAGCGTGATTTTGAGGATCTGAAGCTTCTCATCTCCCACCAGAAAGCCAAACACTTCAAGTGCGACAGATGCGGTCGTCGACTCAATACCGCTGGAGGTCAGTTCAGCATACGCTAGTCACCTCCATGGCATCGCAAGCTAACGTCTCTTGTCGCGCAGGTCTCTCCGTCCATTTGAACCAAGTCCACAAGGAAACCCTCACCCAGGTCGAGAATGCGCTACCGAACCGACAAGGCCTCGATGTGGAGATCTTCGGCATGGAGGGTATTCCCCAGGATATCCTGGACCAGCACAGGAACCGCATTATCCAGAACTTCTACCAGGCCCAAGAGGACCGCAGGATCGCCACCGGAAACCCCTTGCCTGGACAGTCGAAGCAGCCTAGAAAGAAGCTCAAGGTCGAGACCCCCGAAGAGTTGAAGGCCCGCCTTGCTGAGCACCGCGCAAGAGTGGCCGCCGGGCACCCTCCCGCTACCAGTGGTAGCCCTGCCAATGGCGCTCCTGCAAGCGCAAGTCCGGGTGCATTCGTAAGTAAACATCTATCGATAGTATTGTACATGTATAGCTCTGAACTAAGCAACCGTCCCAGAACAATTCACCGTACCCCCCGCCGCAAGCGCCCTACGGTGCTTCCCCCGACCAGAACTACCCGCCTGGTGCTGCCCCTGGCGCTCCGGCCTATCCTCAACAGGGCTATCCGCAAGGCAACTTTGGCGGTTTCTCTGCATCATCTCTTCCCGCAAGACCGACGAGTGGCCCCCAAGCCATGCCTGGCCTACCTCAAAGGCCGCCCCAACATGGCGGCCAGTTCTGGAACGGCTCTGGCGCACCGCCGCCTGGCTTCCCCGGAGCATCCACTGTGGATGAGCTTGTCTCTGGCGCGGCGCATCACGGAGACGAAATTGATGAGCTCATCCGTAGAGCTGAATCCGGTATTAAGCCGGCCAAGAAGGCCGACGACGAAGCAGGTGAGGAGGCCGCAGGCGACAAGAAGTCCAAGAAGGACAAGAACGGCAGGATGTTCTACGCAGACACAGAGGTCAGCCCTGAGGAGCGCATGGCGCAAATACCAAGATACGCCTACGTGCCCCCAGCATCGTAGGAAAGTAATGACTGGCATTGGACTATTTGGATGGCGGCGAATAGGGACGTTGCGACACGGATGCATCCCAATCATGGCACGTGTTACTGCGACAGGCTTTCACCGAATGACACGATTTTCGAGACTCGGGACGACAACGGCATCCCTCCGGAGCGGAGTTTCAATGGCGTAGCTGGTTTTGGGATGTACATAAAGACTGTAAGGAATGCACTGAAAATTCCGTCACTGTACTCATCGCAGGCTGTGACGCTGAACAGAATGACAGGTTTTGCGTTTCGACAATCGTCGTTGATAGTGACTCGAAATTGTTGTTCCCGGTGCTGAGGACGAAGAAGCCGGGATGACCTCTAAGCTGTACACAGGCATCCGCATTAGTGTTAAGTCATGCTTGAGATGAGGGGCTGCAGTCACGCGTTCGTATCTGGACTCTTGTCGCCAGCCTTGCTTACCTTGCCTGACAAGATCGCACAAACGACGCATGGGTCGTCTTTCTCAGAGCGCCCATCATACTTCTTAGCATTGCGGCCTTTCTCTTGTAGTACCCAGAACTTTGGTGCGCAGCCTTGGCCATGTGGCTGATCGACACACAGAAAACCACATTGCATCACGTTGCGGATCATTGACAGAATGGCACACGATCATACGCCATTCTCTCCCACACATGGGGCAAACAAGAGGTCGATTTTCACCACATGTCGAATCTGAACAGCGCAAAGACAAAAACCGGATGGAACAAAATCAGGATGACCTGCAAACTAGCTCGCTCCAGATTCAAGTACGCATGGGTCGACACATGCTGCATTGACAAGAGCAGCAGCGCCGAGTTGACAGAGGCCATCAACTCCATGTACTCCTGGTATCAATCAGCCGAAATATGTTACGTCTACCTAGCAGACCCAAGTCCAATACCCGAAAGGCTTAGGGGCACGTATCGTTACGATTATCTTAGAGAAAAACTACCCAAGTGCCGCTGGTTTTGTCGGGGCTGGACTCTGCCAGAGTTGATAGCCTCGAAGCAAATCGAGTTTTACGATAAGAAATGGAACCTCGTAGGCGAGAAGAGCGACCTCATAACCATCATTCAGGAGATCACACGAGTCGACGTAAGCATTTTGCAAGATAACTCGGACCTGCAAACGCTCCCGATTGCACGTCGCATGTCCTGGGCCGCCGGCCGCAAAACCACAAGAGTCGAAGATATTGCCTACTGCCTCCTTGGTATATTCGACATCAACATGCCATTGCTGTACGGCGAGGGATCAAAAGCATTTCAAAGACTTCAAGAACACATCGCCAATGCGACCAACGATCTAAGCCTTTTTGCGTGGGAGAAAAAGGTCGACTACCAGGCGGGTTCTGCTTCAGGGCTTAGCGGTGTCTTTGCAGAGTCTCCAGCAGACTTTACACACTGTTCTACCCTCATGAGACACCGGGATCGATTCCAATTCAGAAACGACTTTACCCTTACCAATGACGGTCTTCAAGTCAAGGCCCAAAAGCTCACGCTGCCAGCGAATCCCGCTAGGGAAACGGTGAACGGTGCCGACTCGTTCTACGCGTTGAGTCTTGATTGTCTCGAAACCAGTATCAGAACGCAAGTGACTCCGAAATGGCTTGCGATCTGGCTTCTCAAGGTCGGAACGACGTTTGTCAGAGCTGTTCCAGATCAGGTGTACGCATACACCTCGAGACTACAGTGGTCCAATGCCACGCTGGAGACGTTTGACGCCTGCATCCGCAAGACACTATACGATCATGAAAGCACGAGGCTGGCATCCTTTATGGGAGCCAAGATCGGGTTCGAGTACGACTCGCAGCTCAAGAACATTATTGTTTCCAAGACGGCGAACCCTGTGGAGGCATGCGTGCAACCATCCGTCGCAGATTTCGTCTTTGACTGTCATGGCCTCGATAACTTTTACTGGAACGCATTGTTTCAAGATCCAATCCGGATTTCCATTACAGAAGGTTACCCTAGGCATAATTTGTGGCCTTCAGTGGGATGGTTCGCGTTGTCGACCTTGGGCAGCACTTTTTGACGAGCATTCGGTCAAAGGGACCGAATCGGAGCAGTTGATGAGATACGCACAAGTGATACCCGGCATCGGAGCCGAGGAGAGGTTGTCGGAGATTCGTGATTACATGATGTATCGATTTACGGATCAATCAGGTCTTTACAAGTCGAATCTGATGCCCAAGTCTGCAACCATTGTTCAGTACGGGACTGTCATCACACATCGTATTTGGATTGAGGCGGAAGCACGAACGGTCGACGAGGTTTCCTTCTCTCGAGGCTCATCTTCTGCGTTTATCTTCAAGGTGCATTATCGATCTGGCGTGAACCAGGCAGATTAGGCATTAGTTGACAAAAACATGACTAATTCGGAACTCCCATTCTACCGACTCGACATGAAGTGGCCGGGATCGCGTGAGTGGTGACGCGTTTGACCAAGTACATATAGATGCGAACTGTGGTTTGTGTGAGAACGGCAAGACGTGCCGAAAGACTCCAATTCACACCATGAACCCAAGCGGTCGGGCTACTTCTGGTGATGGCTTCCTTCCCACTTTGCTCAATAACGCTAGGGTGACCGGGTAATCAGGGTAGCAACGCTGCAAACAAGGTGATTCTTGGTGCTCGAATTAGCGGCCGGGATGATGTTCACTTTGCGGCTAAATACAACTCTCCACTTCCAATGTCACGACTGGTGAATTCCCCGCAGTGAGTTTTGCCGTAAGATCACGCGGATCAACAAATCTCCAAAATACCTAGCTTGATGCTTTTTGGGGTAGGCGGTTCCTCCCTGTCGTTGTCTGTATTTGGTTCAACGTCTCCAAAGCCTGGCCTGTTTTATTTCGCAAGTAAGTCTGGACAAGATGGCGAGTAACAAAACGTGCTTGGAGAAGAAGCCAAAGCAAAGGGTCCATCAAACCGGACTTTACTACTCTAGAGAGGATGGAGAAGCTCACGCCGTAATTCGGGACCGGCTCTTGGCCAAAGTGTGGCTGGCTCGAACAGAGCCGGGCGTAGGGTAAAAGAGTCTTGGAAGCCGCTCGCTTCGAGGACCCGGCCGCGCCGCGCTGCGGGGAAGCTCGACTCAAGCATTTGGGAGGCTGGGGTCTCGTAGGTTTCCTCTCCCACATCGAGGACGATGAACATGGGCCGGCCCTTGCTCCGGTCTGTCATGGTGGCCCAGGAAGTGGTCCCTTTTACCCGTCGGTCAGGCACCGTCATCCCATCTTGGCTGGTGTCATCCGTCCCCGGCCGTACATGGAGGCGGTTCTCGTGCCATTATTGGTGGTTCTCCATGTTTTCTAGCTTGTGGTCTTCCGTACCGTTCAATACCATCAGTCGATCCCACCTTGTCATGCCTGTCCAATTTGGTTTCCCCATGGAAGCGTCATCCTGGTCTGGGGTCTCCAACCGTTCCTGATCCGAGGACTGAAGCACTCACGCGCTATTGGACGCTTGTTTGTGTATTTAATAGAAGTGGTGGCCCTTTCCTCTGGATGATGTATCCGTAGGCTCCTCCGTGAACGTGGTATTGCCCTTTTGCGAGTGAATCCCATCTAGGCGTGAGCCTCGCAAGCCCGCAGTCATGGCGTTCGTCAACCTCAAGTCAATCTCCCTTGTGGTCCTGTCGAGCCTAGCACCCTTGGTTTCGGCATTGGGACAGCAACCGATCGTGTCGTTCGAGAATGCTTCGGGCAGCTTCCAAATTGCCGGAGGAGATGTAGGGACAGGTCAAGTTCTGGTTTCAGACGACGATTTCTGGGGAGTCATCCGAGCTGCCGGCGACCTGGCCGTAGATTTTGGTCGGGTCACTGGCACGAATTACACGCTCAGCAATGGTGCAAACAGCTCCAAGCCTGCTCTCTACACCTTCTCACCGGTGGATGTCACCAACAACACCATCGTGAGTTTGCCTCTCTTTGCCACAGAGGGACACGGTCCAATCCATCACGATGACTCTAAAGAGCGCGTCATCTAAGAGGAATCCGGAAGCTGACCGTTAGTCATAGTACCGAGTCCTAGACGAGCAGTCATTATCTGGCCCCAACTACACAAATCCCGCCCCCGATCGCACCGTTATCATTGCCGGCACCATTGGCCATTCAAAGGTCATTGACGGCCTCATCAAAGCTCAGAAACTCAATACCAGTGAGGTCGACGGACAGTGGGAGTCATTCGTCAGCCAACTGATCGACGAGCCCATTCCGGGATGCTCTCGGGCTCTTGTCATTGCCGGTAGTGACCCCCGCGGCACCATCTACGGTATCTACGACGTGAGCGAGCAGATCGGGGTCAGCCCATGGTACTTCTGGGCCGATGTGCCGTCCAAGAAAGCGACCGAGATCTACGTCCTGCCCGAACGTAAGGTTCAGGGATCTCCCGCGGTCAAGTACCGTGGGTTCTTCATCAACGATGAGCAGCCAGGTCTATCTAGCTGGGTCTCGTGAGTCAATCACATTCTTCCAAAAAAGAACAATGCTAACATGCGGAAAGAACCAAGTGGAACGACACCTGGAACGATGCCGCCGGATACAACTACCACTTCTACAGTCTCGTCAGCGAGCTCCTGCTGCGTCTCCGCGCCAACTATCTCTGGCCTACGCTCTGGGGAAGCATGGTCTACGTCGACGACCCGCTGAACCAACCCCTCCTCGACGCATACGAAGTCGTCCTCGGTGGCTCTCACACCGAGCCTCTCATGCGCGCCCAAAACGAGTTCCGAACATTCTACCAAGGCCAATGGGCATACAACCTCAACAACAAGACCATTGACGACTACTTCCGGTATGGAGTGCAGCGTGCCAAGCCCTACTCTCGCAATAGTTTGTGGACCATGGCCATGCGTGGTACTGGTGACACTGCTATTGAGGGCAACTTGGGAGTTGAGGGCATCGTCAAGATGCTTGAGGAGCTTGTGGCCAATCAGCGAACCATCATTGAAGAAGGACTTGAAATCGACAGTGCCGCGGAGGTCCCATCATTGTGGTGTCTGTACAAGGAAGTCCAGTCGTATCAGGAGAAGGGTCTCGTCGTTCCCGAGGACATTACTCTTCTTTGGGCTGATGACAACTGGGGCAATGTCCGAAGGCTGCCTTTGGTGAACGAGACTGACCGCAGCGGCGGTGCTGGCGTCTACTACCACTTCGATTATGTCGGTGACCCGCGCGACTACAAGTGGATCAACACAATCCAGCTGGAGAAGACGGCGGAGCAAATGTCTTTGGCGTATGCTCGGAATGCACGCAGGATCTGGATTGTCAACGTCGGTGATTTGAAGCCGCTCGAGATCCCCATCAGCCACTTCTTCGACCTCGCCTACGACACTGAGAAGTGGGGTGTTGACGGTACCGGCAAGTGGCTCGAGGCTTGGGCAACCAGAGAGTTTGGCGACAACCACGCAGACAACATTACGGATATCTTGACGCGGTATGGCATGTACGCTGCTCGTAGAAAGTATGAGTTGGTCGAGCCCAACACCTACTCAGTCATCAACTACAACGAAGCAGACGCTGTTTTGGGACAGTGGGCTACTCTGCGCGAAGAGGCTCAGGCTGTGTACGATGCCCTCTCGGAGGAGCACCAGGCGGCTTTCTTCGAGATGATCCTGCATCCCATCTCAGCTGGCGAGATCCTTCACAAGATCCAGATCAACGGTGCAAAGAACCAGCTGTTTGCAGGACAGAAGCGCAACCTGGCCAACGATATCATTGATGAGTCCAGGACATTGCTCGATGCGGACGCTGAGTTGACCATCCGATGGGATGAATTGCTCGACGGAAAGTGGCAGCATATGCTTGATCGTAAGTACAAACCCAGGGCTCCATCTGATAGGCACTAACATGACGCGCAACAGAAACACATCTCGGATATGATGGGTACTGGCAACAGCCCATGCGTAACACCCTCCCAGATATGCGCTATGTACAGACAGCTTTCCCATCTCTAGGAGGCCAGATCGGTGTCGGCGTCGAGGGGTCCAATGCCAGTGTTCAGGGTGACGACAAGTGGCACACCAACTCTGCCAACGACCTTACGGTGCCTCCGCTGGATCCTTACGGGGCTATCTCGCGCTACTTTGAGGTCTTCACCCGTGGCAACACTGCATGCCCTTGGTCAGCCAGTCCTTGGCAGCCTTGGGTCAAACTCTCCCAGTACAACGGCGCGGTTGGCGGCAACAATGGTACAGACAGCCGTGTGTGGATCTCGATTGACTGGGAGAATGCGCCGGCAGCTCCCAACGCCACCCAAGTCTACATCAACGTCACGACGCCGTGCCGGGGCAAAGAAAAGTACGCCGGACAAGGACAGAGAGTCATCGTGCCGGTTGTCAACCGTGCCGTGCCATCCAACTTCACCAAGGGTTTCGTCGAATCCGATGGCCACGTGTCTATCGAGGGACCGCACTACCAGAGCATCGTTGAGCCCAGCAACGCTACCAGGCCAAGCAACAGCAGCAGCAAGCTCGAATATCATTTGTTTGAGAATTACGGCCGCACCCTGGGTGGAGTTGGATTGTATCCGCCAGAGTCGGAGAAGGTCAAGCTCGGCGAGGGCCCGGCGCTGGAGTACCAGATGTACCTCTTCACCAATACCAGCAAAGCCAACGTCACGCTTTACATCTCGCCTACTTCTAACTACCTCGGCGATGGCAACCCTCTCGAGTACGGTATATCGCTGTACCCGACTGGCGGAAGTGCACCGCAGCCCAAGACAGTGCAGCCTGTGGGCAAGACGCAAGGACAAAACATGCCCGAAGGGTGGGGATATGCCGTTGGGGATGCCGTCTGGGGACTCACTGGCAACTATACGACGACAGCTTTCAACGTGACTCAGGAGGGCGCGTATACACTTCGTGTGTGGGCGCTGCTGCCGAACATTATTGTGCAAAAGGTCGTGGTAGATCTGGGCGGTGTGAGAAAGTCGTACTTGGGACCTCCCGAGAGTTTCTTGCTTGGACGTGATGAGCAGGGCACTGTCAAGCGTACTGCGTTTACTGAGACGCCTGGTATTGTTGGAGGAAGTACGACTTAAATCACATGCTTGAAATATTGGAATAGTGGAAAATGAGAATCGAAGTTAGCATTAATATATAATGAAACGATAAAAACCCCCACCCCTCCCCCCCCCCCCCGAACGGTTTAGTCTCTGAAGAATTTCTCTAGTATAAAGTGGGTAAGACTGTCTTTTCCCGTTCTCGCCAAGTGCTCACTCCTGATTTGCTTCAGTGTGTACCCGTAGTTTTGGTTCTTGGAGTGTTTCTTTGCCTTTCTTTGTCCTCCCACAACGGTGATGTTTTTCTCCTTGTTTGTGGCTGGTGGGCTGTCATCAGCCTCACTCCACTTGAGCCACTTCAGCCCCGCTGTAATCAGATGTGGCTCAGCAAGCGACATCCTTCCTCATTCGTTTGCGCACTGATGATGGTGGGTCTGAACGGAGAATTAGGATTAGCGGCTCCACTCCTGCCTCGCTAAAAACGCTCCCGGTCGCCGGGGGCAACGCGGCACCTGGCGGGTGGGAAAACAACAAACGTCAGTCACACAGCACACAGCACCCGCACATCAGCCCAAAGTGCACACCGTCCATCCATCAGCTCAGCTCGGCTCAGACAGACAGACAGACAGAAACGGGGGGACCCTTTGAATCAAGACATTTCACGACCATCCACCGTCACTGCTCATCTCCTAATCTCTTATCCATCTGCAGCTGCTGCTTGCTTCACTTTCTCACTCTCCTTCCTCTCATTCAATTACCACCTCACCTTCACCACCACGACTCTCACTAACCCCCCCCCTCCCCCACAGCAGCTCGTGCTTCATCTCTTTTTCCTGTCCCATACTCTTCCTTGCTGCACATGCTTGGTCCGCGCTGCAAAGCGGCTTTGTTTATTTCTTGATTTACACCCCCGTTTGCTGCACCACTCGACTCGGACTTGGACTTGAAGAGCTCTCGACTTAGGTTGCTAGACTGTTCCACCTCGGAGCTGGCAAACGGGACGAATCCGCGTCACTATTTTCCTTCCCACGACACCCACACGACACAGACAGCATCACGATAGCTAGCAATCATGGTCGTCGATCCGAACGCCGCCTCCATCACGGTCGCAGGTTCGTATTCCTTCTGTCTCTCTCTTCACCTCCTCGTCAAGCGCAAACACTAACCTGGGCGGTTCAACAGTTCGAGTGCGACCATTCACGATCCGAGAAGCAGCACAACTGTACGTCTAGACACTATACACAGGAGAGCAGAAGAGCGGAGGTCAGGAACAATAATACTGACTGGAGTGCGTGCAGAACTCGCAATGAAGAAGGCACCGTCTTTCTGGGCGACGGCTCACTTGCTGCCGCACCACCCAAGCTCCAAAGGGGCGGTATCAGGCCAGTCATCAAGGTCGTCGACGACAGATGCTTGTGAGTATCAGTATCCTGCCTTCCACTGCTGTCTTGTCTCATCCTAATACCCTCCATAGAGTCTTCGATCCTCCCGAGGACAACCCCGTTCACAGATTCGGAAGATCTGTGGTTCCCAACGGCAAGAAGGTCAAGGATCAGACCTTCATGTTCGACAGAATCTTCGACGACAATGCTACACAGAACGACGTCTACGAAGGCACAACGAAGCAGCTCATCGACAGCGTCCTCGACGGCTACAATGCCACCGTCTTCGCCTACGGCGCAACCGGCTGCGGCAAAACACACACCATTACCGGAACATCACAACACCCCGGAATCATCTTTATGACGATGCAAGAACTCTTCGAAAAGATCACAGAGCGAAGCCAAGAGAAGACCACCGAGATCACGCTCTCTTACCTCGAGATTTACAACGAGACCATTCGCGACCTGTTGATCCCCGGAGGCAGCAAGCAGGGATTGATGCTCCGTGAGGACTCGAACCAGGCCGTGTCCGTTGCTGGTCTGACAAGCCATCACCCCAAGAACGTGCAAGAGGTCATGGACATGATTGTGCAGGGTAATGCTTGGCGTACAGTCTCCCCAACAGAAGCCAACGCCACCTCATCTCGATCGCACGCCGTTTTGCAAATCAACGTCTCGCAGAAGGACCGCAATGCCTCTGTCAACGAACCCCATACCATGGCAACTCTCAGCATCATTGATCTTGCTGGCAGCGAGCGTGCCAGCGCCACCAAGAATCGCGGCGAGCGTCTGCTCGAAGGCGCAAACATCAACAAGTCTCTTTTGGCCCTAGGAAGCTGCATCAATGCCTTGTGCGACCCTCGCAAGCGCAACCACGTACCATATCGCAACAGCAAACTTACACGACTCCTAAAATTCTCCCTCGGCGGCAACTGCAAGACAGTGATGATTGTGTGCGTCAGTCCTTCAAGTGTTCACTTCGACGAGACACAAAACACCCTTCGATACGCCAACCGAGCCAAGAATATCCAGACCAAGGTGACTCGCAATGTCTTCAACGTCAACAGGCACGTCAAGGACTTTTTGGTCAAGATTGATGAGCAGATCGCTCTCATCAACGAGCTCAAGGCCCAACAGAAGGATGCGGAGAAGACGTTTTACGCAAAATTCCGCAAACAGCTGGAGAAGCGCGACTCTATTGCTCGTGAGGGCGTGCAGCGTCTCCGTGTCGCGTACGAAAACTCGGCCAACGAGAGACGAGACAGAATCAACAACACGAAGAAGCTGAAGGTTTTCGAGCGACGCATCAGCCTGCTCTCTGCCTGGATCGCTTCTTTTGACACTATCTGTGACCAAAGAGGTGACGAGGATGCGATGCCCGCGACACTTGTCGCCATTCGCAAGACTGCGCAAGGAATCATGGTAGAGCTGGAGCACAGTCGTCACCACATCCACCAAAAGCTGGAGAACACCAACTGGGAGCGTGCTATTGACACGGCTCTTCACCACAGCATCAAGCAATTGCCCGGGGGCGAGTCCGATGCCGCTGAGATCGATACTTTGACCCGAGAGGCTGAGCTTCTGAAGGCCAACTTTGGCAGAGAAGCCAGCCATGAGGTTCTCGAGATGGACAAGGTTGGCGATGCTGCCATGATGCAAGTTCTTCTGACGGCGCAATTCGACATCCTGGCATCCCTCGAGGACACGCTAGCGATGAACGAAGAGGATGCCGTCGCCCACGCCAAGCAAATCATCAACCGACTACTAGAGGCCGGCTTCTCGGCCGCATCTCATGTTGTCAAGCCTGATGGTGCCATGATCCCCGTCGAGAAGTTCTCACCCAGAAAACAGGGCACACCTAAGCGTAAGAAGGCAGTCGTCAACAACACATCTCCCATTCGCCAGCCGGCCTTTGTTCCTCCGTCTGAGCCGGCACCTCAGCCTCATGCGTCTCCCATAAAGTTGTCTCCCCGCCGTAGGAAGGCGGCGGCCCCAAGAAGTCCCCGCAAGGGAGTCTCATTCACGCCAGTAAAGAGAAAGTCGGAAGCCAAGCGAGGTGTTCGCTGGAGGGACGACGAGACCGAGTCGGGACTTGCAGACTTTGAGAAGACGCCCAAGAAATTCGAGGGAACGCCAGATCACACGTCACCAGAAAAGGGACTGCGAATGCCTGCTCTTCCTTCGTACCTGAGGACCGCATCGCCCAACTCGGCTAACTCGGGCTCTGACGACAGCCCGACTCTGGGACTCCCCGAGTCTTCATCCATTCCTCCTGCCAAGCCTAACAGATTCCAGGCTGGCTTCCTCACCAAGGGCCGCGTCTCGTCGATTGGCTCTGGATCACCAACTGTACCAATTCCCACAATGTCTTTGCCCCTCGGCTCTTCTCCGTCCTCAGACAACGGAGATCGAGTGGCTCCTCTGCGCGCACTGGACGTGCATCGTTCTTCAAACTTGTCGCCTCCGGCTTTCCGCTCTAGAATCGCGAGAGCCAGCCCTCCTCCGAGAACATTCTCCGGCAATCTCTCTGCCGATGAGAACAACCCCCCCTCACCGCAGGGCCCGTCCGGATCAGAGTCAGAGTCATCTAGCATTGATCCTAGAAAGATTCGATCAGCCTTGCACTCGATGAAGAAGGTCCGCGGCGAGCACCGACGCGTGTCATCCATAGGAGGGACGGCGGCATCGAATGCCAGGCGCATCTCGTCTGTGAACTCTATCGGCTCTAACCACCGCGCGTCGGCAAGCTTTTCCGGCCCTATGGCGAGCAGCACAAACGGAATCTCTCGATCAAGACGAGCCAGTGCGGAGCGTAGGCTCTCACCGCCCATGGTCTGCTCACCTCCTGACTTCAGGAATGACCGAGCATTCACGGCGGGACAAGCAAGGCGCATGCACTTGGGAGGCAGCTTGAGGCTGGAGGGAGGTAGCCCACAAGCGCCTCAGCACAGAATGGCTAGCGCCGACTTCAAGAACCGTCGCATCACAATCGGAAGCCTAGCAGCGACCGGTAAGATCGAAAAGGCACATGCACCTAGGCCCAGCGTGGCAGGTTGGCGTTGATTTTCGTTCTTTGGTTTCAGTCATACCCACTTGGCTTGGTGGTTGTCGCATAGAGGCGATGGGGGAGTTATTGGTTCACCTTCCCTATTAGATCCTTGAGGGGGGGGTTTTTTTTTTTCTCTCTCTCGTTGACGGGCGTTGGGCACACTTCGGATCTTAATCTCACAAAGTTCTTTTGGGTTGTTTCCAGCCGTTTGGCAGGCCTCGTCGAAGGCCCTTGTATGGTTGTTGTATCAATAGGTCGGGGTAGGGCATATATTCACAGTTCATCTGATAAGAATTCTTCAGCTCAGCAACCCACCCCCGCGCTGTACGAGTGTGTGATGGTGACAGGTGCTGAGAAACAAATCGCCGGGTTCACAGTGTCATTTTACCAAGCAGCCAAGACACGCCGCTCCGAAGATCCCAGGGCATGCCAGGAAAACGTGGATGCAGGCGTGCAGTGAGGACCGAGGTCACGCCCACCCCCGGATTCGTGCCAAGACTGACGCACGTCGGTATGCTACTACAGTCCGATAATGCGAATATGTCGTGTGAGACTCGAGTGAGTTGCGAGAGTTGAGACTGTGAGACTTTGGAGTCTGTGAGATCTGAGATGAATGTCGCTTTGGACCTTCCGTCGGTGCGATGTCATGCTGCTAAAAACAGCACACTTTGTACCAGCAGAACCTCAGAGTTCGGAGCCTCATGATGAGACAGAACTCAACGGCCGAGGTGTGCCGAATGATCCGCCTACCTGTGGTCCATGAGGCAGGCATGGACAGTTTATGGGCAGCGCGCCTGAAAGGGCCCTCATTCGAAACAAAAACGCTCGCTGTTTCAAATAGTTTTCGGTAATTGATGAGGTGATATTTTTCTTTCCATCGCCGATGAGCCATGAGCCGGGAGCCGGGGGGAAGGGATTTGAATGGGCAATGGGAGGAAAGGCAAACGATATTTGAATGCAGACTTGCAGGAGTTCTTCTCTCGGGATGAGTGGGTACCGGCCAAGGTTCGCCGACGGGCTCGCGATCAGCTTTGGAAACCCCGAAGGGCTAGAACCTTCAGCTGTATATGTGTTGCAAGCGCGCGCCGAGGCTCTCTCATTCAGCAGGTCAGGACATATCAGATGGCAGATGCATGCGGCCAACGAGTGAGAGAGAATACTAGAGTTCACGACATCATCATCAACACCATCTCTCTCTCTCTCTCTCTCTCTCACACACACACACACACACACATACATAATACAACAGACACCATGAAGGGCAATGAGACGTTGAACTAAGCACCATCTCCGTTGAAGGGGTGGAATGACGGAGTGGGCCAGCGATAAAGGCAAAATAAGTGATGGCATTACCTAAGTTCCCCTGGCGTGGCCCTGGCGTGGCCCTGGCGGTAACGTAATAAGATTTCCCCTTTACCTAAGAGGACCGTTGGACCATAGGATGGCCCCCTCTTCGCCGTCTGCCACTCGTGCCACTCAAAGCCACTCCAGGGGAGACCCAGGTCGGGGTAGCTGAGAGTTCTGCGACGGCGCAATCTTATTCCAATCATGCTTATTCGGCTGATTTTCACCAACCGATGCTTATCGCGTCGTCGGCAGAAGGGGCGGGTAGATTTACGATATGTGATGAGCACGAGGTGAGTAGCTGGCCGTTGTCGAGCACTCGAGAGCTTGTTCACAATGCCTGAAATTTGAATCACTGATTGATGATCTCTCTCTTCTCTCATTTGCCTTCTTTTTCTTTTCTTTTTCTGCGGTGGTGTGTACCCTATTTCTGCTACCTCACAAGTCTTTCATTCCTTATCTCTCATAGCAAGGAGACCGGCTCAGACGGCATCGCTTTTGGACCGTGGTTGAGGCGACTCTCGGGGCTATCTTCAGCTCATTGAACCCCTCTCTCGCCTCATCGAGGGCTATGACGACAAAGTGCTCGGAGACATTGATCAAATGAGGAATGTGAGAAGAGGTACTGTCAAAAGTTTCACGCGCGCAATTAAGAAACAAGCTGGAAAATGGATAGTTCAGTCGACCAGAAAAGAATACGCGCGAACTTTTGCAAAGGTAACCCCAGTCGCCTGCTGAGTCGCCAAATCCGCGAGGTTCCAATCTCTATCGAGAAGTTGAATGCAACGGGAACAGGGTCCAGGCCGGAATAGCCGCAGCACGTCATGACAGGTCAACACCTCTCAGTCTCACTCACTCGCGGAGTCGCGAGTCGGGTCACCTCACTCACAAGTCACAAAACTCACTTTCATTCACTCATCGCTTGGTCGGCAAGGTAGTAGGGGGCCGCAGGGCAGCATCGCCAAGAAACATCGCCAAGATGGCAGCAAACAGCCGAAACCCGCTCAGCTGGATCCCGCGTTGACACAGAGACTATGCAAAGACAATGAGTTGCGGCGGCATGCGGCGTGATCCCCCCCCCTTCAACCCCTGTCCTGTCTGTCCCCTTCGCTTCAGCCTTCATGTCCACCTCCCCCCTTGGGGTTCTTCCCCCCCAGAAACCTAGAAAACTCTCTTGTCTTCCCTTCCCGTCTTGGCCTCGATCTCGTACCTGCTGCGGCCCCAGACTGGGCATTTTCTGGGCAGACATGGAATGAAGCAATGCCCCAGGGGATCAGAGCATCGAGGGTCGCAAGGTCGCAATCGCCAACCTCTGGGCTCGCATGCGGGATTGCGGGTGGGGACTTGGCGGTAAAGCTTGTTTCCATGTGCCGAGGCGCATCAAGAGCCAAGAATACCAATGGAAGAGACGGGACGGTGGCAAGTTCGCCGTCAGAACACCACCACAACGGGTGACCACGCCTTTGCAAAGCATGGGTTCGCCTGCTTAGCTTTCTCGACGCATGGTCTAATCCTCGACTTTCTCGGAGCCCCAGCGGACTTGGACCGTAATGTGGCCTGGCTGAGTCCCGGAGCCATGTCCCGGAAAGGTAGGTGCTTTCAACGTCGACTCGAGAACGAGGACCACTGTACCACACGGCACCACTCAAGACCGGCACCGGGGCTATAGCGAGGGGTGATGGATCATGGAGTGACGGACCAGAATCAGATCGCTCAACAGGAGAATGCCTTGTTTCGCCTCTGGATTGGTTGGTCCCGCCCTCCGCCGGTGCTCCTCTCCCCGCCGCGAACCCCCTCCATCAGCCCGGCTCCATTCATATCATCTGCTTTTGGTGCCTTGCTGCTTGCTTTTGGCCCTGGCTCCCCTTTTCACTCATCTCAACTTTCCGGCCTTGGATCCAAGAGCGGAGGACGGGTGGTGCGTGTCGACACTTGACAAACAAGTGTCGACTCGTTCGACCCTTTTCGACCTGCTCTTTTCCATCTAGTCTACCGCTGCTGGGAACTTTGTGCCAGTGACAAGCTTTGGTCAAAAGTTCCCATAACCCTTCCACCCCTGGCCGAGAATACGCTGGTCCTTGGGATGGGTTCCATCTTCCACCATTCCATGCGCTCCATGGAGGAGAGACAGATGGAGCTACGACCTTAGTCGAGGTGCTCTAGAGACTAGAGTCTATCAGTCCCCTGATCGAGACTAGCCTGCCCGTTGATGGCTGCCGCAAGTAGTCAACTGCTTGTTGTTCCTCCTTGTTGATCTACACACTACCGACAACCGTCCCTTCTCATCAAATCTAGCCCCTCTGTTCTCTCGAATCATGTTGCGCAGCACCATCGTCCTTGTCGGCGCGATATGGAGTCGCGACAGGCAGCCTTGCTATTGCACGATGCTCCCTCTTGGAAGGTGGTATTCCCCCACGACTAGCTTGTGCCGCACACCATGATGGCCCTCCTTCACGAACCTCCCCCCTGGATGTTATTGTTGGCCGTGACATATCCAAAGCCCGTGATGTTGGCAAGGACTGCGAGTAATGTCGCCATGATCCATCCTATCGCCCCGACTTGCCGTCCCCCGGTTCCAGAGTCCAAGAGTCCAGACACCATCTTCATAGACTGGACGATGACGATATAAACCATCCCATCTCCCCGTTGATCATCCCATCTCTCTTCCTCATCCTCATCGGTCATCTCCCAGTCCTCTCTCGTCCTCATATCCTCTTCTCTGCTCCCTTCCTGGCTTCACTAGCTTTCAGTCATCTCACAATGACTGGCTCTTCCTTCGTCTCGGCCCTCACGGCCGGCCTCGCCCTGGCCTCCTCCGTCGCCGCCCTCCCCGCCGGTGCCCAGCAGGAGAGAGGCTTCACCGTCGAGCAGATCAAGAACCCCCGCTACGTCCGCTCCGGTCCCCTCGCTCTCGCCAAGGCCTACCGCAAGTACAAAGCTGCTCTCCCCGCCGACCTTGCTGCCGTTGTCGCCAACATCAGCTCTGCCGGCCTCGTCGAACGTGCCACTGGCAGTGTCGCCGCCAACCCCCAGGAGTACGACGTTGAGTATTTGAGCCCCGCCCAGATCGGCACCCCGGCCCAGACCCTCAACCTCGACTTCGACACCGGCTCCTCCGACCTGTGGGTCTTCTCGACCTCCACCCCGACCAGCCAGCGCAACGGCCAGACCGTCTACGACCCCTCCAAGTCCACCACCGCCTCCCGCCTCTCCGGCGCCACCTGGTCCATCTCCTACGGTGATGGCTCCAGCTCCAGCGGTATTGTCTACAAGGACACCGTCACCGTCGGTGGTCTGACCGTCACCGGCCAGGCCGTCGAGGCTGCCTCCACCGTCTCGGACTCCTTCACCTCCGAGAGCGACCTGGACGGTCTCCTTGGTCTCGGCTTCAGCAACATCAACACCGTTGAGCCCACCCAGCAGACCACCTTCTTCGACACTGCCAAGTCTAAGTTGGACTCTTTCCTCTTCACTGCTGATCTGAAGCACGGCAAGGGTAAGCACTCGCTCATTCTCATATCACTAGGCATGGTGTGATAAGAACGGGAAAGTTTGATACTAACACAATTTACTTATAGCCGGCAAGTACAACTTCGGTTACATTGACAGCACCGCCTACACCGGTGCCATCACCTACACCTCCGTCAACTCCGCCAACGGATGGTGGCAGTTCACCTCCTCCGGCTACCAGGTCGGCTCCGCCAGCTTCGTCTCCAGCTCCGTCACCGGTATTGCTGACACCGGCACCACCCTTCTCCTCCTTCCCCAGGCCATCGTCACCGCCTACTACGCCAAGATCACTGGTGCCAAGTACGACTCTTCCCAGGGTGGCTACACCTTCCCCTGCTCCGCTACCGTCCCCGCCTTCACCTTCGGCGTCGGCACCGCTCGCATCACCATCCCCGCCACCTACATGAACTACGCTCCCATCAGCACCAGCACCTGCTTCGGTGGCCTTCAGAGCAACGCCGGCATTGGCATCTCCATCTACGGTGACATTGCCCTCAAGGCCGCCTTCGTTGTCTTCAACGGCAGCACCAAGCAGCTCGGCTGGGCTGCCAAGACCCTCTAAATGCTTAGAGAGCGCAGCTTAGAGCAGAAATAGAAGAAAGAGATGGACGATTCAGCAAACATGAAGCCCCGGGTAATCTGGGTTTGAGGACAGGACAAGGGAAAGAGAACTGAGGGTTGTTTGGAGAATCGTCCATCGGGACAATCCATGTGGCGATTTGGTCACTACTTATACATAATTCTTATTCGTAGCATATTGGCGGACATTTATGAGCGATGATGACGAGAATATAATTGCATTGTCTATATTGAATAACAAGACTCAGACTTTGAAAGGAGATTGAATTAGTTCCTTGGTTTTTTCCGCGTGTGTATTTGACAGTGGTCTTTTCCGTGTAAGTGCTTTCTTTTATGGGTTAGCATCGCTTCTTATTGAGCCTTTTTCCGAAGTGCCAAGAGTTGAGTCTTTCCCTGGACGCGTCGTGTTTGGACCGCTAAAATGCATTTGGAGTCGCCCTCCACATTTACAGCTCAACTCATCGCTCACTCACACCCATTCCCGCCCGCGTTCTCCTCCCATCTCAAATTTTCATTCCTCCAATACAAACCATGTTTACATATGAAGGGTTCCTTGGCATACGGCACAAGCCATCTGGTATATGCCAAGGTCCTAGCATCTCTCCCGCCCAGGCCCTAGAATCTGCCCAGAGCGGCGCGGCCGTCCGGCGCGCTTCGTGGCACTGGGCACTGGGTAGAGGATCAAGGAATGTGGGAGTGAAGGAACAGAATGGGAGCGTCTCTCCTCGGGCTCAAGTTACCGAGGTGCAGAGGGTGGCTGATGAGAAGGAGGTGAGATGGCTGGCATCGTTGGGTGGTTTGGGAGCAACCGAGCAAGGCTGCTGTGCCAAGAGAAACGAACAAGGGGAGATAGGTAGGGGAGATAGGTAGGGGAGCGTGGTGAGGAGGAGTGAGTCCGCAGCGGCGTGATTCTGCGGAGGACCATTTCTTCCTCATTCCCTTGCTCATCACAATGGATCAACTTCACCACAACGGCGGGCAATACATAGCGGCACTTGCTACGGAGTGCATGGTGGTGATGACGGATAGCTGATAAGAAAGACTTTCACAAAGCCATGTCTCTCATCTTTCTGAGAACCAAAGTCCTCGGAGATTTGGGGGCGAAATACGACACAGTGAGTTTTTGCGGTGACTCTTGGCGCAACTCTGAAATGAGGGTCGAATATCCACTGTATGATCATCGCTCTATTTCATCTACAGTATCTGTACCTAACGTTGCTTTAGACGCCGGAGATGGAACTTCGGCACTTTGAGGTTGAATTTGCTGAGACCATGGACCCTTACAGTCCCCCGATGTCTATTCCGTACGTAGAACCCTTCAATACCGGGGACTAGCGGCACCATCCCGCCATCTCATCGATGGGGTGGTGTCCGTCGCGGACTTATCGGGGAGGTGATGGGCGGTAATCTGTCGCTCACCACCTAGAACCCGCCAATCACATTTCCTCGATGCGCATCTCTTGTCATCCCCTCAATGAGCCTGGTTCATCTGACTCTCTTCCCGCGTATTTGCGCTATATACGGAAGTCGAGGACGACAACTTGGCGGTCTTCGGATGAGGTCGCCGACTTGGCGATGGCAAAGACGGACAGGATATCTTCCTCCTCAAGCCTTTTGATATCCACAAGCGGCTCACCCATGAACCCAACGCCACTCCAGATCTCTACTGCGTCAGCGTAGGCTTTTGCTTTTGATGATTTGAGGATGCGGAGGGATGAATTGGTCGGGTTGGGAAGGATCAGAAAGAGATCACCAGTTTTGCCGATGGCTAGACGGCCGCGTCGAGGACTGGGTACCGGCCCGATGATATTCTGCGTCCATGTTCTTACTCAAGACGCATCGTTAGCTGAGTTAGATTGGTGCCTATGGAAAATCACAAGCAAGGCTGGCTGTCATAATCTCACCGTGGGGAAATCGATAGTAATGCTTCCATAGGCTCTCCGTTCATCGTGTCGCGGTTGAGAACATGCACCCCGCCCTCCTGATCGACTGCCCGGGCCTCTTGGTTTGTCAAACCTCGCCCCTTGGGGATCTCAAAAGCAACAAGGACGGGGCAATCAGGTGTAATTGAGCCTCCCTCTTTCAACGAAGCGATCGATTCGTCTTGCCCATTCTTCCATGTGTACCCTCCATCATTGCTATAAGCATAGCATATGTTGTGATTGTTTTCGGCACCATTGGGTCCAGCTTGTTGCTTGTGCTTCGCATCTAGAGGGTCATCCCAACCGTCGTAGTGGACAAAGCCGCGATATACCCATGTGGTATGTAGCTTGCCATCACGGTAGTCCATGCCATGAACGTATGGGTTGTTCTGGATGCCTTTCAGGTGTTTTCCAGCATACTCGTCAAACCTGTTGCGGCACGATATATGTACAGTAGGTCGTCCCCGAGACCAGCTTTGCCATTTCTGATGGAGAAGAACATGTTATCTCCCAAGGTACCAATACATGGGTAGGTAACGTAGCCGAAGTTCTCGTGAGGTAGGTCAATTCCGGGAACATGATCGAGAGTCGAAGTGAACACGTCTTTGCTCCATCGAAATCGTTCTGGATCACTGGCAATGCCTTCTATAGAATATCGGTATCTCAAGCTTGAGAGTCTGTTAGTGACGGTGGGGCTTCTCAAGATTGAAACAACTCGAAGCTACAACAACGAGATGGACAAAGGTAATCTTACACGTCACAGTGATGGTCGTAAGATAGGTGAATGGTACCATCGCCCGGACAGATGCCCATCTGTACGGTATTATGGCCATCGTCAGTAGTTTGGCGATAATCGTCAAAAACTATCGTCTGCCACTCAGTGTCAGGCAGTTTACGCCGAGCCAAATAGACGAAGAGAGGTTCTAGCTGAAGATCGTTCTCCGGACCTGAGGGAGAACAACTACTGTAGAACACGGCATATTGCCAACCCTTGAAGGAGATGATGGCGTCTTGCTGAAACGCGTTCCCATTGAGATTGCAGTTGCGGTGAGCCGTGTCCTGGCCCAACAGAGTGACCACGGGGGCATGAAGACGATGCCACCTCGTTGAGTGACATCCCGGCTCGTCAGTGCAGGCAGGTCAGGGACAAGCAAAAGCGGGGGGCTTGGTTCGAGCTGGGTATCTTGGCGCTGGATGTTAGAGGTGGCACTGGAATGCGCGGGCTTGGTGTGGCACGATCGAGGGTACGGAAGTGAAAGGGGAAACATAGAGGCTCTTGGAGTGGCTTGCATGTGTTTTCAACGTCGGGCCTTGGAGGACAAAATTCCTCCGTCCTGTCTCTACACGAGAATATCTCGCGATGACGATACAGCGACGCGCCGACTTTGTGTCGAGATCGCAGGACTAGACCAAAAGCCTCTCAATAGTCCAAGAACTAACATAACCTGATGTTATAGCTGGGTAACTCTATTAAAGTCTGAAGACCACGAGACAACCGTGACGGGTGTGCATCCGAGTTCCATAGTCCTGGGCTGCGACTGTACGGCACATGCCGAATTATTGGTTCGTGGATGGCTACAGATGCAAATGAGACGCCAGTGCAAGCAGTGCAGGGCGTGACAGGTCTAGCAGGCCCAAGGACTCGGATCCGGAACCAAAGAGACATGACGGGGAGGGAGTGGTATGTGGCATCGCATGATGTTGGCCGAAGTCGACCGGAGTGGCTCATTTAGCGCCTGGTGTCTCGAACATATTTGGACTATCTACATGCAGACTTGTTGACGAATGAGTTGAACCAACTACCACATACGAGTGTGAATCAACGTGCGTACCAGAAGAAGATTGGAAAGCTTCGAATATAGAGTATTGGCAGAGAATCAGACTAGATAGATCCGGTCACCCAGGTCAGAAACGCGGATTAATTTTTCCGTCAAATGAACGAGCTTCAAGTCTTGGTGCCAAGCCTTAGGATCCAGCGCCACAAACTCGAAGTGGTGTCGCGACAGATGGGTATGGCCGTTGGAACCCCAGACTCGAACCGTGTTTGACGGGGGTTGGTCGAATCACGATCTATCTTACCCTACCTGGAATAGTCATCAAGGTCATCAAAGAGATGCTAGATCGAGTCTCAAATGGGACGAAAAAATGAGACAAAGTCCAACAACAGCTTAGACTGTGGTTTCGGTGGTTGAAGACATCTACGAACGAGGCTTGTCTAGCTATGGTCAAGCGTCAACGGAGAGGCGTCGTCTACTCTGATAGAATCATTCTTCGTCCATTGACAAAGTCCGTAGGCTGCCCGTCAACTTGCTCACGGTCTAGGTATTCGCCCATAGTTCGTTCGTGTCTCTCTGTGCCACTTCACCCACCTCCTCTTCGATGACCCCCGCGATCTCCAACACCTCTCCATCCCCATTTCTCCCACCTGCACCCTTACTCCGCAGAATCCACCCGTACGGGGATGGTTCGACAAATGGGCTACCGGTTGGAGCAGAAACGGGTCCGGGACGTGGGACGAAATGGTGTGGGAGGCGCCGGAACCACGTTGGTTCGATTCATCGAGAGACTACGGAGTACCACTCTAGTCTCTTGCCACTGACTGGTTGTCAGAGACTCTTTGGCTCTTTGGTGTTTGCGTGTTCTTGTAACCCTGTACGGATACATCGTCCCATGCCCGGACTTCCCTGTCAGCGCATACGCAGTGCAGAAAGGACTAAACCAAGTCCAGCGCACTAAACATCTGCTCCCTTGTCTACACTCTATCCGTAGTTTCGTACAGCCAGTCATGGCAGTCGAACTCTACGGCCCATGCAGAGTACATCTCCACGCTCTTATTCTCTTTGCCTTTTTGCCTCGTCCCTCTTTCTCCACCTTCGCAAGTAGCCTAAATTCTGTGATGGGGGAGACAACCAGAGATGCATCTCCCAGCAAATCACGCGCCATGTTCGTTGCAAGGAGCGGTCCACATTTCGGCGATGGAAACCGCAACGAGGATAGCCACAGCTCGGGGAGCCGTTCGTCCTAGCAAGCATACGGATACTTTATTCTTGCTCCGCTCTGAGTTCCCTGGGGCACCTGGGGAACAACGGGAGTCTTCTCTGGGGCCCCAGAGAGCCACGTCTATCGCTATTAAGGTTGAACTGCTAGCACATGTACCGGCGGGCGTTGTGTTTCTGTTGTTGCCATCATGAAGAATCTGGTATATCTTGGAGGCAACCCCGGCGGACAGGGCCATCTATGCCTTGATTTCATTATCTTCACACCAAAATCAAGCCTACCCCTTGTCAAGTTGATGGTTCGTATGGATGAACAGTCCGTGAGAGCCAGGCTAGCAACCCAGGCGAGCTCGAGGCCACTGAGAAATAGGATGCGCACGTGTATGCTTCGATCTCCCACCAAAGTCCTTCCATGGCTGCGATGATGATCTCCCCTTGGCTCGCACACTCGTACCCGAGCATCGTTCCTGTCGTCCATCTGACTAGAGTGCCATCCGTTCTGCCTTTAGCCTGCCAAGCCTAGTCTCTGAGACTAGCCCAGCCATGCCATGCTTGTTGCTGCATCCCATCCGGCCACCTCGACGGTCGACCACCACCACAGTTACCACACACCCCCAAGATGCTTGCCGAATCCCACACTTTGCCGGAAGCCTCCAATTGCACGACCTGGTCGGCTGATCGCAAAACCGAATAGGTTCCCCCTCCCCCAAGGCCAAGCCGTTCCTCTGCCGCCCCCGTCGGTCCAGCACCGTCGGGCTGCCCTCTCCGTCCCCTCTGAATGGCGGAAAAATCTCATGGACAATTCACCGTCCGTCTTGGTACTCGTTGAGGGTCGGTATTCCTGGAGTTCAGAGATACAGATGAGCGGACGAACGAGCTAGGCGAGACAGGATTGCAGCAGGGGTTCTTTCGTTCTGGACGGGCTGGGAGACGCACAGGAGCGCATTGCGACCATGGCTCCGGACAGTTAGGTACTCCTCACCAGCACTCCAATCCCCTTTTCCCCAGGTTACTTTCTGCTACGGATACATGTGAGATGGCAAATTGCTTACTATTCTGGCAGTGAGGGGTCCCCGGGTTTCCATCCATCTGGGGAAAGACGAGGGTCCTGATCAGCAAAGAAGGGGAAAACACCATTAGAGATTTCCGATATATCAGGGCCGCCATCCCGCACCCTCTAGCCCATGCTTTCTTTCTCTTCGTCGCACCGTCTCCTCATCCAGTCTCCAGCCCATCACCACCCCCTCACCTCTTGAGCTGACTCACCTTGGCTTGAGACTCAACCATCACAGGGTGTCGTGTCACGTCACGTCGGCTACCAACCATTCAACTGCGACAGCAACACCCAAGCCCGCCAAAGCCTGGCCACGTCGTAGAGAAATCAACCGCCCAAGATGACGACCATGCAAAAGGTCCTCAAGAAGATTGTCCACAATGAGTCCATGGAGACGGACCCCCCAGAGATCTACGGATGGAGAGTCTTCGCACTCGCCGCCTCCGCCTGCTTCGGTGCTATGTCATTCGGTTGGGATAGTTCCGTCATTGGCGGTGTCGTTGTCATGGAGCCCTTCAAGAAGTAAGTGACGATCAATGCCGTACCCGCTCAAAGAACAAGATATCACCCATAGAGTATGATGAGACTGACTTGTCCACCAACAGCGACTATGGACTCAAGGATGCCGAGCCCGTCGAAACCGCCAACTTGACCGGTAACATTGTGTCTACTCTCCAAGCCGGATGCTTGGTCGGTGCTCTTATCGCCTCCCCCATGACGGACAGATTTGGCCGCAAGTGGTGTCTCGTCACTGTCGCTGCCATTATCCTCATCGGTGTCATCCTTCAAGCTGTCTCTTCCGGTAGAATCGCTGCCATCTTCGTCGGTCGCTTCATCGCTGGTCTCGGTGTCGGTGGTGCCTCTTCTATCAACCCTCTCTACGTCTCTGAAAACGCGCCTCGTGCCATTCGTGGTCTCCTCACTGGCATGTACCAACTGTTCATCGTCACAGGAGGTATGATTGCCTTCTGGATCAACTACGGCGCCGAGGTCAACTTGACGGGCAAGACAATGTACGTCTTCCCTCTCGCCATCCAGGGCCTGCCCAGTCTTATGCTTCTCGTCTGCATGCTTTTCTGCAACGAGTCTCCCAGATGGCTGGCCCGTCAGGACAAGTGGGAAGAGGCCAAGAAGATTCTCTCCACCCTTCGCAACCTGCCCGAGAACCACCCCTACCTCGAGGACGAATTCCAGGAGATTGTTGACCAGCTCAACCACGAGAGACAGCTCATCGGCAACGCCACCTTCAAGAACCTGCAAAAGGAGATGTGGACCATCAAGGGCAACCGCAACCGTGCTCTCATCTCCATCTTCCTCATGATCTGCCAGCAAATGACGGGAACCAACGCGATCAACACCTACGCCCCTACCATTTTCAAGAACCTCGGTGTTACCGGTCGCTCCACGCCTCTTCTGTCAACTGGTGTCTACGGAATCGTCAAGGTGCTTGCCTGCATCTGCTTCTTGCTTTTCATGGCCGACTCTCTTGGCCGTCGTCGCTCGCTTCTCTGGACTTCCATCGCTCAGGGCTGCTGCATGTTCTACATCGGTCTCTACGTCCGCATCTCCCCGCCTATCCAGGGAGAGCCTGTCCCGGGTGCTGGCTACATGGCTCTAGTTGCCATCTTCCTCTTCGCGGCATTCTTCCAATTTGGTTGGGGTCCAGCATGCTGGATTTACGCCTCTGAAATCCCGGCAGCTCGTCTTCGTTCCCAGAATGTCGCCCTCGCTGCTGCCACCCAGTGGCTCTTCAACCTCATCGTTGCCCGTACTGTCCCCAACATGCTGGCCACCGTCGGTGCTCACGGCTACGGGTAAGTGACTCGCTGCTCATTTCTCTGATCATATGGACATTCAGCTAACATTGCGACAGAACCTACCTTATCTTTGGAAGCTTCTGTTTCTCCATGTTCTTCTTCGTCTGGTTCTTCGTCCCCGAGACCAAGGGTATCTCACTCGAGCACATGGATGCCCTCTTCGGTGTCACCGACTACGACTCGGACAAGAACCTAGCCCACGACAACGCCAGCGAGACCAAGGCCTCCCCCGAGATCCAGGTCGAGTCTACCAACCCCGCCCACGCCCACGTCCGCAAGGAGTCCGCTTAGATGGCTCCGTTTGGAGACATGATGGGAGTGTTTGTAAGGCGATGCCATAATGTCAAATGATGGGAAGTTGCAAGCGGTTTTGATCTTAGATGAGATTTAGAAAGGGGTTGAAATGCGTAGTGTGAGATGGTCACTACGTACCCAGTTGCGCCATTTGATACCAATCTTTTGAGTCCAAAGCCATGCACGGCAGAGGCCTATGATCATTAATTCAATCGAAATTTGAATTCACCATGACGCTTACTTGCCAAGTGAGACCAACTGCGTCGTAGCTTCTTGCGACCGATCGTCCTCGGAGTCTATGAGATGGAAACACAATTGTCATTTTCTGCCTTACTTCCCCTTTACCGCATTCGGCCTTCATTCATGTCATATGGAGGCGATTAGTAATCGTATGGAATCAGGTAGATTTCTTCGCCGTAAAGAAGCTCTGAGCAGCAACGCTTATAAAGGACTCCATGGTTCGTAGGCCGGCACTGCATCACAGAGCAGTTTTGAGAGAGATACGAGAGAGATAGCACCATTGGGATTACGCCTATAAAACGCTGCACATTGCCTGCTTGCAGCCGGGTATTGCTGGGGCGACATCATGCCACGATCGCTGACGATCGCTGACAGAGTTGCCCATGAAACGCCAAAACCTATTGGATCATTTGGAATACACCCGAAATACCAAGTCGAACCATCCGACTTGTGTCCATAGCCCCGTATCCTTTTGCCCCTGTTGCTGTGCCGCAGCATGTTGTCCAGAAGGAGACCCCCAGGTAGACGCCTAAAGTAGCTCCATGACCACATATGAATTGAGAGAAATAGATCAAAACACGCTTGCAAGTATAAAAATGCACACCGAAACAAGACTCGTCTACTGTCCTCCAGGAGCTCCCGCACCATCGAAGATGATGAGCGGCCACTGACCGACGGGAGCTGTGACAGAGGCCATATCGGCCACGGTCGCGGCTTCAGTCACAGCATTGGGATCCCTTGACGCACCGCCCAGGGTCAACAGGGCATTAGCGCTGTACCTATCTTGACTGTCTGCCATCGCCGCTGTCCAGTCGTGCCAGGTATTTCCTTGCGAGGCTGATTGTCTCCAGAGAAGCTCTGCCGCAGCCGCAGAGCCAGCCGGATCTGCGACGTGCTGAGTGGCTTGGGATGCGAACGCGATTAGCGGGTTGGTCTCGGCCGTGTTGTCATCCCCGTTTGTGGGCTGCGTCGCCGCAGGCGTATATGAGTATCCGTTGTTTACCTCGAAATTACTTGTCGATGCCATAATGTTGGCATTTGGTGGCTGCTCTGTGTAAGCTAGCGAAGGATATGGGGTTGTCCCATTCTGATTCTCTTCGCCGGGAAGCCCGTCGGGGTAAAATGCTTTGGTAGCCGCTTCGTCGGCACTGGCAGCGAGGGCTTGCGCTGCTTGAGGCTGAGACGTAAGCTGAAAGGGGGACGCCTCTGCCGTCGACGGTTCGGGCTTGATCGTCGGGGGAAGTGATGAATCTTTCTGTTTTTGATCGTGTTCAATCCAACTGATTGTCCTCTCAATGATGACACTGATTTCGTTACTAATACGAGTGCCAGTTCCTAGATATGGGAGGTTAGTGTCAGAGTTTAGCAAGGCATATTTGGGATCTTGCTCACCTAGTAGCGAGACAATCGCATTGATGATCTCCATCCAATCCTTCATCTCCTCTCGAAGGGTTGCAATCTGATTAGGCGTTGCCTCAAACCTTCTTTCCCAATGAGCGACCAATGTGGTGAAAATCGCGGCAACGTATACTGCCATTTGATACCACGTCGTATCGAGAGACTTCAGCTTCACGAGGCTCTTGACGGCATTGAGCATGTGCGCAGCAGTCTCTTCGCATATGCGAGCATTTTCGAGGAGGAATTTGCGATCGCTGGTCATGGCCACGGATGGATGGCGTAGACACAGCCGAAGCTCAAGGGCGTACATCTGGATGTATAAGGCATACATACGGCCTTCATGTTCAGTTTGCCCGGGGTTGATCTGAAGCGGTTCGGGAAGATTTTCCTTCCATAGACGAAGCTGCTCTTCGAGAGAGTTGACAACATCAACGTAGTTCTTGGGGTCGCGCTTGACACTGTAGATGTTGGAGTACATTTCCATGAATAAGGGCAAAATCTTGAAGCCTGCCAGCCCAACGTGATATGTGCAGGGCGTCGTCACTGACGGGTCTACGCCGTCTGGTGTCAACGCCTCATCGGCGATCGGCTCGGGAAATTCGACGTCGTACTCTTCAACCGTGATAGGCATAGGCCGCCCAAGGCGCCCGTTTAGAGTGACGTAGACGAGGAGGATAGTCCACCAAGTGCGCTTTCTGATCTCGTTTTCGAGATTGGTCGTCTCACCGGGCGCCTTCATGGCGCGGTGCATATTCAAGTCGATGGCGCGGTGGAAGGCAAAGTTGGTCACCATAGAGCCGCAGCCTGGCTTGGGGAAGCTACGACTATGAGCGCAAATCATTGCCATGGCCTGAACGGCCGCGACAGATTGCGAGGATGCCAAGTCAAACATCTTACTCAGAGCATAGTGATAGTGCTTGTTAGACAGCTCGTTGAGTTGAGATCGTGTTTCCTGCTGCTCCCAATTTCGCACGCCGTACTGGAAGTAAATGGTCGCAAAGACCATGTGCACCATGACCTGATCAGGCACACTTGCTTCGAAGCCGGGTTCGTCGTACATACGAGTGAGCTGTATATGGTCAGAGCTGACACAATTGTGCCGAGATCGGTCAACTTACGATATTCATGAAGCTAGGCTTGTGTAGGACTGGCAGGAAAGGCCAAATCATGAGGAAGTACCATTCAGAGTATGTAAAGGCGTCGTTCCTCGAAGGGAGCTCGATGTTGACTGTAGGGTTGATGTTCATGCTGGATTGGAGGAAAGATTGTAGAGACTTGTTGTACAGGGGCTGTGCTTCCTTGGCGTCTGGTATCGGCTCGTCGATATCGGGGGCATTGAAAGAGGTGACGTCTATTGTCGTCCCTAGAATGGACAGCTGAGTGCCCTTGATGGAGCTGAGAGGCGCGCTGTCGGAACCAACGCCCAAGTGATTATGGACGGGACGGGACTCGAGCGTCGATCGAGGGAATGAGCGACCACCAGACGGTTTGTAGTTGTAGTTCTTAACCCAGACAGAACCGACCTTGGTCCAGGCATCCTTCTCGTTGGGGTCTTCGATGGCATTGCCCATGTGGTCATAGGTTGCACCAGGAGTCGGATAGTTGATGGCATAAGGGGACCACTGGTACGGTTTGACCTCGGTGCCATTGTTCTCGAGCAACTTCTCGAGCTCGCGGATGTGGCTCATCATGTCTGTCTTTTCCCTTTCGAGCTCCTGGAGGTAGCCTCTCCTTTCGGTTCGGCCGGTGACGCGATCGGTAACGAAGCAGTCGAGGTTCTGACTGATGCAGTGGGAGCATCCTTCGGGGAGGGCATCGCATCGGATCTTCCTGACCTAAAATTATTATCACCAGGGTTAGTAAGGGGAGGCAAGATTCAAGAGGGAATGGGACGATCCAGTGTCATGAAAGGGCCAGGACGACGTCAAGGAGAGCAGTCGAGACGTACCTTGCATCTGTCGCAGGCCTGGCCGGTCCTTGTGTAGGACGACAGGCGATTCTTGACAACGGACGAGAAGTCCTCCTGGCCGCCCTTGCCGAGTCTCGGTAGCTTCACCTTGGCCGCAGGTATGGAAGCGACATCGTCGGAGGGAGTAGCAGCATCGCCAGCTTCTGCCGGTCGCTTGGGTGGGCGACCCGGCATGGTCTATCGTTTCCTCTCCCTCTTCTTCTTCCTGCTCTATTGGTGAGAATCGTAATTCGTAAATGGCGCAAACTTGTAGCGACGCGCGGGACGGGAAGAGAGTCGCGACGGGGATTGCCGTGGATGATGGAGGTTGCCGCGTTTTTAGGAGAGCTGTGCGCTGCGCTGCTGAGGTACCGGAAGGACAGCCGGGGGGAAAGCGTCGACTCCAGTGGCTCCCTTCAGGCTTCAGGGGGTAGAGAGACTGGGGGGCCGCGGGCGCTGGTCGCAAACGCACTGGGGGTGGGCTCCCAACCTGTCGGGATGCGGGAGGGCGGCAGGGCGGGTTCCAGGCCAAGCTATCCGTAAATTGAACCTGTAAGGAACCTTGACTCACTGAGCTTGATTTTTTTTTGAAGGCAACCCAGCTCACTCACTGTACTGTATCCGTACGCTACGTGCCAATTCAAAGGACGCTTGCCACTTAGTCTGACGCTTGACACGCGGGGCCAGTCTAGAATCAATGCTCTAGACCTACTGATGAGACCTGATTCCCCAAGTCAGACTGGCTGATAACGGAATCCAGTTGACGTTGAAGGCGTAAAGTTGAGTGAGAGCTGTGAAGTCTGTGGATGTGGAGGCTGCTAAAGAGACTGGCTGAAGTGAGACTCGGTAAGATTGGACGAGTGATAGTGCTGATTGCTCGTGAAAGCTAACGGCCGGAGGTAAGTAGGTAGGCATTCGTGATTCAAGTGGAAAGGACATGTAAACCAATGAACCAGATGGCAGGGCAATCGCTGTCAGTACCTATGGTAAGAGTAAGAGAGATGTGGTTTGTGTGATGAGATGTGAGATGTGATATGCCAGACTGTTCGACTTTCAACACCATGCCCCCAGGAAATTTCTGGCGAGTGAAACGGACGGACCAGAAAGGACGATGCGCATCTCTCAGCATGCCAAGCCTCGCATACAAAATCAACTTCGTTTGGGTTCGAGATTGGGTCCAAAAGGAAATCGAGGGCGATGAGATTCGATGAGCGATGAGGTGGCGCACGGAGGTGGCGCACGGAGGCGTCGGCCGACAATGGACGGGAACGAAAGATCCCAGGGTTCCAAGGTTCTAGTGCCAGGGCCAAGGCCGTAGACTAATACGAAAATGACTACCAACGTATTACAATTCAAAGTCTAGCCCTCAAAACTATCCGTCCAGAGTCAGCCTGTCCGTTGTTGACCTACCATCAGCTCGATACGCTTGCAATCGACCCGTCCTTCGCAGGTAAGAAACCCATGTGCTCATGAACCCATTGGCCTAGGTAGGTAGTTGCTCCCCCATGATGCCCTGCCCATGTCTCACTAGACTTCTAAGCGTCGTCCGGCCTGCCGTGGTCGGGTCCTTCAAAGGGAGCCCACGAGCCTCCTTTGTGGCCTTGCCGCGAACGTACCGGCCCAAGTGCCATCCCAGCGTTCTCAACTTGCGGCAAGTCTTTCCCCGTCCGGCGACTACTAACGCGGCAACGCCGCCGAGGAAAGTCAACGAGTTTGAGCAACGGGGCAAGGCACGCGGATATGGCTGGGGTATGTGATTCTCTATTCTGTACCGACCCGGATTCGGACAACCTCTATTCGAGATGAGACGCCTTAATTAGCGAGACGCCCTACGGCAAGTCATCCCGAGACCATGGAATCGTGGTCAACGCATCTTCTTCGAGTACGTTGACTACCTACCCTGACTCTCTTCATGAAAGCATGCACAGTCCAGGGCTGATGTGCCAAGTCTCGTTATTCCTCCTCTACAACGGGTTATGAATAACACGCCCAAATGTCTGTGTGTATGACAGTTTCGCCCAAGCTCAGATGTCACCGTCTCTCATGGCGCGTACGCATCGCCATCATGGACCTCTAATTGGAGGCTGAATCGCGGAGACGAGCAGTCCAATCAACATCGGAAACACGGCTTCACCTAGCCCACGGTTGCCGCGTCACAGCAGGGCTGCCGGGTATGATGAGGCCCATGCCAGAGGACGATGCGTCTGAAGAGTTGGGCCAACTGACATGCCCTTTGCAAGTCGTCCATGGACGACATGTTGGGTCGAAGATGAAGATGTTGTCAAGTGAGACATTTCTGCTTCATTAAAGGCCATGGAACTCTCGCGTGGCTCACCAACGCAAAGTGACTCAAATTCAACATTATTCACTTTGTCCGGATACATTCGTGTCAATCGTTTGGCCCTGATTGGACCTTGAACGGATACAACTGTTCGGAGCCCCTTCCGGTCTCCAAAGCACAGCAGTAACTGGACAGTATTACTCCTTACTCATTTGTGCAATTGTGCCTGGGCTTTGGATAACATGACGAAAACGAAAATAGTCACCGAGTAAGTCAATAATCTTATTTCCAAACATGAACCAAAATCTGAAAATAAAGGAAGCGCAAATGCTAGACCTCAGGTGACGTGGTCTCGCGGAAACTCTGACTTGTGAGGCTGCCAGGACGCAGGGATTCTTACCAGGTTGAATCATCAACAGACCACAGATAACAGATAGGTAATAACTTAATCTCCACAGAAAAAGATGTGATAGGCCTTCAATAAGGTTCTTAGCCTCGGGGAAGGAGATGGTGTTAGTCTCTTACACGTGTAATGCATGCTAGGAGGAAACAGTCACACTAGCTATTACAGCCCGAGCGGGGAGGGAAGATTTAATTTGAGGGAGGAATGAAAACCAGACCTGGTCAGGGGTTGAGTAAATTGCAACTGACTGATAAATTGATTCAATCGAGTATTCGTGAATGAATGACTACCTTAAGTCATCATATGAGTGAGTGAATGAGTGAGTGAGTGATCGGATGAGAAGGAAGTTCTTGAAACGTGCCGTGAGATGAGATGCCCTGAATTGCAGCGAAGAATTTATAGCACCGCAGAACACCAAGACGAAACAGCAGGGCAGGCAGGTGGGCCTACGGAGTAGCTGAGTCTGAGGTGTCTGTAATTCTGACGTGGTCGTGCCAGGGAACCCCGCCATTGCGGTGCCCCTCCAAGTTTATCGTCGCTCGATAACAAACTTCAACACACTGGACGGCGGCACCTCTGAAATTCAGTCCTCCCAAGTTTTACCCCGCGATACTTTTCGACCAGACCACACCTCAGCTTCAGCGTTCCAAACCAAACACGGCACTCTCCCACACAGCTCTATCCTTCCATCCGTCTTCCCATTCTTCTGATATTTGCGTCTCCATCTAGCATCCAACATGTCGTCCTCCATCATTGAAACCATACCCATCGATCACGTGCCTGCCGATCACGTCGTTCACGTCGCTTTCTTCAAGGATATTCAGAATGCTGCCTTTCTGCACCAACAGCTCCTCGCCCGCAACGCAGACTTTGAGTATGCATTGATTGATGCCTCTGTGGTATGGAAAGCAATCCACCTGCATGAAAAACAGCCTCCAGGATTCACTAACAATTGCAAACTTCAACAGGCCGTCTCTCGAACCCATATTCTTGCTGCTGCTTTCAAGGCCGTGACCGCAAAGGTCGACGGCAGTCTCAAGACCCCAAACGTCCATTCCGAGCTCGTCGCATCCCTCAGCTCTGCGAATAATGTACGATGATTCGCCTTCAGTATCAAGAGTTTGGTCCAAGGTACTGACTGGTAACCAGATCGCAGAAGCCTACCGTCGCTTTGGCATTAGCCCGTCGACCAAGGATGTGATCGTCGTCAAGATCACTTCCCCGAACGGCCCGCCCTCAGCCGAAGACGTCGAGCAACACCTCAAGGACAACTTCCAGGGTACTCCCACCCCGTTCACGGACGAATCCATCTCGACATCGACAGATTGGGCCAAGGTGCGCAAGTACTACAAGTTGAACGGTCTCGCGTGGCTCGACGCCATCAAGGACGAAGCAGAGCGCAGAGAACAGCTCGAGACTCTGGTTTTGGGCGCAATGGCATTGCGCACGGCATAAGGTGCCAAGTCCTGCCGACGCATTCCCTTAATCTACAGGAGACCCGCCTCTATTGCCTTTGAATGGGTTTGTCGTAAGTCGTAAAATCATAATTGCTATACTACAAGTCTAGGGGTATATCTAACCTCGCTCGTAGGATCCAGCTCTTTGCAACCTCAGCGATTCGATTTCCAAAAAGCGCGTCAGTTTAGACGGATACCCCAATAATACCCTTCACTCTCCTCACCAATTCGTTGAACATCGCATTGCGTCCACTCCGCGTCCGCTGCACCGCGTCTCGATTTTCATGCGCCCTCCTGAGGAGATATTTCATGCACTCTCCAGTCGACCCCCAAACGAGATACTTGTACGCTTCGACGGTCTGGGACTTTGCTCCTTGCTGTTCCCGCACATTTTCCGAACCTGTCGGACAAACCAGCTCGCAGCTAACTTCGTCTGCCATGCCTTGCAATTGTGCAAAGGCAACCTGGGTCTTGGACTCTCCGTCAGTGCAAATCTCGCGGGCCCGCCTGACGGACTCGGCATTGTGGGAAGCGATGACCAAGCTAATTGGGGGCATTTGGAGGTCGCCCTGCAAAACATCTCCCCATTGTTTCTTGAGAAGACTTTTGGCTATGCCATCGTAGCAGGCATCCGTGCCTTCTTTCGTGTCGTGGATGAGGTGTCTCGGGTCGGATCCAATGTAAGCGCCACGTACCAGCTTTACGCCCATCGTGAAGCCTTCTTCTTTTGCGACTCGGAGATGTCTTGACAGAGTCTTGGGGGTTGACTTGAGATACGCCTGATACGTCCCGTAAACGAGGGCTTGCCCAGGAACGGTATTGTACTTTCGCATGTACTTCATAGTCCAGTCGTCGATGCCAGGTTGTAGAGAAGCCTGCTCAGCATCGAACAAGAGGCAAACACCACGCTCGGCAGCGAGGGAGCAGATGGAGTTCATGGCGTCGGCCAAGGCGGGAGAGGGTGGCAAACGCTCTGCGAGAGAATGAAGTGCTTGGCGGCCGGCACCAGTGAATCTATAAAAGCGTTTAGTAGCCATGGTTGAAGAATCAAGATGGGGGAATGAATGAAATGAAGGGGTCTGTCTTACTTGAGAGCAACAAAGTCTCCCGGTTCTGCTAATCGCACTGTCTCCAGGGTGCCCTTGGCCCAAGGAATAATCTCGTTGCGAATGCACTCTTCTGCCATTTTGCCTTTGCTGCATGCGCCCAATTCCTTCTTCTGGGCGTCGGTCAAGACAACCTCCTTTGCATATCCCAATATGACACCTGAGAAACCGATATCTTTGAGACCCTTGATGGTTCTGCCTACTTCGACTGGGTTTTCTCCGGCGCAGAATTGCGCGTAAAAGGTATTCTTTAGGAAGAAGCGTAAGAGCGGGTTCCTGTCTGGATTGAGTAGCGGGTTGGTGGTGTGCGCGAGGACGGACATTAACCATAGCGAGGGCGGAAGAAGGATAGGCGAGGAGGATATTGTTGTTGTTAGTAAGGAGCGGATGATCATGTGAAGAGGAAGGACTGATAGGGGTGCCGAGGGGCCCATTGGTGGTGATGATGATGATATCGTTGCTGGTGATGGCGTTTTAGGTTCAAGTGCCAATTGTCTAGGTGTTGTGTCTGCTGCGTCCAAGAGCTGGTCATTGGAGGAAGACCGCCTTGTAGACGAGTGGATGGATCTATCCGTCGCCATTGTGGAAGGGAGGCTGCCATGCTGCCGACTTCCAGCGCGCGAAGTAGACAACAGGAAGGCGGCATTCAGTGATCTTCTCTTGAGAGCCATGCTGTGTCGTTGAGCAGGCGCAAACGTGACGGTAGCCCCAGAGCCGCAGGGCGAGCGAGCCCTGTGTAGAGGCCGAGTCATCTGGCGAAGTAGAAGCAATGTTCAAGGGCAATAATCAATGGAGTACGGATGGAATCGAGCTTGGCAATTGTGGCAGTCAAAGTGGTGATTGCTTAGTTCAAGCTAAGTTTTCTAGTGATGAATGACTATTTACTCAGTTACACAGAACGGCGCAAGAGGGCTTTAGAGGTAATGAACTCGACGATCCTACGAAGATCATGGCCTTTATCTAGTCCGTCCTTGCATGGCGCCCGTACCCACGGACGGTTCCAAGGCCGTCTCACGGACTGGACCGTTATCTCAGGTAGGCCAGGGTCAATGGCCAAAAGGATGATGTATTTCCTGCTCGCCGAGGCCGGCTAGATAGCCAACGATGGCTTTGGTCAGGTCGAACCAAGCCCGTTATCTCTTCCCACAGACCCGTCACGTGGGCATCTTGTGTCATTGAGAGACAGCCGATTGTAGCCGGATCCGGATGCGGATGCGGAGCGTTCGGACGGACCCTGGGGTTGGTGCAGTGCAATCTGCAATGCCCCCATTGGCGAATAGCCTTGGCCTGTGATGGCGATTGGATTGGAGTCAATTTCGATAGCTTCGATGCAACCATGCTATTCTGCGACTCGAACATTCCAGTGTTTGTGACTTTTTGGTCTGCGGGCAGCTACCTGGCAGACTGGCGGGGTTCTTGGTACTTGGGCACGCCCAGATGCAGAGACAGTACCCTGCGGCAGCCTGTCTCGATTTCGCGCAGCGTAGGGCTAGTCGGGCCATGTTGAACCGGGAGGCGCAATGACATGCGGGCAGAGGTCACGCGCCAGCTTCGTGGTACTCTGCTATACTCCCAGGCTTGGCGATGCTCGGTGCAACCAACAACCTAAGGTTACGCAGCTCCTGAAGGATGGCTTGTTGCAATGTGATCCCTTTCTCGGGAGAGATCTCGAGCTTAGCCACTCTGAGGCTGATTGGCTTTCGGTGCCTTGCCAGATCCAAATCGCCGGCGCAGAGATTCGACGTAGCCAATAGGACGCCCTCGAGCAAGGCCAACGGCGTCTTGTAATCCACCATATACCAGTCCAAACAGGAGACCGTATTTTGCTGTGCGTGCTGCCGTCGGAAGAGAGAAGCGGTCTGTATTGAAGAATCGTTAGTACGCATAAGATGCTCACCGTGAAGTTGGGTCAACATACTCCATAGACTGAAAGTACCGGCCACTGTCAAACTGGCCGATACAGTACTGATGAGATCGCTCTGGCCACGATACCGGTCGATTGTGCTCTCTAAACCAAAGGCCATGAGGGTCCAGAAACTTAGTCTAGCTCCCATAGTCATGCTTTCCCTGAAGCCGCCATACATAGTATGGTAGTTCTTGCTCTTGTGGTATAGGTACCATCCGGTCGTGGTTGTGGGCATCTTGTGCGCGTGTTCGGCGCGGAAGCGCAGCTGAGCTATGCGGCCTCCATGAGCGAGACCCAGAGTGGTGCCGATACCGAAGCCAATGAGTCCTGCTAGCGGAATTCGCGCTGGTGTGGGGATGGAGAGACGAGCGTCTGAAGGCTTTTGGCCGAAACTGAGGCTCTCGGCCAACGTCATCTGCGGGCGTTCGGCCATGGTGATGCTGGTGTTTGAGCGAGAATCAGCCTGGGATCGAAGTGTAGAGGGTTCGTTGGCGTATTCAGGCATTCCAAACGAGCCTGCGATAGGTGGCTGTTGACGATTGAAGACTTTGGCGACGGAGACCGGGATGCACCGTCAATCTGCTCATTTAGAAGTCCGTGATGATCCGTCAGCTGTAAGGAAACTGGTCGCCTGAGGTGGAGGAGCTTGGGCCACCACTCATAAAACACGAAGTCATGTGATTTCGCATTGGGGAAAGTGCCCCGCGGACCCGAGCTCCGTCGCGACTCCCCGCTGCCCTGCTCACAGCTCACCTTAACCCTGCTTTAATTCTTGCACCCACCGACGATCCGAACATCTTGGTTTGCGACATCCCACCTTTGCCTCCAACGCTACGCTACGTCTTGCCTTCAATTGCGCCTGGTCCAAGTACATCCAACCCACGGCACAATCGATCTGAGAAGATGGTGCGACTATTACTCTGTGACTCTCTGCCTGCTTAGAGCTGACGGTGCTAACCCTCCATAACAGCAGATCGATGAGACCTTCTTCTCAGTGCGCTTCAAGCACGGTGCGCACACCATCTTGATGTTCGTCGATGGCCAACAGAAATTCTCCGAAATAACCACGTCACTGCTCGAGGTGCTCCGCGACCGCTTTCCCGACGGCCTTACAATCAACCACACTTCCCCCGAGACGACCTCCGTTCCTGAAGGCGATGTACAATTGGCGTATGCCCTGCCCATCAATGCTGCCGATTTGACGCAAGGATGGAAGAACATCAAGGTTTCGGATAACGATACTCCAGTTGCAAAGGGTTTCAAGGACAATTGCATTGTGGCATTCTCATTCGACACTGACGAGCCCGAGTTCTTGGTCGATATCCCGACTCTGGAGGAGGAGATGGAGGATGAAGAGGGCATGGGATCTGACGCATGAAGATATTTTGGGATTTCAAGAACGATGCATGCATGGCGTTGGGCAACGGGGTCACAACATTGAATCATATCTCTCAAAGGGAACGGCCTTTGACAGTCATATGACAACATCTGGCTGCACAGGTGCACACCGAGTGATAAAGCGATGCCTTTCATTACTTTGCACTTGGAAATAGAAGATTGATGTCCAAGATTTCATGAGTATGGCAACAACCTTCTTTTTAACTTCCAGACCTTATTTAGCCACTTCAGACAGTCTATGATGGCTTCCTTGTCTGGAAAGACATCAAGATAGACAGCCTGGTCTCTAGTACTGTGGGCTGATGTGAACCTGGAGGCTGACTGTGGCTTTTCGATATCCAAAGAACTGCCCTACATTTAATCGGCATTTGCTGCAAGTGGTAGGAAGATGTATTCGTCGCATCGATTCACATCGTATCGAGGTGGGAGACCACAGTGATGACAGTGACTGGAACAAATGACGTCGGTGGCCTGGACCGGGCCATAGCTTACAGGTACCTTACTTATGTACCTAAAGAAACAGGGGGCTTTTGGGGACTCCATCACACCTTGGGGGGCCTACGGGTAACGGAGTACCTTAGCCAGGGTTGCAGTCGCTGTACCCAGTTGGACCCCTTTTCCACACATGTTCCGTCCCATGTCACCCCCCGAATGCAAATTGCGACGGAAAGCTGGACGAAACAGGAGAGGGCTGTTTATTTCTTCCCATCTCAACTGTATTCGTACGATTCTTAGTGTTTTCTTTTCTTCTTTCTGCTTCACTCCTCTCTTCACAACAAGGAGGCCCGACACCAACCACAGCTGCAGAGTCGTCGACTTCTGCTTCATGCTGCCGTCTACATGTCCCTCGTGGCCCTCCTCCGCCATGGCCTTCGCCTCCTGCTGCCGCTGGCGGTAATCTCGACCTTTTACCTCTATCTTTATCCCGTCTTTCTGGGATGCGCTTTTCCCGTCCCTCCAACCGGCAGCGCATCGACCTCGAATAGTCCGAGCCCCGTCGCCGACAGCAGTGCGGCTTCTGCTTTCCTCGAAGCTGCGCGACAACATGTTCCTCTACCAATTCCCCTCCGATCAAGCGAAGCTCGCCCCGCGCCTTTCCGCCTTCTTGCGCTCGGTGACCCCCAGCTCGAGGGCGACACGTCCATTCGAAAGCACGATGGCCCAATCTTTCCTCACGCAAGAAGCTTATGGTCCCATGTGACCTTCCAGTCGAGCAATTCGTTGCGCCAGCGCATTCGTCACTCTCTGCACGACGTTATCGATGTTTTCCTAGAGGACGTCTTTGAAGAGCTCGAGTCGATTCGCAAGCGGATAGACCTCTTTGGCAACGACTTTTACCTGGCACACATCTTCCGAACGGTACACTGGTGGACTCGCCCTACCCATGTTACCGTGCTTGGCGACCTCTTGGGCAGTCAGTGGATTGGCATTGAAGAGTTCCGGCGCCGCGGCCGTCGGTACTGGGATCGCGTGGTGCGAGGAGCCGAAAAGGTTCCAGACGAAACCGCAGTGTTCCCGGCCATGGAGTATGACCTCACCGACTACCTTTCTGCGTCTGGTGAGCCCTCCGCCGTGTGGCCGCGCCGTGTCATCAACGTGGCCGGTAATCACGACATTGGTTACGCCGGCGACATCAACCAGGACCGATTTGGTCGATTCGAGCGCCTCTTTGGCAAGGCAAACTACGAGCTGCGCTTCGAGCTACCCATCCAAGATCCGAAACTCAACACCACCATTGTGGATGACGAGCAAAACCCCGAGTCCGATCGCCTGCCCCCAGAGATTCGCGTCATCGTCCTGAACGACATGAACCTAGACACTCCGGCCAAAGACACGTCTCTGCAAGACGACACATACGCCTTCATCAACGCAGTCATTGAGACTTCAGCCGCCGTAGAATACAGCGGTCATTTCACCGTCGTGCTGACTCACATCCCGTTGTACAAGCCTGAAGGTGTTTGCGTCGATGCGCCCTTTTTCGACTTCCACGGCGACCACGACGGTGGCGGAGTCAAGGAGCAGAATCTTCTCTCGGCTGACGCGAGCAAGGGCTTCCTTGAGGGCATTTTCGGTATGAGCGGTAACACGGAGGCGCCCGGCAACGGCAGAGGTCGCCGCGGCATCATCTTGAACGGTCACGATCACGAGGGCTGTGACACGTACCACTACATCAACCAGACGAAACCAGACCAACAAGATCGGTCATGGGAGGTCGAAATTTGGCCGACAGCAAAGGGCCGCGGCGCAGTCGGGGCTGCTGGTGCTCCGGGGCTGAGGGAGATCACCGTCAGGAGCATGATGGGCGACTTTGGCGGCAACGCAGGTCTGCTCAGCGCCTGGTTTGACGAGACCACGTGGACTTGGCAGTTTGAATATGCAACCTGCGCCTTGGGTACCCAGCACTTTTGGTGGTTCGTTCACATCATCGACCTGATTGCCGTCGTGGCACTTGTAGCTTACGGCGTCCTATCTGTGACAGCGACAAGCAGCGCCTCGGTCACAGCACCACCAGTCCAGGTGGAAAAGAAGGCAGTTCAAAACGGGGAGGCCAAATAATAATAATGTTGCTCAAATACCCGGCAGGGAAAAGCCTTGTCTCAGTTCTAGTATACAATCTCATTTTGTAGCATTACTCGCATCCTCTTGCAATTTCCATCGGGCATGCCGTAATTTCATCTACGTCCTTTTGCGCTGCGATAGCAACATCCGCCGGTGTCCATCACCTTAATGCTGCTGCACAAAAGCATACGGGGACACTGCTGTTGAGAGAATCTCGGACTGTTTCTAGGCTGTCACGGACATCTCTCATCAATGACCGAGCTGCCCTTTGCCATAGGTTCCACGATTACATTTCGCAAGGCAACACCTCCGGACAGCTCCGCGGTGAGGCAGTTATTGAGGCGTTCAGCTCACACGCGCAGCATGCGATATTAGAATAGATCATGCTGTGTTCTCTGTCACTTCACTTGCCAACATTGAATCCAGGGGGCACGATGCTGCAGAGGGCTGCCAGATTGCGCTGCGTGCCTGATCAACTGCGAAATGTCTCACCGCCATGTGGTTTCGTATAACGTCTGTGAGATCCGTGAACACCTGTACTGCTGAAGACGTGCCATGTATCAATAAGTTGCAGTACGAGAGAACAGGATGGGAGATGCAATGTCGACACGTTCCAGACAACACCTGCTGCGCAGGTCGAATAGCTCTAATGCCGCGAAGACGCGACCTCGTCACGTCGCACAAGTGCCATAGAAGCAAGTTCAATTCTATCACAACGGTGAAAGGACTTTCCGTCGCACGTACTCTGTCTTATCTCCTACCTCTCGGCATCCCTTGCTGGAGGCCGGTTGCCCTGCTTACCGGGAAGAGCAAGGCGAAAGATCTCATGATGGATTCTATAAGTGTTGCTCTGTTGCTGTCTCGATGGCAATTGCGGTTATACCAGTACCACCTTTCGCACGGCATACGACAGGAAGTAAAGAACGTCTTGATCACATGAACTCACTCGGACCTTTTGGACTCTAGACTCAACGTTAAGGTGGCTTCTCAAGTTGTGAAGGATTCGAGGCTTATCAAGAAGCACAGAAACCGTCACCAGACCAAGAGTCATCATTACTTTGACAAAGCTGTTGCTGTGCCAGCGTGTACTTCATCGCGCAGCCTCATGCTGAGTGAACCGCAAACATTGACGCAGATGATCTTGTGGTGATACTTGCTGGAAGCGAACCTGGGAAAGAAAAGAGGCTCTTGTTAGATATCAAGAGAGTATATAATCCGAGGCTACAACGACGTCGAGAACATGGATTGAGAGCATCAGCATCAGCATCAACCAACACTCCAATACAGGCCTAAGTCTTCTCAACGGCAACATTTGATTATCTATTTCCATCTCCAGAACTCAACATCACTTCCAAGCAACAAACCCTCAACGCCAGTCTCTCGATACCATCACAAGATGCGCTTCTTCCAACTCACACTCTTCACTCTCCTGACGGCACAAGGCTTGGCCCTGCCAACCACACAAAAGCCGGGTACCAACTCACTCGCCGAAGAAGACCCAGTCATCGTCGCAGGAAAGACACCGCCATTCAACCCATTGTGGCACTACTGCCAATTGTCGTGCCGCTGCGACGAATTGAAGGGGAAGGTCGGAGACGGGTACGTGAGATCCTCATCGCTCTGCCATTTCCATATTTTTCACAAAAGACTGTTGCGTTCTAGTGAACTAATCTTTTGGCAGGTGGTTTCAATGCATCACAAATCCCCAATGCGAGCAGTGTGAGAGAGTAGGAATGAAGAAGCCCCCGCCACCGGCTTGAGCAAGAAGCTCCCTTGAGAGGAACCTTGTATCAACCTTACGGAAGCCATGACAGTTGCCTCGAGTTGATCAGTGGAGGGAATTTGGAATGGATGGTTTGTCAGGAAACCGGCCACTTAAGATACCAAGTACTTGAAGAGGGCAATTAGCAACACTGGCTTGCGATGATTGATGATGAGAGACGTCTAATGGGCCGCAAACCAGTGGGCTTGTAGTAGGTGACGAATAATGGATATCAATCAAACAATATGGAACTTGAATGGGTGAACTCTAGGTTCTAATCGATTTCACCGCGTGACTTGATTGCAGCATAATTTGATACCGCACAATGGTACGTCAAATTGATTGAGCCACTCCATCATAGAGTTGGTCTAGCAGTGTAGTAGTATACAGAGATTCGTACATATGCAGACCCACGTCGTCGAGTCTATATGCAAGTTGGGACGCCTCCTCGCCGTCCAAGCTTGCCTGATAATACAAATACAGATAGTTTTGGTAAGAGGAGAGAAGAAATGGGCCGTGGTGGAATGCACAAGATGTGCTGATTAGCCGGGGTTTGTTTGGTTTTGCGTGGCAGCCCCCTCTTTACTGCTTCTTGTTGGCCTCGTCACCCTTGACGAACCATCCACTGAAGGAGCCCATCATGCTCTGCATGGCTTCTTGCTGGGCCTTCTCCTGCATAGCAGCCTCCTCCTTGAGCCACTTTTCACCGTTTTCGCGAATCTCCTTCTCGAGCATCTCGTAGTTGCGCTGGCCGCGCTCACGGGCAATATCCTGGAGCATCTTGCCCTGGGCGAGAGCCTCGTGGGGGTTCTGTTCTCCATCCGGGGAAACCATCAAGGCCATGTTGGAGGGCTTGAGGCCGAGCATGCCACCCAGCAAGCCCATGCCCGAAGGCGCCTTCTTCTTCTTGGCCTCCACCTGCTTGTTGAACTCGGCACGTGCAATGGCCTCGCGGCGAGCGAACTCGGTAGGAATGTGCTTGCCCTCGAAGGACTTGAGAACCTTGCGAACATCGCCGTATTGCATCGTGTGGATGTACTCGAGGAAGGGAATCAGGCTGACAAGCTCCTTGTCCTTTGACTCGCCCTTCCACTTGGGAAGAACAATGGCGTTTTCCGGCTGGTTCTGGACGTGCTTGTCACTGCTGTCGATAATGATCACCTTGGACAGGTCGCGGTTGAGGTAGGACAGATCCTGCGCCAGAGTTAGTGATAGAACTGAAAGTGGTTGAGGGGTAGTTTACGAACCTTGACAACTTCACCATCCTTGTACTTGGTCGCCTCGCGGTAAAGGGGCCACATGATGAAGCGGTAAGGGTCAAGTTTGCGAACAAGCGGCTCGCCAATGGCGAAAGGAACGCTGGTGAAGAGAACCAACTCATAGTACTGGCTCAGGTAACGCAGAAAGTAGTCGACGCCGGGGCGCTTGGCTACTCTCCAACCGTGCTCGCGGGTCCACTCGCTGTGAACAAGCATATCTTCCAAGCTAATACACAGGGTGTAGGGACGCTCAAAGGACGGATCGGGATCGGGCAGCAGCTTCTCAAAAGCAGGCTCCTGGTAGTAGTTCAGGAAATCGCTAGTGCGGGCAGTGACTCTGTTCCACCAAGCGGCGAACCCCCAGCCGTTCGGAGCATCCTCGGCGTGCCGAACTTCGTCTGCCTTGTCTTCCCAGTTGCGGCCGAGATAGACGGCACCTGCAGCGCCGAAGCCGACGAATGCGAGGAACAGGCGACTGGCAAACTGCTGTCTTTTCCTGTCCGTGGATGAGACGTATGCCGAGTCGGGAAGCTCTCCACGTCCGCGACCGCCACCCTGGGCCACAGCCTCCTCCTCAGCGAGGGCAGCCAGCGCGGCCTTGTTTGTCGCACCAGACATCTCGTATGCTAGGGTAGACGGGATTCCTTGGGTGAGATCGGGCAGCGGTCCGGTAGGTGCGGCGGGCTCAGGGGCTTCGGTGTTATCGGCGGCATTCTCGGCGTCGGATTTGGGAGTTTGCGTTGACGATGTCTTGGATGAAGCTTCGGCAGCCTCCTCGTAAGCTGCTTTGTAGTCGGGACTTGACGACGCTGAGGTTTCCTCTGGCGTTGACTCGGAAGACTTTTGCTGGTCAATCGGCTTATCTGAAGAAGAGTCTTTCGGCTTGTTGTCCTGGGCGAAACCCCTGGTCCATGATGAAGCTAGGAATTGCTGTCTCCTCGTAGCTGGTGTTGCGATAGAGCGGTAGAGCTGCGCCGCAGTCGGCTGCAGACGCGCGATGCGAGCTGCCCTTGACAGCATGGCGTTTCACGGGCCAATGAGGACGTATAAATATGTTGAAGGCTCCGAGCCTGGAGAGTCGTCTTTGATCCGAAGGTTGATGGATAATGGAGGTGTGCTGCGCCAGCTGACGAAAAGGATGCTGGTGCTGGCGGGCGAGGTCGAGGTGGAGTGAGTTTGCAGATATTCGTGACGAAGGCACTAGAAATTTTCGAGGAGGAAGCACTGGACCACCTTGAACTCTGACTAGGGGAACGAATGACAGCAGGCGTTGGGCGGTGCCTTTAGGAGCTCTCCACTGGCTGCTCGGAACCTCTGTGGCTGCCCTGGGGCCTGCAGCAGGCGGGAAGCTGGTGCCACCGTGGCCGGGGTGAAAACTGCAAAAAAGCATTTGATCCACTAAAATTTGGTGCCGAGTATTTTCCGGATAAGTCATATCACATCGGCGATAAGTGCATCATCTCCTTCGAATGAGGTCATTCTCGATGGAGATGTTGCCCCACTCAAGGTACTTATGCGAAAGTAGTCAGCAACGATTGGCCACACTTCCCAGTGCTTAGTTAATCAAGCGCACGTCCTCTGGGAAGCGGCTCACGTGCGAACCTTGTCCAAATGGTGGATGCGCGACCGATGTTCTTCGTCCCCTCCGGCAGTGACCTTCATGCATGAGTTGCATCCACCGAGAGAGTCCGTCCATCCTGCGTGCCGCCCCCCCCTCTCATAACTGCGCCCGACCCCCAATACTCCCATTCGCAACACTTCTCACCTCCACTTGCATCTTCTTCCTGTTGCAACTCTCGAAGAGTACCCTAGGATTACCTTTCGCCTGGCCAAACACCTGAGAGATACAGACAAACCCACACAGCCGTCCAACTCAATCTAGCACAGTCACAATTCGTCTATCGTCACCATGGCTGTCGCGCGTGGTGAATTCTAGAGGGTGGTCCCCAAATTCGCATCAACGATCACAATGGGACCACCCTCTGTGATTCTCTACCCTCTGCGAGACTCTCTGTCGACCTGCTTCAACTTCACCGACCAACCAAACCAAACACAAAACTATTGAAATCTCTGCACATAACCACAGATACTCTTCATTGCGGGAAAAAACCACCCCGCCACCCCGCCACTTCCGAAGTTTCCACCGATCAACAAGCACCGTTGGCGCTGTACGAAAACTTCAATACCTTGAGTACAATTTGAATACCTGGAAAGGATTCAATAAACCAAGAAGGACACCATAGCATTACGCAAATCAGCTCGAGCCACTGACCGCCACAATGGCTCGTCGCGGCAAGATCTCGAGAGCCGCCGGCTCGTCGCTCGACCCGACCCCGATTGCGTCTACTCTTACGACGCCACTAAGCTCCGCCTACCCCTCGACGTATGCTTCCGAAGCTGAAATAGATGCACTCGGAGACAGCATCGGCTCTCTCACACTGAGCGAGCGAAGAGCAGCTAGGAGGAAGGCCAAGCCTTTTGCGTTCATGGCCTTGCCATCAGAACTTCGCCTCAAGATTTACGACTACTACTTTGAAGGCAGCGGTGGCGTTATAGACCTCGACCCAGACAACTACAAGACCTATCACAAAAAGCTCGGAATTCAAAGAACTTGCCGTACTGTCTATCAGGAAGTCTCTCATTACTTCTATAGTAGCCGCTCGTTCCGCATTTTCCCAACACACCCAGGCAAATATTTCAAAAGCAAGAAACCGCTCCTGGCTCGTATGAAGCCAAGCTCAAGATCGTACATCACATCCTTGGAACTCCGCCTCGGTCCTGGCTGGAGCAAGCCGCCGCGAGGATGGGTCGTCACACCAGCCTTGGGCCTCCACGAATGCGTCAACGTTCGTCGCTTGACAGTGTTGGTTGAATGCGATCCCAGCGACGGCATTTTCAACGGGTTTCGCCGGTCAGATGGCTTCTACGAAGGTTTCAGCCAGTCCCTCTTGACAGAGGTTTTCAACCAGATGCCCTGGATCGACACAGTGTATTTCGATGCCTGGCCTGGAGTCAAGAAGTCGGGCGGGATGATGCGTGCCCTTCTGGAGGTGACCGCGGCAAACGACCGAAAGATCAGGTGGGGCCCCGAGAGAGGATGGACTGATGAACCCGAAAAAGACGAGGTCAAACCCACCAACTCCTTGGTTCTGGTGCCTCCGGCGTCGGAGTTCAACACGTCCACTATGGGCGTACTGGTCATGGCTTGAATGGAAACTACTGGAATTACACGGCGTGGACTATCAACTTTCCTTTAACTTCCGACAAGCTCGCGAATGGAACTGGTCTCTTTTTTTCTTTTGGGACAGGATGGCATCAACATGAAGGCGGGCATGGATTTCTCGGTTGAGCATTGTGCTGCTCCAGGCAACCGACAACACCATCCCTCTTGCGACGAGATTGTACTACTACTAGCATAACGAGGAATGAGAACGAAGACGCTGGCCACCATCATCACTGAGCATGTGAACTTTGAGATGACCGATTCGTCACAGTAATGACTGAGATTTGAATGTGCCCATGGAGTTGAACTTGAACAATAATGAAAATTTTTGTAGAGCAACTATTGCTCGTCACTTACTATATCAAATCGCTCTGCAACGGTCCACTCGACCTCATACATCAAACCTGCAGCACTGAATGAGAATATGGCATTGACTCTCGCTACCCCGCGTTTTCGATTCCTACCAGTAACATTCGGCCGTGTGATGGTGGCAGCTGGCCGTTTACAAGGCAACTTGCATCATCCATGCTGAGTCTGATGTGACTTGCTCAGTTTCGAGACTCCCTCCTCTCGGGCGTCTTCACACCCCCAAGATGGGAGAGCTTCCCCGCGATTTCGGGAGGGACAGTGCGGTGGTGGCCCAGGGTTCCAGGGGTTCAACATGGAAAGGTCCGAGCTTTGGATGACGGGGGCCCGGACGCCGACTCACCGACCGCCCGGCCCCACCATCCCACCTTTCCCAGGCCCAGGGCGGCCAAGGGCAGGCGGTGGATTGACGCTTTCCAAAAATTTGGTTTTGTCACTTCTGTCGCAGTCGCAGTCTCGCAACAGCCTTGCATCACAACTTGTGCAACAATTCGCACACAAAATTCGGCGCCCGCAATCATTCCATACGTACTATTGCCTACATATCCCGAGTTCAGCACAATTGCAAAAAAAGAGCAACCAACCGTGGTCCAATCATGCCTCTCGATACCTCCACCTACTCCATGGCGCTCCTGCGCGTCGATGGCCGCCGCTGGAACGAGCTCCGACGCCTGCACGCCCAGATCCGTACCCAGGAAGCCGCCGACGGCTCGAGCTACCTCGAGATGGGCCACACCAAGGTCATGTGCGTTGTTACGGGACCTGCCGAGCCCCAGCGTCGCGGAGGCGCTGGCGGTCAGTCCAAGGAGGCTGCTGTCACCGTCAACCTCGTCGTCGCTGGCTTTAGCTCTGTCGACCGCATGAAGCGTGGCCGCAACGACAAGTGAGTGCACCGGATCTTTGCATGTGTAGATTGCATTAACTAACCGTTTAATCCTTGCAGGCGGTCACAAGAACTCGAGGCAACCATTGCCAAAGCTGTCTCTGCGAACCTACACACACATCTTTTCCCCCACAGCAGCATCGCCATCTCTTTGCACGTCTTGTCGCAAGACGGTTCCCTTCTGGCGGCTCTTCTGAATGCTTCGACGCTAGCACTAATCGACGCTGGTATCCCCATGACCGACTACATTGCAGCGTGCACCGCGGGTTCGACGTCCACATACGCTGCCGCCGATGACGGCGCAGACCCTCTCCTCGATCTCAACACCCAAGAAGAGCAGGAGCTGCCGTATATGACGGTGGGAACGCTGGGCCTTACGGACCGTGTTGCCGTTTTGGTGTGTGAGAGCCGTGTTCAGGTCAGCCGGTTGGAGGGTATGCTTGCTGTTGGTGTAGATGGGTGCAAACAGGTGCGGCAGTTCATGGACCGCGTTGTCAAGGAGAAGGGCCGTCAAATGGTGCAAGAGGGCACGGTAGAGAAAGGCACCGGCTTGGACTTGGAGATGGAATCATGAGTGGCAACACGGAGGACAGCATCGGCCACAAAAGCGGCTCGGCGGGTATTGACAATGGTCAGATTTCTCCCATCACATTAACTAACTAATGTACACGCGGTCCAAGCTAACCATCCAGACAGAATTCAGAAATCAAGCGGATGTTTACAACTCATCGTGCGGCGCGGGGGCTTCAGATGGTGTCTCCTTGGGCGCCTCTGTCTCGGGCTCGGCGGTAGGATCCGTGGCTGCGGTAGAGGCGGTCGAGCTGCTCTCCGAAGACTCGGGCTCAATCTCCTGAGCTACCAAACCATCAGGCAGCTTCTTCTTCGCACCCTCACCAAGACGGATAGCATCAATCCAGCTCTCGACGCTCGCCGCATCGAAATCGCCCTCGTAGTGTCTCCACCAGTTCCGGCGTGCGTTGACAGCGACAATCTCAACCTCGCTCGTAAGGCCAAGGCTCTTGATAACAGCGGCCGCGGCCGGGTTCTCCTCGGGGATAGAGAAGAAAGGGAAGAGCTTGCGCTTGGCCTGGCCGTGCTTGTGGACGATCTCTGACAGGCTGGTAAGGGCCTTCTCAGCCTTCTCGTTATCCTTGGAAGACACGAAAGCCAGGACGCAGGTGTGGGACTTGGTGTTGAGGCACTCCGATAGGAGTCTGCCGGGGTTGTCGAGAATGGGCAAGGGAGGAATGACGTTAAGGACAGGGGCGGCCTGCTCGGCAGACGGGGTCTCGGCGGCGGCTTCGGGCTCGGGGGTGGCCTCCTGCTCGGTGGCGGTGCTAGTGCTCGACTTTTCGGACGCGGGCTTGCTCTTCTTCTCTGGCTTCTTCTCGGCCTTCTTGTCGGCCTTCTTCTTGTCGGCCTTGGGCGCAGGGTCGGGGTTGGGCGAAGCGACCTGGGAAATGAACTTCAACAGCCCATCCTTCTTTAGTTCTCCATCGTAGACAATAGGTTCCTTGTCTCCGCCGGGCAGTAGCACCAGGGCGGGGAAGGACTTGACTCCGAATTTCTCGACGGCCTTTGCCTCCTTACTGCGAACCTGACCAATCGTGACAGCGTCGAGGAAGTCGATGGCGATACTGCGGAGCAGGGCGCTAGTGGTGCCCTTCTCAGTGAAGAGGATTGCCTTGGGCTTGTCACCCTCGAGGAAGGAATCGAGATCCTTGTCGGTGACGCGCTTGACATGGTTGGTGATCTTGTCGACTACGGCCTCGACGATGCCGGTGGCGGTACGGGGCCCCTGGTAGTCCTCGACAACAGGCTTGCCAGGCTTCTTGCCGGGTCTCACAATCTTGAGGGTAGGGAAGCCTTGCACACCCATCTGACCGCAGAGAGGCTTGTTTGCATCCTCGTCGCAATCAATGGCAGCAACCTTGGCCAATCCGTTGAGGTTCTTGGCAGCCTTTTCGTAGGCGGGCTTGAGGTTCTGGCAGTGACCGCACCAGGGAGCATAGAACTCAACAATCTAGCAAGCTTATGTTAGCATGATGAAGCAAATGTAAACGACACCAAAAAAAATCCATAATACCGAGGTGTAATTCGACTTGGCAATCAAGCTGTCGTAGTTTTTGGCATCAACCTGGAGCACAGCAGAGCTTTTCGGGTACATGCCAGCGTGGGCGCCGGGCAAAGCCGACAGAACGGCAGCGCCAGCCGCAAGGAGAGTGGGGTGATGCATCGTGGTGGATAGAGTTTAGCAGCAGTGCACCTTATCTTTTGTGTGTGAGTGTGGGGTGGGCAAGGTGAGTATAGAAGTGTGCCGGACGGCAGCAAGTGATGTGACGCCAGAGACAACAAGATGTGGACGGGTATAGAGAAGAAAAAGAGGATGGGAGGTGGAAGATGGGAGATAAGAGAAAAGGTGTGGGAATAAAAAGTCAGAGCATGGAACTAGGAACTAAGTTCGGGCAGGCGAGGGAGCTCTGTCCTCGTCTGCATTTATGGAACTGGGAACGCAAGCAAATGGGAAGCATAAAAGTCTAGTTGGCTTCTTCCCGGCGCAAAGAGGCCAGCGTGGAACTGTGAGACGCGAACCCCTCACCCGTTGTGCTTAATTCGGTCTGGGAATGGAACCATGGAAATTTCCAGTCAATTGAATCGAAGCATTTGGTCTGGGCACCCAGTGGCACCAGCCACATTCCCCACACCAGCTCTGCTGAGCTTGAGCCACACTTCGAAGAGCATCAGCCACAGTACATAGGTACCTATCCTAGATACCTTGATAGGCACGTATCTGGAGGTTCTTGCAGGTACGTACCTGGTGACCTTCCCACCCCGCTGTGATGTGCGCCGTGTGGGGAACTTCTCGGTGCGGTGCTGCTGCTGCGGCCTGCGGTAAGGCTTCCAAGATACGGAATACATGTCTCCAACCTCTTGGTGTAGCACCGCTCGTCGCAAGTTCGTTACCCCTTTGCGACCGTGACCTGCCACCGAGCAAAGTCTTTTTTCTTTTCTCGTCCGGACCCCGACACTGACCACAAGAGTCCTTACCCGATCTTATCCACGGCGCCCTTCGAATTATCTTCGTTTCCGTTGTCGCAGCCATGGCCGAACCGATCCCCGACAGCCTGCGACAGGCAGATATCACGAGATTCATCAATCGCGCAAATCAGCTGCGGCAGCACAAACCTGTGGTTACCTACTGGTGTATGTCTGGGCATTTTCATTAGTACTGCATAGCCGGAGGACGCCCTAGATGCTGACCGGACACACGCAGGCGAATACTGGGTGGTCAACCAAATCCTAGCCAAGGGTCTGCACAATGTCGACGACGAGAGCCTTTCGTACACGACAAATCTTATGGATAGGCTCGAACAGGTCAGCATGACAATGATACTGTCATCGTTAGTACTGTGTATCAGAGACTAATACTTGCCGTGCCAGACCAAAACCGAAAACGCCCAAGAAGAAGCCATCACCGACGACACAGTTGGCCAAGCGTATGTTGAGCAGTTTGCCCAAGAAACTCTCGACAGAGCAGAGAAGGTTATGCGCGCGAATCGTGTCACCAGGTGCGTCTTTTCCTGACGACGACACTGCCTTCTTCGCCTACTAACGTGCTTCGAACTCAGGCAAACCGCCGATACCTTCGATGCCGCTGCAACCTTCCTCCTTCTGGGCAATATCTGGGGCGCTGTAGACGAGGAGACACTCAAGAAGGTCAAATATGCAAAGTGGAACGCTGCTCGGATACTCAAGGCTTTGAAGGAGGGCAAGGACCCCAACGAGTCGAACCCTAAACAGGAAGAGCCAGCCGAGGAAGTTCTTCCTGCGCTGGATCCTAACGACCCAGACGTTCAAGGCTTAACGTCTCCCAAGCCCGCCTCTGTAGAAGACGACCCGGAGACCGAATTTTACAAAAAGGCTTCAGCGCCAACAGAGACCGCGCCGACAGCCGAGCCCAGCGAACCTGAGCCTGCCCAGTCCAGTGTTCTCGATCTCCCGTCAGTGCCGTCAGCAAACGACCTCAATCCGCCGGTACCACAGACCCAGGGCTACTTTGACACTCCCGAGCAGTTCCCGCCGTCTCCCTTGAGCCAATCCGGCGTAAATGACACATCCGCGGCAGTCAATGCTCCGTCGGCCTCTTCTCCTTATGCCGCATCCTCGACCGGCCCATCATTCAGCCCGGCCAACGCCGCGCTGCCGTGGCAGCCGCCTCAGATACCCCCTTCCAATGTTGCCAAATCACCTCCACCTCCGGCGCCTCAGCAATTCAAGCCGCCACCGGTTGTACCTCAGCCCAAAGCTCCGATGGTTCCCGGCTCGCACAACTCGTGGACGCCAAGCAGTGCGCCGTCAGATGACATGGACTTGCCAAAGGCGCAGAAGCACGCCAAGTGGGCTATTTCTGCGCTCAACTTTGAAGACGTGCCGACGGCAGTAAAGGAGCTGCGTAACGCACTAGCTGCCCTGGGGGCCCAGTAGAATCTCCCGTGGCACCATGAGTTGGAATCTAGATTTTTAGGACATTGGAGAGCATTGAAGATCGCGTATCAGGTGGTTGCCTCGAGGGAGTGAGGCCAAGGCGTTGGACATGGATATTTTATAGCAACGACTAGCACTCAATGCGCAAGTCTTTGTCTATTTATGCACTCCTTATGCGGCTCCTCCATTTACCCGGATGATCTGCCCCGTCACCCAAGATGATTCTTTTCCGGACAAGAAAATCGCCACAGAGGCGATCTCCTCTGGTGTGCCGATTCTGTTGTAGGGGCTGCTGGCAGTTACGTTCTTGAGCATCTCTTCCGTCTTGCCCTTGTAGAACAGATCAGTCCCGGTCGGGCCAGGCGCGATGGCATTGACGTTGATGCCCTTTTTAGCAAGGTCCTTGGCCATGTATTTGGTCATCTGCTCAATGCTGCCCTTTGTCGATGCATACAGCAGGTATGGCGGGGGAAGGCTACTTGAAACGAGGACTGTCGTTGAGAGAAAGATGATGCGGCCGCCTTCAGACATGTGAGGGAGAGCTTTCTATTCTAAATGTGAGTTACATTGACCAAGGTACGTGTAAGTGGGGGTGGATTGCATACCTGCACCAAGAAGTAGGGCCCCTTGACGTTGGTGTTGAACATTTGGTCAAAGTCCTCTTCTGTCGTATTCTCGACAGTGCGCATGTGCATGATGGCGGCGTTGGGGATCAGCACGTCGATTTTGCCAAACTTGTCGACGGTGACGTCCACGAGCTTCTGCAACTCGGCCGTCTTGGAGCCATCGGCGCGCACGGCAATGGCCCGGTCACTGCCAATGGCCTTGACAACTTCATCGGCGGCGGATGAGTCGTTGCTGTAGTTGACGACGATCTTGGCACCCTGCGCGGCAGCATCAAGTGCAATGGCCTTGCCGATGCCCTTGGAACCTCCGGTGATGAGAATGACCTTGTCTTGGAGAGACATTTTGAGGGTAGTGTGTTCTGTGATTGCTTGTATGTGAAGCTTTGGTGGTACGTTGTGCGATTGATTGCTGGATTGGGCCTTTTGAAGCTTCTAGTAATGTACCTTTCTTCAGTTCACAAGGCCAAGTGTAGGATGTGGGCAGCTTGGACATTTATATATCGGTGGGAGCTCTCAGCTGCTGCGACAAAAGATCCAACTCTAGCAATGACCACATCTATGGAGCCTCGCGGACCCTGATCTGCAGTCCAAAAGGCGTGGCTTCAAGGCTAAGCCTTGAACGCTTCGCTACTCAAGAGCATAGTTTACGCGCGAAGGCCGAGGTTGTGGGGAGACACCGGAGGAGAAGATCAGATAGAGCTCTGATATCTCCGCAATTGTGCAGTATCCTCCATCATTTGTACGTGTTTGGCGCGAAGCGCGAGCACTGCAGTGTTTAGCTTAGCTTACCGGCTATATCGGAGCTGTCAAGACAGATTCGCCTGCTTTCCATCTCATCGGAACTTGTGCTGTGGAAGCTCGACGACTAAGCTCTTGGTCTCTCGCATGGTTCCGAATCCTTGCTGGCTCCGGCAGGCCGGTAGGGCTGACTTGGCTGGACTCGGTGACGCATTTCGAGGATCCGGCTCCAGGTACCAGGGCTTCAGTATGCTGCCGTAGCTGTGAACGAAACGGAGGATTTGGCCGTCCGTATCTGTCGGCTTTGGAAAAAATGGCCCCTGCAAAACCGACGTGGAAGAATCCCTTATTGGCTGACGGAATTGCGCAGGACATAAGCTTTGTCCGGCACGCCGATTGCCGAAGTCTCCCATCAGATCTCTCCCGAGCCGCAGTTTATCAACAAGCCACAACTTGGCGGGTTTGTTCTTGCCATCAGGGCCATCAGGGCCATCTGTACTCCGTATGTACTTTGTAGAGATATTTCCGACAAGCAAAGCCTGCATGGATTCCATGGCCTCCGCGGAGTCTGTGACGGTGTCATGGCCGTACATATCTTGGCAGCAACGGGCAGCCGATTGACTCCATCTAAACCTAGGTAGAACGAAATTCTTCTCACAACCAGCTTTATCCTGGAGCTGTGAGGGGGGCCCACATCCATGAGGGTCGAATTGAGTCTTGTTGATGTCATCGTAGCCGTGGTAGCAGCGCCACCACACTTCAACCCCTCTTCCACATCCGTCCTAGTCCTACAGAAAGCCCAAGCTGCTCTGCAGGCGTCCTATGAGATATGCGAAGCCAACAGGAGATGACTGCAGCCAGCAGTGCTTATCGGCGGTGCAGTCGTCTACTGGGCCTCTTGAGCTCTCCTGTTCGCTGGTACCGTAAAAAAGTGAGGGGCTTAAAAGTCCAGACTTCACTTTGTCCGACCCGCTCGGAAAGCGTGGGTTCCAGTGGTGTTGCACCAGTCAAGTTGACGTGTGTGAACTACAGATTGACTCCTTACTCTTAGTCCTGCATGCGTATAAGTAGTCGGCCATCGCGCTGCCCCAAAATGAGATTTACGCAAAAGTAACCCCTCTCATAGCACACCTCTTCTCCCCTCCTCAATTCCAACTTCCAAGTTCGCAAGATCAGCATCCACAATGTCGGGACTTCCGAAAACCTTCAAGGCGGCCGTGATCGAGTCCAAGAGCGCGCCCCTCAAGATTGTCGATCAGGAACTGAAGCAACCGGGTGCCGGCCATATTCTCGTCAAGGTTCTAGCATGCGGTGTATGCCACTCTGACGTGGGTATGGCAGAGGGTGGGTTCGGAGACGTCTTCCCGAGGATTCCAGGCCACGAGATCATTGGCGATGTGGTGGCAGTCGGCGAAGGTGTGAGCCGGTTCTCAGGCGGAGAACGTGTTGGAGGTGCCTGGCATGGAGGTATGTCTGTTGCTTGGTCCTCATGTGTTTGCAGTGTGAGAACGCTAATGGCGAAATGCAGGGCATGACGGAACGTGTCGACAGTGCCAAAAGGGGTTCTTCCAAGCCTGTGACAACGAGACGATCAACGGCGTGTTCCGGGACGGTGGGTACGCCGAATACGTGCTGCTCCGTGCCGAGTCGGCGGTCCGGGTGCCAAAGGACGTTGACCCCGCTGAAGCAGCACCACTTCTTTGTGCCGGTGTCACCGTCTTCAACAGCATTCGCAAGATGCAAATTGAGCAAGGCAATCTTGTTGCTATCCAGGGTCTCGGCGGTCTGGGCCATCTTGGCGTGCAGTACGCTAGTCGCATGGGCTACAAGGTCGTGGTCCTGAGTTCCGGGTCTACGAAGAAGGACTTTGCGATGAAGCTGGGTGCGCATGAGTACATCGACTCCAGCGCAACAGACCCCGTGAAGGAGCTCAAGAAGCTTGGGGGTGCGGCATTGATCCTTGCGACGGCGCCCAACCCCAAGATCATCTCGCCGCTTACCGGTGGTTTGCAGCCTGGCGGAAAACTGTGCGTTTTGGCACCAGTCGGAGGATTGGAAGTTGACACGATCGACCTCATCGTCGGAGGCAAGTCGGTTTGTGGGTGGCCCAGCGGACATCAGATGGACTCGGAGGAGGCCATTGACTTTGCAGCAATACACGGCATCAAGTGCATGGTTGAGCGGTTCTCACTGGATGACGCGAAGAAGGCATCGGAACACATGATTTCTAACAAGGTGCGCTTCCGGAGTGTGCTGGTTATGGGTTGAGCATTTTGAGTTGGGGACGTGCTGGTGAACAATGGGATTGCAGACTTGGATTGGGCCGGTTGGCGTTGGGGGGGTGGCGGATGCTGATGATGTCGATGATGGGGGGATTGATGATGTAGAAAGTGAGACTGAAGCAAGAGATACTGTTGAACTATCTCACTCACTTGATGAAATGACCAAGTTCCAGAACAGTGAGAGTGTGACTGAGAGTGAGACTGAGAGTAAGACGGAATGTGGGAATCAAATGAGTCGGGGCCCAGGAAGACTTGGCTTAGGTAACACTCCCTCTTGGATCGTGACAACTGACAGCTCTGAGCACAGGGCGCCGAAACCCCTGAGCAGCCCCCTTAGGATCGTAACTTCGTACCCCTGAGACCGCCACGCGAGGCGGCGCCGGCATCTCCCAGGTTCCGCGTTCTCGGTTCCAATTCTGCGCGGGGGCCCCTCCCATCCTTGCCTCCCGCCCCTTTCGCGTCACGTACCGACTTACGCAGATTTCTTGACATCCGACATCAGTACACCTCTCTCATGCCCATGTTCTTCCTCGATATCCTCATCCCAAATCGGAGTCTGGTCGGGCGATACGTCTGCCGACTTTGAACCACTCAACTCACACCATGGGGAAAGGGGATACCGACATATTCTGGATCACAGCCGTATCGCTCCCGATTCCCCCGTGGCCGAAAAATGTGGTCCAGTCCAAAGCGGTTCTTCTTCACCCTGGCAATGCAAGAAAGGTTGACAAATTTGTCGTGTTGAGGAACATGATCGACCGCCAGGGGCGCATACATCTTAACCTCGTTGTTCTTTTCCGGCTCCTCTTACGATGTCAACATCTGGCCTTCGATCACGCCCACTTCTGGACCTTCATTCGCGACCACTGCGGTATGGAAACTCTCAACTGTCGAATGGCCGAGGAACTTGCAGAAATCTACTCGGATCGTCGCCGCGTATACCTGGAAACCAAAAAGATTTTCCCTAAGCGACATAACTTCTTAAGTAGTCTCATCGACGCATGGAACTCCCGAGATCCTGACCCGCCAGCCCATGCCCGGCCGACAAACCAGGAACTTGTAGCAGAATGGAACTACGTTGAGAAGTCATGGCTATGGCTAATGGAGCACGACCGGATGTCAATCATTGACCCGGAAAATCCGCCCGTGTATGGGGCTTTCCCCGCAAAGAAAGGTACACCTTCAAGCTTTCAAATAAAAGGTGGAAGCATACGCAGCACCGGCAAGGATCTCGCCTCGCGCATCTCGGCACCATCACCCCAGCGTCAACGTAGAGGGTCTTCCACTAGTCTCCACGGCGAGAAGGTGCCTCCCGGCAAGGTCTTCTCACGCCTTTCGATGCCATCACCTGACAGGCAACGTAGAGCTTCTTCCGGCCACGATTCCATCAGGCCGTCTACTCCGGGTGCTTCAGAAAGAGCCATCGATGATTTCATTCAAAGCGAAGGGCGGAAAAGGAAGCTTAGTCCCGAAGCACCCGATTCTCTAAAAAGGCAATGCATTCCGGAATCTTCGCCATGCTCCCCGCGACTAGACTCGCAGCTCACTCCTTGTCACAAGAAGCCCTCGAGCCAAGTGATGAGCAGCCAAGACCATCAGCAGACATCCACGCACCACGGGGCTACAGACATCATGCTTGATACAAGTCAGGATCTAGCCAAAGAACAACACGAGACATGTGACACGTCCCTGAACAATCTAGCCACTATTGGACACCAGAAAGAGGCACCCCATGGCGATGAGTTACTCCAATTGCTCGAAACCAGAGTTGGGCAAAACGACGAGACTATGCAGCTCTTGAAAGAACAAACAAACCTCGTCATGGAATCTGGGGAGCTTTCAAGGGAGATTCAAAAAGCACACGACCAGCTCAACCTGCTCACTGCCTCAAAGTGCCAAGATGCGCTGCAAAAGGTGGACGTGCTCAGTAGCCAGATAAACAACCTTGTTGCGGAGATAATGGCATGTCGCAAGTCGGATCAAGAGATTCAACAACGACAGCAAGGCCAGCAGGACCTTATCAAAAGCCTCGAAGGCGATATGCAGACGTTGAACCAAGAGATGAAGGAAGTCAAAAATGGTCTTCTTTCGAAGACGGATTCTCCTCAAGCCCGCGAGACAAGCAACCAAGCAGCCAGAATACGACTAGAAGATCGGAACGGGGTGGACGATCAACAGAGCATTCGGATGGAGACACGGCTAGCCGTTTTGGAAGAGCGAATGGGCACGCGAATTGACTCGGCCCTGTCGCCCTCCAGGACCTTTGAAGAGCGCCTTGAGAGGATAGAAAGGGCCACTGCCGATCAAGTACCGAATGCCGAATACATGCCTCGGATTTTAAAGATGGAGGAGGCCATCGCCATCAGCACAACCCTGATTAATAACTGCAGAACACTCGTCGACGTTAGCAGAGCCTCCTTAGATCAACACCTAGGCATCCTCCATAATCGCATCGCAACGATGGAGGCCCGCCTTACGAACCAGGTTGCTGAACAGGCTGAGGCAAAGAAAGAACAAACCAAGAGAATGGATCGAATCGAGGCGGAGCTTCAACGTCAAAAGGAGACAGCATCTACACCACAGCATCTAACGTCGGCCGTCAGCATGCATCCGAAGCTAGCGGCTTCCAGGCCCAAATGAACGCGCTCAAGAACTCATTAGCTTTTATAGCGCGACGTCAGAGCATGGAAAATGCTGATACGAACTCGACAACACCATTAACGCCAATAACACCACTATCGCAGGCCAGACGTAGCTCTCTGAACCGTCTTCCGAGGCCGGTACAGAATGGAGCGCCAGCTGGCTTGACGAGGCCCCAACTCAATGCGGCACCCGTCAAAGACGAGACTTGAGTCGGATACTGTATGACAGTGACCAAGTTTCAACACTCCCAACACTTTCGAGAATGATTCTCGTCATTGAATGGAACGGATGCAGCATGCTATGTTACAGTCGACCAGAACCAGGCTGTGCTCTCGAGCTTGACACCCATTGAAGAGTCACTACAAGAAATAAGGATGTGGGAAAGAATGCCCAAGAAATACTTTTGAGAGGATCATCTACCCTAGAGCCTCCTAAGGGCAGTCTATACCCAGTTCAATGATGGACGAGGACAAAGGTTACGCTTGCGTTCTTGCGTGGTATCGAGGCGAAATTGCGAGGCGGCCCTGCATCAAGAGTGTACTCACCATCGGCGGGTGTTTTCCACACTCAATTCAGCACTATCTAGCAATGCTGACAGCGTGGCCGACGGCTCTTTGGAGTGCTAACTAAGACAACTTGTTGAGTCGGGCTGCCAAACTCTTCAGAATTCGCGAACTGCTGTAGTCAAAGGAGCCAGTCTTTAGGTACCACCAGCACTCAGATGAACATCAACGTGTTGGCTCCTTATAACGCGGGCAATTTTGGGGGAAGACCTCATAGATCGTGTGTAGCTCTATGACTAGAATTCAAGAATTCAAGAATACAAGCACCCTGAAGGTCTGCCTTGAGGTTCAACTTTACTGTGTCTCATTGTCGCAGTCTCCGGGTTTGTTCATGTGTATGCATCTTGGATGGCTGCCCTCAAAGTTCTCGACGGAGTGGCTTGAGATTGAGAACACTGAGTTTCCACGTGCATTCAGAAGAACATCTGTGGGAACAAACAGCAATCGCTAGGTATACACGGAGCCGAGCTATGTCACGTGTCTTCGGCACGTGACACACCTCAGCTCCCTCCTTCCATATCACGAGCCTTCGCGTTTAGATACTCTCCTTAAGAACAACAATAACAACAACAAGAACACCAGATTAACCCAACGATATTGCTACCGATCGCGATACCAGGAATACCTGTGTGACTAACCTGTGGTACACGCAAACCAACAACATCAAATCATGCCTCGCTTATGATTTGCTCCGACACATGCATGCCATTTATGTCCCCGATTTAGGGCGGTGGTTCATCCGATGCATCTCCTGTCAAGTAACTCCAATTCGTTGGATGCACATGTCTGATGTGTACACGTACGATGGCAGTTGGGTCGCGTGTGTAGGGCGTCTTCGTATGCATGCTGCTCAATTAAATCTTTTATATATACCTGTCGGAACAGCAAGGTGACAGAATTCGGAATTGTACCGTTGCGCCATATACAAAAGAGAGATCCCTCTACTGCATTTATGTAGTTGTGGGTACATATAGTTTCCGTCACAAGGCTGATAAGGAGCAATGGGCAGGTATCGTGGGCTGGCTGGCGCCTGCCCTGGGCGAAGTGGGACAACTGGCTTAGTCATCACGACCGGTTAAGGTGGGGCAACCACCCAGGCCGTCACCACCTACTTCGACCGGCCCCTGCCCACAATGTAAATAGGGAGAAAGGAAAAAGAACAACAGCAATTATCACGGACATCGACGTGATTGTTGCCGAAGATACACCTTCATGAGGAAATGTATCACGCCTGTGATACCAACAATACCGTTTTACATTTCCCATTCGTGAGGCGTTCAATATTAGGTGCACCCTTTATAGCTTGTATGATACAACATTTACAATCGATCTTCCCGTAAAGAGAAGGTTTGAACAATGACTATGTTGTCGCGGTCACTCCCCATTCCCGACTTGTTTGAAGCTTCGAAAGTTAATTCAGTCTCGCTTTCATTGTCTCGCCTCCCTGTCGACTCCCAGCCGCGAGCACGCTTACTTGAAGACATCTTCTGCTGCTGGGTTCGATCTGACTCGCTGCCGCTGCCCAACTCATGACTCTCGGTTTCATCCTTGGACATGAAGGTGGTGAGACTAAAAGGGCTGCGCCGTTGGCCCCGGCTTGAGCTATTGTTGCTGACGTTCTTGATGTTGCCGCCCATGGCAGATGGGGCGCCGCGTTCGGAATCGTGGAGTTGCGATGGCCCCATGGACGTGAAGCCAAGTCGGTATCCTACGAGTCGGAAGAGTGGGCGGAGGGTTGCAAGGCTACCTGCGGTGATCGCCAGACCCTGTTCAGTGGTGGACCAGATTGCAATATCGACGGTTGCATCTGGAAGTGCGCGAGTCAGCCACCAACAACCTTAAATCAATAACGACGGGATAGAGTGGGACTTTGACTTACAAAGGAAGTCTGGATTCTTGAAGTCCTTGACAAATGGCATGCGCACAACGACGGCAGCGCTGGCACTAAGGAGAGTTTTAGTTAGTCATTTGACCGCAAGAAGAGGGATGTAGAGCACGAACATGCAGGCCATAGCCATGATTGGTACAAGAGCCATCTTGGTCTTGTGGTCCATCTTCAATTTCCAGATGAGAACCATGGGCAGAATAGCAAAGGTGAAGTCGCAGATAACGCTGAAGGCGCTGTAGAGGTAGGTAAGAGCAATGATAACATCCACGGAGATGCAGTGGCCGCTCTGGGTTGTGGTATTCCAGAAATAGGATATCGGTTGGCATTGCAGAAGAGTGACAAAGAAGAACACGACGCCGGTGCAAACTGTCATCATCATAACGCTGTAGATGATCCAAACGTCGATCTTGCGAACCGTGATTCGGAGGAGGAAGTAGCCGATGGAAATTTTGGAGGCGATCATCGACAAACAGTACCACAGGTAGCAGTACCACCAAAACTGCGGCTTGTCAGTGTCTGTCCTCCCATGATTTCACTATTTCGAAAGCGTTGGCAGGTCTGTCGGAAGCTTACCATCATGGCGGTTGACCACTCATCGTCGGTGAGATTCACCTTGTGACGACCCGTTCCGTAATGCACACCCGTGATCGCACATGACACGAAGAGGATGAAGAATGTCTGCAAGATGGTGTTTTGGTTAGCTGGAGCTCTCCGAGATTGCCTGTGCTAGCATGAATCGGTGCGAGAAGGAGAAGATTGGGTTCCGTACGATCGCAGCAAGCATGCACCAGTCGTCGACTCCGAAGTTCTTGACGAGGAAGATTCGGACATAGCATCGGAGAGTCGTTACCACGATGGCCGTTGTGACGAGCGTTATGCCGACGGCCACCAGCTGCGGGCCGCGGTTCTCGATTTCCGCCATTGCGATCGGAACAAGACTATTCAATGTCTTCGATATCCGTACTCAGGCAAAGGAAAAAGGGATCGAACGACGAGTCGTGTTTGTCAAGGGAGGGGCCGTGAGAGGAGCCGCAGATTCGGGACGTCGTTCTACGAGTTCTCCATCCTGACAGGAACGAAGAGGGATGGGAGGGACCATGTTGAAGATATGTGTTCCTGGACAATGTGGGAAAAGAAACATTGAATTGCGCTACCGCGGGTGTGTGAGTGCGGCCTGGCCCTGTTGCTGCCATACGGCGTGAATGGAAGAAGAGGAGAGGAGAGAGACAGCAGCACCCCTGATCGTCACACTTACACCTGCGCAGAACCTTGCAGAATGTAACATGGGCAGGCCACCCCGGAAGACTCCAATTGCAGCCCCTGGAGAACCTATCCCGTATTGGAGTGAGACTTTCGCATGTTGGGCTATGTTGAAAGCGGGCAAGAGGTGTCAACCCTGGTGTGAGCAAATGTCGGCAGATGGGGCGAACCACATCTCGGGTAATCCAGCCTCACACGCTATCGCCCACGTTGGTGTTAGTTTGGAGGTTAGTGGCCGGTGAAATGGCCGTATCCAGCTACCGGCCGAAGAGTCCATTGTCTGGAATCCTTCCCCCGCATTAGTCCCGAAGAGATTGAAGACTCTTGAACCTCGGGGGGTTTCCTTCGCCAAGAGTCGCGAGATGGTGAAAGAGATTCAGGGGTCCTGTCGTGGTAGGGTGACAATGGGCCGCTCCCCAAACACAACTCCGATGCCTTGCTGTCACTGACCAGCTTCCCACGAGGTGTGGCAGGGAACCAAATCCACCGCAATGGAGGATTGGGAAGAGTTGGGGGCCATCTCGATGATAATCGCCTGCATTCGGAAAAGTCACGATGGCGCTGGCACGCGTGCATGGACGCAATGCTGAACCTTGACCTGCCATTTTATTTTTCTTCCAGAAGGCTAAATTGATGAATTCGGGCAAGAGGAAACTTTCCTGCATTTCTAACTGTAAATCCATCTCATCGGCAAATGTCTTTCCGGGTTGGGACTCGACCATACAATACTACAGTACCCAGTCCTTCCGGACCGTAGTAGGTAGGTGATTCAAGGTTGATGGTGCCGGGGAGGATAACGGGAAAATTAGTATGAGTGTTTCGCTTGCATAATTGCGACTGTGTTGTGCTGGTGCTCTGCAGCCCATGCAGAAGCGAGCTCAATTCAGAATCTCACCAACATGGCACCACTTTTTTCTCACTTGACCCTGCTTTGACGAACCACCCCTCAATTGTCTGACAGCGATGCTCCGCCCATCTCACGCCAAAAGCGTTAACTATCGACAAAAGAAGTAAGCAGAACGGCCGGCGGCCGGAGGCGGACATTGCCGGAATAATGCAAGTCGGGAGTTGAGCCTTTGGGCTTGAAAGTAATAACGAGTCGTCGCCATCTGCTTCGCCACCTAGAAGCTGTGGAGGTGGAATTTCACTGGGACCTTCGCACAGACAGCATTGGGCGACTGTGCGGACATGATGGCATGGGAACACGAAAGAGCACAAGGCCACATTCAAACTGGCGGGAATTATGGGAGATGTCACACTAGAAACAGGAAGAAAAGTGTCACCCCCCAACGATGCGGACTGAAGCCGATGCTATTCTCCAATAGGGAACTGATTGTCTCAGACCATCCCCACTCTTATGCGGTGTCATCGGCGTCCCGTTTAGGGAGGCCACCCGGACCAAGCCGGCCGGCCATTTGCGCCTCTCTTCTGACAGCTGTTTACGCGCGTAGTCAACCATATGGTCGGGCTTCCTCTAGGGCGGTTCTTGTGATGGCTGTTACTTCTGCCGCTTCTTCTGATGCTTCTTCTTCATCTACCGTGTGGGATCGTGGCTTGCAATCGGCGTGTTTCTGAGACATTCATGACAGGTCGTTGCTGACTCTTTGATGTCTTTCGGTACACTAGAGGTAATGCAGGGTTCCCAAGGCGGCTTGATGAATGACTTCGCGATTTGGGCAAGATTGCAACTTTATTTCTTCATCTTACTCTTCACAGCCACAAGCATGTCCAGCCGTGCCAATACACACTATTGTCTTCAATTCCCCATTTACCAACGACCCGGTGGTTTCATTTACCAGCGCCAAGGTGCCCGAAGAACTGACAGTTCATGAGTGACCCGCAGCTCCTGATCGGATAAAAGACCAGGAATTGCGTCAGATTTTGATCCTTGTTCTGACAGGAGGGCCCGGGTGTCACGGATGAATGTCCGCTGGTCCCAATTAAAATCCACGCCGCCCCAGCGCACAGATATTTGGCCACGGCGGACGCGTAGGAACGCTCTTCTTGTGGGGGCCGCGAAGACCTGATCAAGTAGACGATCTGCTTCTATCAATGCGACCTTATCCCATAAGGCAGAGGCGCTGCCCAACGAGCTCCTCCGAGCAGAAAATCAGCTCGCAAATCTCGAGTCCAGCCTCTTGTTACCCATGCGCGTCATCGTATTCTAGTGTCGCTGGCGCTCTTTTGGTAACATGGCTCCCTAAATTCGGTCTCGCTACCACAGTTAGTCTTGACAAACACAGTTGAACTTAGCGCACAAGTGAGGTGGACTATGGTATTCAAGCTGGCATTTCATGCCAATACACGACTGCCGCGGCAGTACCCCCGGGCGATCGTCTCGTCGGTAAATGCTGGTGTTGTAATAGCGCATTTATCAAGAGTTGCTATCCCATCGGGTGCTGATGGACAGCACTTTCGCCAAGGGCGGGGTAGAGCCAATAAGGGCTTGCAAATCTATTAAGTTAACCAATAGGGCTGCAGTACCTCTATTTCCTATAAATTTTGGGTGTGCCAGAGGTACCAGCAATCTTTGCTAATACATAACGGTACATTACAATCTAAGCAGCCCTTTCGAGTTGTCTGCCGTCGTTGCCGAGCGATGGCATTCCCAGATATCTCCTTTAAAGTCTTCCTATTACCACAATAGGTACAAGGTTAAGATACCTTTCTTGATCCCTTCCTATGCTGTTCCCATGGAATAGAGGTATTCCTTTTGTCTGTAGCCCGTCTAGCCCTAGGGCCCTCCCTAGACAACGGTGCTGTATTCGTCCACTGGGCCCACTGCTCTACGAGGCTCTGCGGAACGTATTGGAGGAACAGTTCAAGCGGGCTTGCCGGCAGCCCCCGTATCTCTTGGGCCCGGGCCGGCACGTTGAAGGGTCGGAAGGAGCCCGGAGGACCATGCTGAGTTGCCGGAGGTTCGTGGGGCCGGACTGTAGCTGCGTCACAGCGCTCGGGCGTACAGTCTGTATTACAGGCAGCAGTAAGGTCTTCTGGGTGGACCTCAACTACTATACAGCTGCGTATAGAAGTAATAGAAGCATTAGATGCAATAGAGGTATCAGAATCACCAGAAGACATCACAGTATCAATCAAAATGGTAATGATAGTGATAATAATAGGCAAAAGAGCATAGGGATAAGTGACGTATCGTCAAGTACCCCTTTAAATGCGGGGTAATGATGGATACATAGTGGGTATTTCATGGTCTTGGCGAAAGTGCTGTCCATCAGCACCCGATGGGATAAGGTGCGGCACATACCGTTCTTGCGTTCTGATCCTGAATGAGTTGGATTCGCGACCTAGCCAACAAAACTTACCTAAAAGGGATGTAGCAGCAGCAGGGTCTTCTGCAAAGAGTAGGTGAGTCAAGGAAGAGTTACATCGGGTGGGGGGACGGATAAGACAACAGGACGATCATAACTTATCAGTACACATGAAACTCATCGATGTCCGATGGAAGATACCGTTGCCAGAATAACACCATGGGCTCTTAGGGTCAGAGTGGCGGTGTATCATCTACGTAGTACATGCGGTTCTGCCCTGCCCTGACTACCTTTCCTCCCCGGTTGACATTATCCGAGGAGTATTAAGACCAGAGTAACATCACATAACTGCCAAGTCACATTTTCGTCTGTTGGTGATCGTCGGTACGGAATAGAAACACTGAGCAATTTCTCATCGGATGCGTCTGGGCCATAACGCCTCAGCGCTGAAATGAGGCACTGATCTGATAATCCAGCCATACACGTGCCATGTTACGGGAGTAGGTAGTCAGGTTGCATCTGGCAAGGGGAAACCCCGAAACCCTGAACGTATGGGTATGCCGGGTTTTCAGGTCGTTTAGTGGAATGCCCTCTCGTTCGCCATGGTCTTTTATCCTCTCTTGTGGACACGATTGGCCAAAGTACCTAGGCTACTAAGGTACCAAGGCATCCCGCTCAGAATTGCGCGGGGGCAAAAAGCTTCGTCTACTAGCCTACTTGCTCTATTGTAGACGCCGCGAGTTCTGCAAGGGAATCATAAGTCCCGTTGCGTGGTTGTGACACTGAATTTCAGTAAAAATACCTTTCGAAGAGACTATTTACTTCAGGCCTGTTTTGCAGAGCGCAAGAGATTGTTCCAGCTGAGTGTGCGCTCAATATCAAGTTCCATGGCTAAAAGTACCAGCATGATGATGTATCGAGCTGGGCTTGTCATGTGTGGGGTTTCCGATCTCGTGCCGCGAGGTTTGTCTTTACGTTAGGACTAGCTACGCTACCGAATCTTCCCCCAGCCACATATGTAAGGATGGGATATTTGAGGCGGACAAACTGGCTGAGGCGACGGACGAATTGGGGTTTAAACAATAAACTCCACCAATCCTCATGCAAAGACAATGTCAGTTCTAGCCCACCTATGAATCGGTTGAAGGAGACTATGCCATGGCCTCAGATATGACGAGTATTGACAAATACTCTGGGCAAGTACAGAGTCGTGGCTTGCGTGACAACATCGAGCTCTGAGGGACCGCCGGCTAGGGCCTTCCTACGGTGGCAAGGTTGCCATATCCTTCGACACGATGAGTTAAGGTCCAGAGAAGAGCCCGGTGCCGTTATTCATATTGTCATGACGAAAGAAAGTGATACTGGCCAGATTCGGACTTAAAAGCTATGATTACAATTAACAGCTGCCATGATGCATGGCAGTGCGTCGTCTAGTCAGAATCGGCCGTCGTGGTACTCAAGCTAGACGCCACTGCAACTCACGACATAATCATGATGCCTGTGGAGTAGAGGCAACATGTATTCTGAATGACCGAAAAGCCTGTCCGATAGCCTGAAACAAGGACAGAGATTGTGAGGTGACCTCTGATGGGCAGCCTCACGCGTCAGGGCATGTATTTGCAAATCGCACAGAGTCTAGGAGACTTCAATGTTCACAAACCTTCAATATCACTCAGACTTCCCACATAGGACTCTAGGGACAACAAATATTGTTGAACTGCCACATTTTGCCGCCAACTCACTACTTTATTTTGAGCGATGCACACTCATGAACAACAGTCAAACAAGCCTTAGATAGTAGGTGTCCGCGTTTCTTCCCCGTAAGAGCTTGTCTTAAGCAAAGCAAAGTGTAAAGGCATTGATTCTTGCCAAACACGACGAACCCTAACAGAACTTCCGAAAGCAGAGCTATCATATTCGTATGAAAATAAGATCCCCTTGTTAGGGCAACTTGCACATGTCCGGCAGCCGAAGGCGAAGCTATGGTAAGTCGGGACATGTGGACATCATTCGCGCCGTAACCCATAATTTCTCTTCAGCCTGAGGTGGTTCGAGTTGACTGGCATTGTGAGGCTGTACGCTCGCAAGCCAAGACTTTGTCTATCCCTTCCTACAATCGACTCAAGACGTTGCGTGAATGGGCCTGTACAAAGGTATCAACTAGAAGGAAGCAGATGGGCGCAGTATAATAGAGACGGCATCTACGTTCTACCACGAAGAGTTTATCAAAGCAACGTAAGACGATCTCGGTAGACCAACTGCGCCTTCAACAACAACAAGTCTACAATTTCAAGGCTACTTCCTACTCCGAATTGCAGTCTCGGTCTTCTGTCGACTTACTCATATATCGCGAACATGGACATGTCTTTTCTTCATAGTAGGAAGTGGAAAGCTATGATTTCGATGCTCCGCCATCAAAGAGAACACGTGAGTATGTTGCGGCAATCCTTCTAACTACATCAGGTAGATTTTCAAGAGCAGACGGGAGAAATGCGATGAATTTGATGAAACTTCTAGTCTTATTTCTATGTAGCATACGTTTAAAAAAGGAAACCCGAAGTATAGCCCAGCTGCCAAGGAGGAATTTGGATGTACGTTAGATTTTGAAGCCTGCTAAATCCCTTAGGATTTCTTTAAACGCATGCTCAGGCAGTATTGAACTCGTATGACTGAGTAGGAGAATGTTAGTGGGAAGCTTATGTGGTTGCCAACGATTGAGACCTTACCAAATCGTGCCACGCCACTCCAGCATACTCGGATTGGCTCTTGCCATGGTGTGTAAACCCCAGCTTCTCATAGTACGAAACCAGCCTGTCATAGGTGAGAATAGAAATTCTCTCTGTCTGTGCCGCCTGTATCATGTGCTTGATGTAGTATGCCATAAGCGTTTTGCCGTAACCTGATTTCTGCGAGTTGGGAGAGACAGCTAGTGAATGCAAAGTGATAGTTTTGCCTTCTGATTGGTGCCCAACGTCGTATGTGGCGGTTGGGTCTGTCTTCCATGAATGTGGGACGGCCATGTCCGCGTCTGTCACAACAGAAGAGATCGACTTGGTGGAAATCGTGTGCGCGATAAGGTCATTACCGTTCGAGGTGTCGGACGGATTGTAGGCCAGCGTGGTCCCTTGTCGAATAACCCTGCCTTGGCTGCTTTTGCCCTCACGGGCAAATAATCCCAAGCAGAGTTCGGGGCATACCGTCAGTCGATATTCGATCTGAAAGCAAGATGAGATTAGATAGGCTCGGCGGCGTCATCGCGAGTGCACCACTGCCCTTAAAACACTGCGGCAATATAATATGTGCTAGTGGCTTAAACGCAGCGATAGAGATGTAGAGCATTATAAGCCCCTAAGTCCAAGACATGAAACAAACTCGATGGTAAACAAGGTTCACAATATAAAGGAAGGCTAATTTGAATGCGACTTGCCTTTTCGCGGGTCGCTGCTTCGGCGGGGGGGAAGGCTGCGGCCTCCACTGTTTCGCACCGATCAAGATCATCGATTGTCAATGGACGGATGTACAAGTCCATGTCTAGAGCAATGAATTTGACACTTCGGCGGTTTGTTTCAAGGTGTGATTGAACACAGCGACGCACAAATATAGGCTGGAGACATGAAGCTGTGATAGTGCGACCGAGTATTCAGCCAATGTGGGATCGTTGCCTTCCAAAATTAGACAAGGGGCCATGAGTCATTGTGACGAAGCCAGAGGTCGGATTACGGTACCCGGCGGCTCTGCAGGTCACTCCTACAAAAACCTTGTCTTGTTCGCAGAAATGGGTATTCCGGCTTTCAAAGGGAGCGGGATTTTGGTTCGGTTTGCATGAAACTTCAGGAACAAAAACAAAGACCACGATACTGAAGGAACCATATTACCAGTCTGGCAGAGACCATAGAGTCTTAGTGTCACGAGATAGGAATAGCATCAGCACTCTGTAATCAGCCCATCACGTGCGTTATCACGTGCGTTATCACGTGATTCTCTCATTTGTTCACTTTTCCTTGCTCGATCCTATTTGGGTTAATACAAGCCACTTTCCCCCCTTGGGAGCAACTAGCGGACTGGCAGACAGCCCTCGCCAGGGTCGGCTACGAACCTAACAAGACCAAAGAAGAACAGACCCTCTCCTTTGCAGGCAGGGTGGCAACTTTCTCTAAGCGGGATATTGTTGTCTATACTGACGGGTCCTAGATGTCGGACGGCAGCAGTACCTCCGCCGGAGCAGGCTGGGTAGGGTACCAAGCTACACGGCAGATCTTCCGCAGATCCGAACCACTCGGCTCCTAAACTGAGGTATATAACGCGGAGGTATATGCTGCGTATTACAGCCTAATGGAAGCCGCCCGGGCTCCTACGGCTCGTATAGTAGATAACGTCCACATCTACCTTAATAACCTCGTAGTCGTGGCTAGACTATACTCCTAGAGCATAGGAAGTAGCCAGGCTAGATTCAGGGCCTTTAATAGGCTCTCTTCCTCCTGGACTCGGAGATAAAAAGAGAGCTAGATAACCCCCGGCAGGGTTTATATTTGGTGGTACCCTGGGCACACGGGAGTACTAAGAAATAAAAAAACGGATGCTCTAGCCAAGGAAGCCTGCAAACTAATCCCAAAATTATAACCATAGCCCTTATTAGCATACCTAGAAAGGCAAGCTAAAGCAGCTGCCTTCCAAGCCTTTGCCAGAAAATAGCTATCCTAATACCCTCGGTAATATACCGACCTCGAGATAGTTCTTCATCCCAAGCCGCCCGAACTCCGCCTCCCTCGGCACTTACTAGGAAGGCTATACATAGCAAGATCCCATCATAGAGACTTTATAGCATACCACGAGAGATTCGCTCATTAAGATACGTTGCTTAACTATAGCTATAGGAAACCCAAGACACCAGTCCATTTCTACTTCTGCAAGCGTGGACGCAAGGCTATACCGCGCTACCTCCGCCAACGTATAGCCAAAATAAGTATTAATTTCTTATTAGGTTCTGCTAAGGGAGCCTCTCTTCTATATGAATAGATAGAGGAGACCAATTTCTCTTCCAAAATTTGCCCGAATTATTAAATAGGAACGTTAGGTAAAGACGGTAGCCTGTAATATAGTTTAGATTAGCATAGACCATGTCGGTATAGCGCCCGGCACGTCCTTTTGTTACTAGACGTTAAATACATCATCATCATCATCAACAATACAAGCCACTTTTACCACACTTCATATGCCCATTGCTGCGTGCCATAACTCGCGACACTTAGTAACGCCTTTCAGTATGTCATTGGCCAGAACTCTGGAATCTGGCAACCTTTGTCAGACTTTGATTGGCGTTGGTAGCATGGTAATATCCCTAAATGAACCGTGCTAGATCCTCCCTAAAGAGTTTTCTAAGGTTGTATTAAAATACGTCCTGGCACATTCCTTGGGCTGCAACCCTGATAGCTGGCTCGTTAAGCCTAACCCCCTCCCGACGAGGTTTCCACAATCGGTCCCTGATTTCTGTTTAACTTTAAAAAACGGCTTCCGTGATAATCCAAAACTCCGTGGCCGCGTCCCCGTCTACGCCTGAATGTCTCATCGTTGATAATATTCACGACTAGATGCCAAGATGGACACCGTATAAGTACTAATGCACTTGGTGTGTCGATGATTATGAGGCTCATTGCGTGTTGATATCAGTCTCGTCGTGTCAGATCGCTCCTTCTGCCTTCATACTTAAGCTTTTCTGAGCCACTTGTTCCTTCGCATATCCAGACGACTGTAATCGTTAAACCGTAGTCGAGTGTGGCTTGGACTTGAGCTGTCAATCGTGACGTGCTTGCAGCCTTAGCGAGACGGCTGATCATCCGTTACCTTACTTGCTGGTAAAACTCCTTATTGACTCGCGCATACTTGCCAAGCTGTCGCAACTACTATTACCGGGCCTCTACGGAATCCGTCTTCTGTACCTCTGTGGAGCTGCGGAGGGAGTATTCAGAAAGCTTATTTCTTCTTTCCTACTCAAGTTTATTAGCCTAGCCAATCAACAGAGGCTCTTAGAAATGCCGGTGGTAAATATCCAGGCCTTGCCGACCGCACCGGAGCTCCAGACGGCATTTGCAATCCGATCCGTATTCGTATCGGGCTTACTAAGGTGCCCGTAGGGTGTTTCAGTCCATCTCGACGGATACAAGCGTTGGTAGAGGATCAGACTGCTCCGTCAATGACGAGAAAGAGTCTTGTTCACTTTTAGGAAGATCTAATTTAAAGATGAATGCCACAACGCAATCGCATCCAACAACTAGCCACCTTTCTTCAAATCGCTAGCATCCATTAACATGGACGCCGAGACTAGCCCAGATGCCTCTATGCTGCGAGCTATGCTACTGTCAAAGTATCCGGTCTTGAGGCACTGTCTATGAGGCTTCTCTTTATGTTCATGTTCTTTACTTTCCTCTGCGTCACCATTATCGTCCTGACTAGATCCAAACTTACGAAGTTTCCGGATGTCACCGTCTCTACATCTATTTTCGATATCGGCAATTTAAAGGCCAGAAGGCAGTTCGTGTTTGACTCAGTTAAGCTTATCAAAGATGGGTTTGCCAAGGCAAGTGGCTTGTACAATTTCTCGTCCCGAGTCAACTCTGATACTGATTCTATTTGTGTAGGTCGGCAATGTTACACCTTTTCGCATCATCGCCGATGTAGGCGAGATGGTCATCCTCCCTCCAGAGTTTGTCAACGGTATTCGCAACGAAGCTGACCTTGATTTCATGGAATTTGTCAACCAAGTTTGTGCAATTATATCTATTTGGCAATTAGCTGCCTGGTCCACTGACGAATTTCGTAGCAATTCTTGTCAGACATTCCTGGATTTGAGACATTCAAAACAGGATTATTGACTACTCTGGTCACCGACGTAACCAGAGTCAAGATCACGCAGTCTCTTGGTTCGTGGACTACCTTTCCTAAAATTCACAATACTTAAAACATCCTGACATATTCTGCTACTTTAGGAAAGGTCACGGAACCGCTGGCCAACGAATGCGACCAAGCTTGCCGAGAGATCTTCGGGGAATCCAAAGGTAGAGTGGCTTTGAACATTCCGAATGGTCTAGCATCGCTTGAATAATGGTACTAACACACTGCAGAACGGAAGGAAATCATACTCAAATCTGCCCTCTTGGATCTTGTTGCGCGCATCTCATCTCGCGTGTTCCTCGGCGAAGTGGGATGCCGCAGTCCGGCCTGGCTCAACATTACCAAGGAATTCATTGTGAATAGTTTCATGGCTTGTGTTGAGCTCCGGAAGTACCCTCCTGGAATCCGTCACATTGTTCATTGGTTTTTGCCAGAGTGTAAGACTGTACGCACGCAAGGGCAAACGGCACGAAATATCATCAACGAAATCTTGGCAGCGCGCCAATCGGAAGATCAACAAAGACTTGACAAGGGACTGAAGCCTAAGGTGCGAAAAGATGTGATCGAGTGGTTCGAACAGATGGCCAAGAGTCAAAGCTACGACATAGGACGAGCACAGATTGCTCTCGCCATGGCTGCTGTCCACACCACGACCGACTTCCTGACTCAGACCCTTTTCGATATCATGGACCATCCACAGATTATCCCTGTTCTCCGTGAGGAGATCGTCACGGTTATTAGTCAAGACGGCTGGGAGAAGACAGCGCTCTATAAGCTCAAGTTGATGGACAGTGTGATCAAGGAAAGTCAACGCATCAAGCCACCCAACGTCGTGAGCATGAACAGGCTTGCCTTGAAAGACGTCAAGCTTCCCGATGGATCGATTCTTCCTGCGGGAAGCAAGATGGGGAGTGTCTGCACATTCTATGTGGGATCCTTCCGTCCATTCAGACCCTAAATTCTGGGATGGATATCGATGGCTTCGAAAGCGCCAACAGGCGGGACAAGAGAACCTGCACCAGCTTGCCACAACATCACCACAGCACATCGCTTTTGGACACGGAAAGAATTCATACCCTGGGCGATTCTTTGCTGCTAATGAGATCAAGATTGCCTTATGCTTCTTGATAATGAACTATGATTTCGAGTTGACGCCGGGTGTGAAGCCCGAGGCTGTGTTGTCAGGCATTCAACTCGACTCCAATCCAACTGCAAAAGTGCAAGTCAGGCACCGCGAACCTGAGTTGGAATTGGTGTCTATATTGAAGAAAGGTCCCCAATAAGGGCGTATCTGTTCATGCGGGGCCTAGCAATCATGCAAGACGCACTAGAAAAGGCCCCGTCAATCTTGATTCATACACAGTTATTCGATAGTTAGTTACTAGAACTCTTTGTTTAAATTTCCTGGTCATCTTGAAGCTCGACCCCACCTTCATTAGAAGGCGGTGCATTATGTCCTGCGTTGCATGGGTTCCACTTCGAGTACCTTCGCTCCAAAGTAGCAGATACACAGCCGTCTTCAATGAAGCCTAGCTTGTATATACAGCCGCTGTAAGATGGCAGACAATTTATCCATGTCAGCAGAGTCCATTGTTGTCTGCCCATTCTGGCACGAGATTAACAATTCGTGGCCATTGTCAAGATGTTAGGTCTGGTTGCAAAGCGGCGTCAAGATTGCCAAGTGCACTCTCGTAGCAACAGAAAAGTGCTAGGCAGCAACCCATTTTCCATGGGACCTCAAAGTAATTACTAGCTTGGAAAACTCGACGCATGGGACACAAGATGGAACAGCCAGCTCTTAGTATCAACAAGGCCGAATTCGCTCCAATGGCTGTGCAATCCAAGTCCGATGCAGGGGTACAAATAGAAAAGGTTATAGATTCAGAGCCTCGAGCGGATAAGACGGGAAAACAGGCCGAATATGGCCAAGCGAACAAGCCCAAGCAGAGAAAGTCCTTTGCTTTCAAACTCGCTTTTGAAGGCCTCGCCACCACACTCTTCGTGTTCCAAGTGGATGCGACAGCACTTGGCATTGCTCTTCCAGTATAGCACACTCCCAATGATCTGCAAGTACCGACACTAACTGAGTTGTATTCTATAGCCAATGACCTACAAGGCTCGAGTTTGGAATCGTTCTGGGCCAGTTTGTCCTATACGCTCTGCGGTCTGGCGATGCAACCGGTTTGGGCGAGCATATCCGACACCTTTGGTCGAAAACCACCTCTTTACGTGTGCATAGCCCTATTATTCCTTGGGTCGATCACTTTCGCTGTCGCGCAGAACATGAAGACCATTATCGTGGGTCGAGTGCTCCAGGGATTCGGCGGTGGAGGCATTGATGTTCTTACTCAAGTTATTCTCGCCGACATGACGACGCTTGAAGAACGTTCGACATATCTCGGCCTAATAGGCATCCCAAAAGCTGTTGGTAATATCCTTGGGCCCTCTGTTGGTGCCCTTTTTGCCACTTATGCTAGCTGGAGATGGATCGGGTGGGTTAACCCACCGATCCTCGGGATTGGTACCCCTTTGCTATTCTTTTTTCTCAGATTACGACCAATCACACTCGATTCAACGGTCGTCAGCAACATCGAACGGCTCGACTGGATCGGAATGGGGCTTGTCGTCTCTGGTATCACGATATTTGTGCTGCCACTAAGTTGGGCTGTATCCTTGTTCCCATTGGCGTCGTGGCAAACTTTGCTACTCATGCTTTTGGGCTTTGCGGTACTTCTTGCTTTTGTCTTTTATGAAGCGAGACCTGCATCACCGATCATGCCTCATCGTCTATTCCGCTCGAAAACCGCAAACATTACATTAGCGGGAGGCTTCATTCATGGAGTCATTCTTGTTTCACTGTTGCAGTATCTACCATTGATATATCAGGCGGTTTACTTGGTGTTGGATTCACAGGTGGAAAAGGAAATACTCGAGTATCGTGGGTAGCAACGATCACCGACTGTAGTGGTGATATTGCTTGTTCTTGTTGTTGTTGAGTGGAAGTCTAACCAGGTGCCAGCGGCGGCAGGAAGTCTGGGGTATACCACCCTCGTGTGGCTGAGCCACACGGACCACCGTGGCTGGAACGGACCGCGGCAGCAACCTCCTGCTGCCTAATGTAGGCCTATTCCAACAGATACATTGCAATCTAAGCAGCCTTTTCGAGTATACCTTCGTAGCTTTCTGAGGTTATTGCCAGATATCTCGCCTAGAGCCTGGCAGGATCGTAAGGCTGTTGTATTGCTATAATAGGAGTAAGGCGAACAGGACTTTCTCGATCCCTTGCGATGGTGCTGCCAAGGAATAGAGGTATTCCTTTTATCTCTTGTTTGCTTAGGTCGTGATCTTTGCCGACCCCCTGCTAATGGTCCAAACTGCTGGATAAGCTAGGCTGCAAGCAGTTGCCGCTATTGATACTGCTTTTTAATAGATCGCCAACTAGGCTTGCCCCAGAGCTGCAGTAGATAGCTGTTCATAACGATCACTTTTAGTAGAAAGTCCCAAGTAATTGCCTGCCAGCCCCCTCGCCGGATAGGGTGGCCCCATTGATAATAGGACCTCATCTCGTTACTAATATTAACGCCGTTTATCTTATGATTATACTCGTCTATTGGTGCCGGCACTGGCAGGTTCTTCCGGACGTCGGTGCCGAAGTGTCGGATTGGAAGTCCAATTCGGCCGCGAGTAGGGGCAGAGCATGGGCCACCTCGAGGTGGTACACTTAGACCTCGACTACCCACCCAACCTCCGGTTGGAATCTCCCTTCTACTCCTTACGCAGAATCAATCAATACAGAGATAGTGATACTTCGTCACCCCCAGGACCCTACGGTTCGAACCAAATTCCCTGTGAAAGGAATACCAACACGAAGACTTTCTGGGCAGCCCGCTTTGTAGCAGTATCTCCGGCCGGTCGGCGCCGGCTCTGGATAATATCCTGGCCTTCTCGGAAGACCGTTGTTAAGAAGAGTATAATAGCATTGTCTTTCTAGGTAAACTGGTTGACCTAGAAGAACTGATTAGTATAAAAATCCTTAGAAGGTAGTTTTTATAACACTATAACTACCTTCCCATCTAAAGTAGGAATATAATGTATCTTGCCCCAAGGGATATCTTGTCCTTCAGTTGCTTTCTCGGCAACAAGGATCTTATCTATGCCGCTATCTTTCCGGCAAGTGCCAGAAGCTCCGACTTGCTGCTTCCGGAGAGCCCGGAAGAGCCGGACAGAAGAAAAGAGGTTATCTAGAAAGACGTGGTAGATTGTTGCCGGAAGCAGGGTAACTAGGGTCGTTACAACCCGTTGCGTTGGCGTTAAAAGGGCCTGCTTTGCCGCCTCGTCATCCGGCGCTGGCCGGGCCTGTGGGACTAGCCCGTACGGGCCCTTTCCGTGGATATGCCAGAGCCATCGGAGACAGTAGCCTGATTGGGCAAGAATCCATATCTTGAAGCCGGTCGGGATCGGCTTAGTCGGGATTGTTGTTGTCTCAAGGAACCGGCCTGTGAATCGGACCATAGCCTCGTCAACGGTAAGGTCAGAGCCGGCCGTATAGAAGGAGTCCCCGGTATCCTGGATATGAGCCGACCACCCGTTAACCTTCCGATACATATCCGGCATTGGATTATCCTGGGGCCGGCGTCGGCACCGGCCATGGCTAGACTGACTAGGGAACTCAGAGGTATCGAATATCCGCAGCAGCCGGGATAGTCTTTGGTAACGGTCACGGGATATAAACCGGGTAAATAGATGAATAGGGTCCTCTTTCTCTTGCTGAGTTGCCCAGTATCTTGATAATTCATATTCCTTATGGATTCCCATATAAATACGGATTCCTAAGAAGAGGTATACCTCTTCTATAGAGGCCTTTTTCCACTTATACACTCTTGAGTGTCTAGGCTGAGGGCCCTCCTTAGAAATCGGCGCTGCATTTGTCCACCGGACCCACTGCTCAACAAGGCTCCGGGGAACGTATCGGAGGAAAAGGTTAATCGGCGTTTCCGGTAGGTCCTGTATTTGCTGGTCCCGGGCCGGTATATCAAAGGGTATCCCATCGGGTGCGGATGGACGCCATTTTCGCCAAGGGCGGGGTAGAGCCAATAAGGGCCTGTAAACCCTTTAAGTTAACCAATAGATCTCTAGTACCTCCAATCTCTATAGATTTTGGGTGTGCCAGAGGTACCAGCAATCTCTATCAATACATAACGGTACATTACAGTCTAAGCAGCCCTTTCGTGTTGTCCTTCGAGTGGCCGGCACGTTAAAGGGCCGGAAGGAGCCCGGAAGACCATGCTCGGTAGCCGGAGGTTCGCAGGGCCGGACTGTTGCTGCGTCACAGCGCTCGGGCGTACAGTCTGTATTGCAGGCAGCAGTAAGGTCTTCTGGAAGGACCTCAACTACTATACAGCTGCGTACAGAAGTAATAGAAGCATCAGAATCAGAATCATTAGAAGACATTACAGCATCAATCAAATTGGTAGTAATAGTGGTGATAATAGGTAACAGAGCAAAGGGATAAATGACGTACCATCAAAGTACCCCTTTAAATGCGCGGTAATAGTGGATAAGTAGTGGGTATTTTGGGGCTTGGCGAAAATGGCGTCCATCCGCACCCGATGGGATAGCTCTAGGGCAGCCCTAGGTGGCAGAAGGTAGAATCTTATTATTAATAACGGCGATTACTAGAAGCCTAGTGTTACGCCCGCCGCAACTTGTCACTGTGGGCGCGTAGCTATATAATGCAGAACAAGGGAAAATGATGCGGAGTCATCATTATCGAAGCTTTTGCTTTGTGCCACAGTTGGTTGCCTTGTCCTGCTCGTAACACCTAGCTTATTTAACAGTTTAGACCATTGGTAGGCGGGCGAAGACTATCACGGCCTAGACGGGCTATAAATAAAAGGAATACCTTTATTCCATGGGAATAGCATAGGAAGGGATTAAGAAAGGTATCTTTACCTTATACCTATTATGGTAGTAGGAAGGCTTTAAAGGAGATATCTAGGAATGCCATCGTGTGACGGCCAGCTAGTCGTAGTGAGGTATGTTTGCAGAAGTTGAGGCTGCGGAACTGGTAACAGTAATAATCGGATGATTATTAACGTTATATATCGTTGAATAGTCTTAGGTAGGTTATATTTAAAGGTAGGTAAGGCTTCGGTGATTAATCGTAGTCTTGTTAAAGAGGTTCTTAGGGAAGATAGCTGAAAGCGATTAAAAGATCTGATACGAAGTTAATTACTGAAGAAGCTATGGGAAGTCTGTCCTAGAGCCCGGCTCGAGTCCATCCTATATACAAATCTTGATCCTGAATATGTCCTTTGTCCCTTAGGTCGCCCTGGATTATTCTCATCTAGAATGATCGTTTGGCCCCTAAGTCGTATTAGATCATATTAATCCTAAATAATCCCTTCTTATTATTATATAACTTATACTATAGTTCTTCCGTTCCGTAGAGGGTTACTGGTGTTCCTGTTTCACCTTTATATATGGTGCGCTGTAGCCGCCGTGTCCTGCGGGGCAGGCCTGAACTTGGTCATGCATGTTGGGTCGTAACACATCGCTCGGTAACGACGGCAGATAACTCGAAAGGGCTGCTTAGATTGTAATGTACCATTATGTATTAGCAAAGATTGCTGGTACCTCTGGTACACCCGAAATTTATAGGAAATAGAGGTACTGCAGCCCTATTGGTCAACTTAATAGATTTGCAAGCCCTTATTGGCTCTACCCCGCCCTTGGCGAAAGTGCTGTCCATCAGCACCCGATGGGATAGATAAAAGGAATACCTCTATTCCATAGGAACACTATAGGAAGGGATCAAGAAAGGCTTGTTCACCTTGCTCTTATTGTAGTAGTAGGAAGGTATTACGGCAGCCTTTAGGTAAGGTATCTAGGAATAACCTTAGTCGGCAGCAACAGCGGAAAAAAACTCGGAAGGGCTGCTTAGACTATAACGTATTATTACGTATTAATAGAGATCGCTGGTACCTCTGGCATACCCAAAATCTAAAGAGATTAGAGGTACTGAAAATCGATTGGTTAACTTAAAGATTTCCCACGCCCTTATTGGCTCTACCCCGCTCTTGGCAAAAATGAGGTCCATCAGCACCTGATGGGATACTTCTAGGGTCTCCTAAAAATTTCAAATACAAGTCACTCTGTACGTTTAAGACATCTCAAGGCATGTCCAAAAAAACATGACGGACTTAGATTCCCGGGGATGTAGCAAACCAGTATCAAAATTATCTCCTTCCGAAGCATTTCGACATCCGTTTCCACCATTTTTAACACCTGCTCCAGTCGTTCTGGACTCGGCATAAACACCGCCCTCAGCCTTGGGCTGTTCTCTGACCGAGAAGGAAGCAAACAGGCCAGGAAGCCAGCTGTGCAGTGGCGCCTTTGAGTTACCGTAAGAGGTGAGACTCGTCATCCAGCGGATCCGATGAGAGACCTCCGAGGCGGAGGTCATTCATCCCCCCCCACTCTCGACCTGAGCTCCCGGGTGGGATGCTATCGTCTCGAGCGTTAGCTATCGAGAGGTTTTAGCGAAGACTTCCCCGTGCCCCCTCTTCTCCTCTTTTAGCCACTAGCTAAGGCGAGATTTCGACCGAAGTGGATATCATAAACACCACGGTTTCTCTATCGTCGGCCCGACTTGTCTCGTTCACAAGCCCATCAAGCCCTATCGATTTCTCCTTCATTGCTTAAGCTCGCCTTGGCTACGCTAACTTGTATCCACTTTATCGAGGATAGCTTCCTCCACCATTTCTCCATGACTAAAACGTGGGGAGAGCGAGTCAAGCCAAATGCCGGGGATGCCTTGTGGCCTGTTCTCCGTGGGGTAAAGTTTCTTTGCTCGAAGAGAAGCATTTTGGCTGCGGCTTCAAGTGGAGACAACTCTCGTAGAAGCAGTTTTCCAGGGATTCGACTTTTGTGTATATATATATATATCGCCCTTGCAGCCTGCCTGTAGTGATAAACCTTGATCAACAATCGGGCATCACTTCCTTCTCAATTCTTCACCATGACGATTCGGACCGCCTTCTTGACGGCCCTTGTTGGAGTTGCCCAACTCACTCGGCATGCACTTGGTCAATCAACAACTTCTTCTCCACCCGTCCCTGTTCCAACTGGGATACCAATCGTTGGCGATTATAATGGCACCTATCGCCCCCAAGTGCACTTCTCTCCTCCTCAACATTTCATGAACGACCCCAATGGTATGTTCCGAGATGCCGACGGTGTTTGGCATTTGTACTACCAGTACAATCCGACGGGCGTTGTTGCGGGAAACCAGCATTGGGGACATGCGACATCCAGAGACTTGTACCATTGGTCAAACCAGCCCATAGCTCTCTTCCCCCCCGAAGAAGGTGTCTATATCTACTCTGGAAGTGCTGTTGTTGATGTGAACAATACATCGGGATTCTTCCCAGATCAAGACAACGGGGTGGTTGCAATTTATGTGAGTTCACACCAATCATACGTTCGCTACCACTGTGGCTAATGTGACAAGACTCTGGCATCGCCGACGCTGCAGACTCAGGGTATTGCTTATTCTCGAGATGGAGGGTACACCTTTACCCCATATGCAAACAATCCCGTTATCGGGAGTACAACTGCACAGTTCCGCGATCCGAAAGTCATTCGTTACAAGGACTTCTGGGTCATGGTGGTTGCCTATCCACATGACTTTGCCATCGGCATCTTCACGTCTCCCAACCTGAAAGATTGGACAGCAACAAGCAACTTCTCCCATCATGGCCTTCTTGGTCTGCAGTATGAGTGCCCAAACCTCGTGTCTATGCCTTACATGAACGCAGAGGGAAAGAGGCAGGACAACATGTGGCTTATGGCCATTAGCATCAATCCCGGTGCGCCTCTAGGAGGCTCTATAACAGAGTACCATCCTGGCACTTTTAATGGTACTCACTTTGAGGCTGTGGACGCAGCTGCGAGAATTGCAGACTTTGGAAAAGATAACTATGCTGGACAATGGTTCTACGGTCTCCCTGAAGAGGAATTCCCGGTGTCAATCGGATGGGCATCTAACTGGCAATATGCGCAAACCGTTCCGACTGATAGCGAGGGTTGGCGAAGTGTTATGAGTCTTCCGCGTCAGAACTATCTAACGAAGGCGAAGCGTGTGGGATGGAAGTTGGTCTCGGCGCCCTACAACTTGGAACCTGTGCTGGGTCGCGAGCTCGCCTCTAATCACAGCATGGGTAACGGGACGCTAATTGTGGACTACTCCGACGTGGAATCCAACGCGATATACTGGGAGGTGAACGTGACAGGCATTCCAGAGAAGAATATTGTGACGACTGCTTCTTTGAACTTTACGTTCTCGAGCAATGCCACCAGCGAGTACATCAACGGCGGATACTTCTTCGGTGGGGATCCTGTGTTTTTCGTCAATCGCAATGGTGCCCGGGGCTTCGATAATATCTTCTTCACGGAAAGAACATCGATCAGTAGCTTGACGACAGAACAAAACTCATGGAGCCTCAGTGGCGTGATCGACAGGTCGATTTTGGAAGTCTTCATCAACGGTGGCGTCGATAGCGCGACTAACACGTTCTTTACGACTCAGCCATTATCGTGCTTCACATTAAGTACAACCGACCTACCTCAGGGCATGATCGTAAGCATTAAAGTCAATACACTAGAAAGCGCATGGAAGTAAATCGAGAATACGTGTATAGAAAAGAGAGATTAAATAGGCTCAGGATAATCTCATTATATTGTTTCGTAAAGTGACAGACAGACCCGGGGATGAGAACGCAAGCCTAGGTGACTGGACGTGGAAGAACGAGCGAAAGTGGACAACGGTCTTGGCGCGGCAGATCATTCAGGGCACCGAGGCTGCTGGGACACCAGCACGCGAGGAACAGAAAGCTTGGCCGGTCTTCTAAGTATCCACGCATTGGCAACGGTTGATAACTGGTTCCTTAGCGATAGTGGATGCGAGCGACCGATCATCAAGTATTACCACCGCGTGGCATCCAAATCTGAGAAAAGCGGCCGATTTCCGTCCCTTGCGTGCCAGTACAACTGTTCGAGCCTTTACTTTCGGGTCTAAAGCTGTAGACACTAAAAGTTCTCAGCCGTTGCTAGCCTTTGATAATTCGCTGCATTTGTGATGTAGCTGCAGGTACATAAGCAGCCCCGGATTGGCTCAGGACATGCCAATGCTTGAGAATTGTGTTCATTTGTGAAAATGGCTGAAATACCAAAACTTGGGTGATTTCACGATTTGGCGCAGGATTATAGCAATGGATTGTAGTAGAATCTGTTGAAAAGACTATAGAAAATGAAGTGGAGACGGTAAAGATATAGGGTAGAATTGTTACGGCCAGCTAGTCGTAGGGGTAGTTTGCAGAAGTTGAGGCTGCGGAACTGGTAACAGTAATCGTAGTCGTGGAATAGTTTCAAGGAAACTATGTCTGTCAATCGTAAGGGTAGGTAAGGCTTCGGTGATCAATCGTAGTCTTGTCAAGGTAGTAGCTGAAAGCGGATGTTAATCCTGATACGAAGTTAATTGCTGAAGAGCTATGGAAGTCTGTCCTAGAGTCCAGCTCAATTCCATCCTTATATACAAGTCCTGATCCTGAACATGTCCCTTGTCCCTTGGGTCGTCTTGGGTCATTCTGATCCAGAATGATCGTTTAGCCCCCAAGTCGTGTTGGATCATATTGATCCCAAATGATCCTTATCTTATCATCATGTGACTTGTACCATAGTTCTTCCGTTCCGTGATTGGGTGCCTTGTGTCCCCTTGTCCTGTGCATGTATGGCGTATCGTAACCGTCGTAAGCCTGCGGGGCAGGCCCTGTTCTTGGTCGTGCATGTTGGGTCGTAACAAAACTGCGCACCTTTGGAACCATAGAGACTTTCCGGCCGCCCTAAGTCGATCACGCCTCCTATACTGAGCGCCCTGCATGGCAACCTCGCTATTGACCCATGTCTGACTCTAAATCAGATGGCTGCCTTCCTTCGAAAACACTACGAAGCCGACGTATCGCGCTTTAGCATTAGCTGGGCCTTGAGGAGGGATAAATGGTCCCAGAAAGCCACATAGAATGTCGCCTAAGAGCGTAACCTAGACCTGCGAGACGAATATATGCACCGGATCTCGCAATATCGATCCGAGCAGTTGGTGTTCGTGGACGAATCCGGCATAGACAAGAGCATCGGTATATACTGTCGAGGCTGGGCTCCTCGAGGGAAGCGACTACGTCAAATCAAGCGATTTCACCGCGGTCGGAGGTACCAAATTCTACCGGTATATACTCAAGATGGGGTGATACACTTCCGGGTGTATAAAGGATCGACGAATACGAAAGTTTCGAGAGTTTTATCGAGATACTCTTACTATACCATGGTCGCTAGCCCGAGCCCCGGTCTGTTTTGATTATAGTTAAAGCCTCTTTCTATCACTCGGACCGCATACGGGAAATATGCACGGCAGCGGGAGTGGTGCTGCTTTACTTAGTACCCTATCCGCCCGATATCATTCCCATTAAGCATTACTTCGGCGAGTTGAAGAACTTCATCCGACAGATATAGAACGAACATCAAGGATTTATACGGGCTGATTTCCAATCGTTTCTAGAGGAATGTGTGACGATCGTCGGCCAGCGGAAAAAGAGTGCTAGGGGCCATTTCCATAACTGTTCGATCTCTATTAACGAGCCGCTAGACTAAAGCAACCAAATGGATGAATATCACGCTACTACGATGCCGTGTTCCGGCTCAAGATAGACTTAAATATCCCGCACCCATCGGCGAGCCACACCTTCCAGCACGCCCTGCTTAATAAAAAACTGAGCATCGTTGTCCTCATAAACAAGCTCGAGATCCAGCCCCCTCTCGATCGTCAGGTTATATACGAGCTCGAAGTATCGTTTCTAGGTAAGGCTTCTTACTTTGGAGCAATGCTATTTGCAGTATACCTCGACAGCATCGTCCCTCAGCCCATCCACGTAGAGGGGAAGTGGACGGGAAGGCGGGCTGACTAGGCTGCCGAGATCTGGTGACGCTCTATCCGACGCTACCACATAGTCTAGAATATGGTTATGGATGATCACGGGGACATAACCAGCAGAGTCTGATCCCGAATCCTGCCGCTTCCGCTTGCGACCCTGTTGTTCCTAGGCATACAGTCACGCCCGGATCTCCTCCGGGACATCGTCATGGGTATCCAGGTTATGGCCTTGCTGTACCTACCGGACAAGATCTCTTATATAATGATCAAGTAGTTTGTGGTATATCTTTCGGGTACGATCCTGCTAGCACTACTGTCCGTTGTCGTAAAGGGCGCCCGGGTATCTTATGAGCTAATAGACCCGCCTCCATGGGTCAACCTCGCTAGTAGCCTATTGCTCGGCATCCATCCGTGCACTCCGCTCCGTAAGGCTAATCGCGGTAGCGCCTCGTCCAGCGGGCCGGCCCGTGGAGAGACTCTCCACGTAATCTAGTTATACATAAACCTTCAACCGCTTACCGGCGCGGAGAAGCTAGCTCCATCCTTATAATCATCTCTCTATAACCAGCTAATCAATTTGTTATAACGTGGTTCATCAGTCAGCCGGCCGGACCAGTCAGCCGGACGTTTTTTCCCACGTCCACAACAACATCTAGTATTTCTCAACCACAACGCATTAAATCAATTATTGATTGTCGCTATCAGAATCTCCTAATGATTCGACATCTTTGGAACAGGTTCGTACATTATGCCCAGTCTTACCACACGCACCACAGCGTCTCCGAGTCGGCTGGGCTCTCTTTGATGGACCCCCCTCCTCATCCTCTCGAGGTGCTAGACGTTTACCTTTTTGTTTCTCTTCCAGCAAACCCTGAGATTCCTCTATACTAAGTGCCCCTCCAAGCTGCACACGCGACCTTCTAGCCCTCCGACGCTTAGCAAGTACTACATTCGCATCCTTAAGGGTACGAAGCCGATCAGTCAAAATAGTGATTGAGTGCGCCATTACCTGCGCACCCTTTGACAATTGCTCAACTGCAGCAATAATTGGTATCGGTAAGCTTCCTTTATAAGCAGAGATCCGGCTTTTAATAAAGTTAGACTACAAGACGGCTTATTATAGGTTAGAGGGCGTTTGCGACTACCAAGGTGGTGGTGTTGAAGGGTTGGCCATAGGAGGTATAGGCGTCCGTAAATACACATCAAGCTTTTTAATGACATAGTCTAGGTCCCATGGTAAAATTACAGCGCCTTAGAAAGCAGATCTAATGTTTTCCTCATTAAAAACCTTATTATAGGCCTGGTGGAAGGCAATAAAGAACTCAGACTTAGTAATGTAATTTATAGAGGCTCTAATAAATAGGTTGATTTCATCACCGTATGCGCATTTCAAAGGCGAATAAAGCACAATATCTAATAGCTGTAATAGATGCGACGAATGTGCAGGCATATTGACCGTTATAATATTATTCTACTTACAGTAATCGTCGAATTCGGCCGATAGATAGCTCTCATAGCCGTCGATAATGAGCATCCGGTAGACGCCCTTAGTTCGGTTCTTAGTATGTTTGTCGAAGTGTTTAATCCAGTCAAGACCCGTCTAATTATCCGTCCATCCATTAGCAGTGGGCTTAATAACCCAGTTGCCCGGAAAACCTGATTCCGTGGTCCAACTAGTAAGGTGATATACGCCCTTGACGATCACGAACGGAGGGATATACTACCCGCCCGAATTAATATATTCAATAACTATAGCCCATTTACAGTTGTCCGGCTGGACAGACTTTGCTTTGCTGCGTTGATCGGCGCGTGTTACCATTATTAACGCGGTGATTATGCCCATTATAAAGCCAGTCTCGTCGAAATTGTATAGGTCCTCCTCTTAGATTCCATACTTGGTTATCATGTTACGTAATAATATAAACCACTTTGAAATAACCTCTGGGTCTTCTTGAAGAGCCCTTTGATAATCATATGGACGATTAAACTTTGTTTTCAGAGCAGGCTGTGAGTCCACAAACCGCCTGGCCTATCGCTTGCCAACAGGCTCGGTATTATACGCTCGTAGTAGGAGATTGGCTATATCTTCCATACCGCCAAGGCGTAAAGGAAATCCTCTGGAATCCTGTTTAATAACGTATTGGAGAAGTGTTTTCTCTTTGATCGGATCGAGTTTATGTCGTTGGGGTTGAGTTTGTTTGCGTCGCGGTCGGTTGTTTATTCTATCGGCTAAGGTGCTCTTCGGGATACCGTAGGTCTTTGCGGTACGCGAAATGCTTAAGTTACTACCTCCAGCGTATGTTGATCGGATCGCTTCAATTGCAAGAATGACATTGTCTTCTTGGGTGTAGATTGGCATTATGGTTGTTGAGATTTTACGCGTCAAAGGTTTAAGTGGTTTGGACATAAGTGTATTTAGAAAAAAACGTCCGGCTGACTGATGAACCACGTTACTTAAAAATGCTTTATGATCTTATCTTAGGATCAATCGTTAGGAACCGACATAACGATTATCGTCGTACTAGTCTCGTAGGTTTTCTTCTTCAAAGCAACAATCCCGTCGACCTTAGACGAGAGCACCTCTTTTCAAAAATCGCTCGGGGCTATAACAAGGTTCTGTTCGGTTTATTCCACCGGTTTTCTACTGTTCAGGGTTAATTTCCATTACATTATATTAAGCAATTAACGCGGGGGCTGTTCATCGTAAGACTGGCCTGAGGCCCATCTGTGGTAGTCCAGGAATGGCAACGCCCAAAGGACGGGTGGAAGCTGACTGTGTGGGGAAGCGCTGTGATCCAATTCCCTGTCGGAATCGGAGATGTCTGGGTCTCCTCGATGATCATTTTCATCACCGCTACTGATCTCATATAGCCAGTCATCTCCGGTCATGGTCGCAGTCATTGGCTCGGGGGAACAAGGCACAGAGGGAAATGAAACGTGGTAAGCGCCCGGTGGCGGGCTATAGCCACTTTAAGTGAGGGTGGCAGTGTTGCATTAGTTCGGACTGGCTTTTGGGTGGGGCCCATGGCAAGGATAGAACATTCTAGATGAACTCCAAAGTCCATCTCGCAAGGCCCAAGACCATCCGAGGTGAGCCCACCTTCTGAAGCTGAGCGTGTAGGGAGGCCAGGGAGGCCAGGGAGGGTCACTAGATACGAACGCTCTCGTTGATGCGGGACCGGAGATTGCTATATCATCCGCCAAACCTCCTCCGCAGCCAACTGATGCATTTCACCGTTTTTTCATGCAATCACCATTCCTGGTTGATTCATGAAAGGTCCCTTTCCACGTGATGATACCGCTCGTTTGCTTCATCAAACTACTAGTGTATATGCTTCACCAATCACCTCCATCCCACCAAGTGTGGCTGTGATGCGGCAAACCTACAGCAGTACATCGCGAATCAGATTTGCAGGAGGCTCAGCCTGCTGTATCCAGCCACATGACGGTGACAACGGTCAATATCTCACAATAAGGGCCTGATCCCACGCAGGTTACGGATAAAGGGGCAGCTAACCCCGCTTTCCAAACTTCCAACTTGCTCGGTATCTTTCGGCAGTATCATCACCATTCTTGCTTGTTAACCATATCTTGATGTTTCCCAGGCGGCTCAGGCTGTTCGCGTTCGTACCCCATCAATAGCCGCTCTGTTTGCTTACTATCAGTAGTTAGAACGCCGTCTATGGGAGACGTCGTAAAATATACGGTCGGCTGGATATGCGCCCTGCCTACTGAGTTCAACGCGGCGAAAGCTTTCTTCGACGAGAAGCACCAAGACTGCCCTCCTGTCGCACATCACGACAAGAACAGCTATGCGCTGGGCAGGATCGGTAATCATAACGTCGTGGTCGCCGTCTTGCCTGACGGGGAGTATGGTACAACTTCGGCTGCTGTAGTGGCCCAAGGCATGCTGCACAGCTTCCCAAATGTTCGCATTGGGCTCATGGTTGGCATCGGCGGCGGCGCGCCCAGCCAGAAACACGATGTCTGGCTTGGCGATGTTGTTGTTAGTAGCCGTGACAGAGGGAAGGGCGGCGTCTTCCAGTACGATTATGGCAAATTGGTTCAAAACCAGGACATCTCCTTTGAGTACACGGATTTCTTAGACCAACCGCCGATGGCGCTGCGAACAGCTGTGAACGCTCTGAAGGGCCAATACGAGATGGAGGGACATCAGCTTAATGAGCACATTGAAAAAGCATTAGCAAGGTGGCCTCGCCTGCGAAAGAAATACGCGCGGCCCCCTCCGCACAGCGACAGGCTCTATCAATCCGATGTCCTTCATCCCAATCCAGCGGACGAATGCGATAGCGCGTGCGGCGATAGTCCAACCCACCTCGTATATCGGACTGAACGAGACGACCTTAACGATAATCCCGCCATCCACTATGGGTTGATTGCTAGTTCGAATCAACTGATGAAAAATGCCAGAATTAGGGATACCATGGCAAAAGAGAAGGGCGTCGTGTGTTTTGAGATGGAGGCGGCTGGTCTGATGAACCATTTCCCATGCCTGGTGGTCCGTGGGATCTGTGACTATTCCGACTCGCACAAGAACAAGGAATGGCAAGGGTTTGCGGCGATGACGGCGGCTGCTTATGCGACGGACCTTTTGCGTCAAATTCCGCTGAACAAGGTCGAGGCCGAGACACCAATCGGGGAGGTGTTGGGCCGAAGTTAGTATGGCAATCCGAGTTTGATTAGCATCGTCTAACTCGACGTAGTCCAGAAAGATCTCAGGTCTGTATATGACGTTGTGACTGGAACAAACACCGCTGTGACAGCCTTCAGAGACGATCAACATGTTCAGAAGCTTTATAGCTGGCTATCATCTGCAGACCCGTCGACCAACGTCACGAGAGCGAGAGAACGCCGTCACGCTGGCACTGGAAGTTGGCTGCTGGAAAGTGCCGCCTATTGTGAGTGGGTGGCTGGGAAACGCCAATATTTATGGCTCTATGGTCTTGCGGGATGTGGCAAGACAGTCCTGAGCACTACAGTTCTTGATCATCTTGAGGAAACAGGCGCGTACCTCACGTTAAAATTCTTTTTCGATTTCAACGACACGAGGAAGCAAACGCTGGAGGACTTGTTACGCTCATTAGCGTTCCAGTTGTATCACCCGGAAACAGAGGCCACGAAAATACTTGACAGACTGTTCACCTCTAGCGATGACGGCCGCCGACAGCCAGAGGTCAACGCTCTTTCGGCCTGTGTTGAGTCGATGCTGCAAAGCTCCCCTAAAGTCGCCGTCGTCCTCGATGCTCTAGATGAATGCACGACAAGAGATAAGCTTCTTTCTTGGGTTAGACGACTTTCTAGCAGCTCGAATACGAAGAAGACCAAGCTTATTGTGACTGGGCGGCCCGAAGCAGAGTTTCAACGCGAAATTCCTCGGCTATTCGGCGAAAATAACTGCAAGCTGCTCAGCAAGGAGGCTGTCAACGCCGACATACGCTCCTATGTCGACCACGAGCTTCATCAGCGGCCTGACTTCAAGGAGAAGAAAATACCTCACGATCTTTTAGATCAAATACGCAGCCAGGTTGGAGACGGAGCGGATGGGATGTAGGTGTACAAGGATACCATAATATGCTACCAAGCTCTGACATTTAATTTAGGTTTCGATGGGCGGCGTGTCAGTTAGACAGCCTTGCCAAATGTCTCCATCCTCATGCCATCAGAAAAGCTTTACGCAATTTGCCCCGGGATCTCAACGAAACGTACCAGCGCATGCTTTTGAGTATATCGCCCGAGCTCAAAGACGATGCGTTCCGTCTACTACAGTTTCTCGTCCATGCCAAACGACCTTTGACAGTATCGGAAGCTGTTGACGTGATTGCCACGCTGATGAAGAAAGGCCAACGAGAGTTTAACACCGAACGCAGACTGCTTCGTGACGACGACATACTGTGTTACTGTCCCAGTTTGGTATTAATCGCTGAGGTCAAGCGAGACGAGGCAACAGTAAGAGAAGTACAGCTTGCCCACTTTTCAGTCAAGGAATACCTGGTGGACCGAAGCCAGTTCAACCTTGAGATGGCCAGTAGCGCAATCGCGAGGACCTGCCTCACCTATATTAAAAGCATTGACTGTAGATTCCAGACCATGAAATCGACCTTCCCTCTGGCACGGTATGCTGCGGAGGTTATACTGGTACATGCCCAGTTGGCAGAATCGTCCCATGAGACTTTTGATGATATAATAACTTTTTTCCAAGAAGAGACTACTTTTAGAAGATGGGGCTACCTCTATCAGCCTGATAGGCCTTGGCAGAATGAGCCTGGGTTCCCCGAAGCAGGATGTCTGTATTATACCTGTCTCGGTGGACTCTTAAGGGTATCCAGATACCTCATTGACAAAGGCGCAGACGTCAACGCACAGGGCGGCAGGTACGGCAACGCTCTCCAGGCTGCCTCTGAAGGAGGCCATCGAGAGATTGTACAGCTTCTCCTCGAGAAAGGCGCAGACGTCAACGCACGGGGCGGCAGGTACGGCAACGCTCTCCAGGCTGCCTCTTCTGGAGGCCATAAAGAGATTATACAGCTTCTCCTCGACAAAGGCGCAGACGTCAACGCACAGGGCGGCAGGTACGGCAACGCTCTCCAGGCTGCCTCTGAAGGAGGCCATCGAGAGATCGTACAGCTTCTCCTCGAGAAAGGCGCAGACGTCAACGCACAGGGCGGCAACTATGGCAACGCTCTCTACGCTGCCTGTTGTAGACGCCATCAAAAGATCGTACAGCTTCTCCTCGAGAAAGGCGCAAATGTCAACGCACATGGCGGCTTATACGGCAACGTTCTCTACGCTGCCTCTTCTAGAGGCCATCAAGAGATCGTACAGCTTCTCCTCGAGAAAGGCGCAGACGTTAACGCACAGGGCGGCCACTACGGCAACGCTCTCCAGGCTGCCTCTTCTAGAGGCCATCAAGAGATCGTACAGCTCCTCCTCGACAAAGGCGCAGACGTCAACGCACAGGGCGGCAGGTACGGCAACGCTCTCCAGGCTGCCTCTGAAGGAGGCCATCGAGAGATCGTACAGCTTCTCCTCGAGAAAGGCGCAGACGTCAACGCACAGGGCGGCAGGTACGGCAACGCTCTCCAGGCTGCCTCTGAAGGAGGCCATCGAGAGATCGTACAGCTTCTCCTCGAGAAAGGCGCAGACGTCAACGCACAGGGCGGCAACTATGGCAACGCTCTCTACGCTGCCTGTTGTAGACGCCATCAAAAGATCGTACAGCTTCTCCTCGAGAAAGGCGCAAATGTCAACGCGCAGGGCGGCCACTATAGCAACGCTCTCCAGGCTGCCTCTAAAGGAGGCCATCAAGAGATCGTACAACTTCTCCTCGAGAAAGGCGCAAATGTCAACGCGCAGGGCGGCTACTACGGCAACGCTCTCTACGCTGCCTCTAAAGGAGGCCATCAAGAGATTGTACAGCTCCTTGTCGATAAAGGGGCAAGTAGATGAGACAAGTACTGTTAAAAACTAGATACCAAGGTAGTGACCATTGTTCTGGAGGATGATGACTGTAAATTTACTCCGAGGCTGGTTTGGCAGGGGTCTTAAGCTGACTGCACAGCCTGAAGATACTGTCTTCAGCCCAGTTTTCTCATTCGACGCGGGCGTGGGAATGGAGCCTCCGTGTGAAATGATTCACACCATGCTTTGATTCTTGATATCTTCGATAAGAGCTTAAAGTTTTGAAGTACTTCGGTAGCCCAACGTAGCCACGTTTACCTACAAGCAACAGAACGCTTATGGTCAGGCAAACGCCACTTCAAATCCTTCAGAACCTTTCTATAAAAAGCATGGCTTCGTTTCTCTACTATGCTTCAGGTGATGACGACTATACGGCGGCGCAGTGCTACTATAGCAAAATGGTTCTTCCCAAACGCCTACTCGCAGAAAATGCAGTTGGAATTTATAGCGGAGGGCACGGAATTGAGTATAGATATAGAGGCCAAAATTGGAATCAAGGTCGCCCGAATATTTGTTACGGCCAGCTAGTCGTAGGGGTAGTTTGCAGAAGTTGAGGCTGCGGAACTGGTAACAGTAATCGTAGTCGTGGAATAGTTTCAAGGAAACTATGTCTGTCAATCGTAAGGGTAGGTAAGGCTTCGGTGATCAATCGTAGTCTTGTCAAGGTAGTAGCTGAAAGCGGATGTTAATCCTGATACGAAGTTAATTGCTGAAGAAGCTATGGAAAGTCTGTCCTAGAGCCCAGCTCGAGTCCATCCTTATATACAAGTCCGATCCTAACTGAGCAGTGCTGAACAGTCCACTTTGTCTGGATATGTTGGATATGCCGAATATCCAACATATCCTTGACTCGGTTGGATATGTCGCATATCCAACATATCCTTATCCCTTATCATATCTCTTATCATCACGTGACTTGTACCATAGTTCTTCCGTTCCTGGGGTTTCCCCAATGTTCCGTCCCGTCCTGCATATATGATGCGCCGTAGCCGCTAGGCGTCAGCGGGGCACGCCCTGGTCTTCATGTTGGGTCGTAACAATATTATTCGGACGGAGAGCCAATCCAGTATAATAGATAGTTAGACAGCCAATACATAATGCACCGGATGCCCTCAGAAGGTAAGTTAAAGTATACCTTATCGTCGGCCGCACTGTAAAGATGCTCCACTATGTCTCCACTAAGCCCACTACTTAACGAGACTTATGTCGACGCATCGTAATTACATTACCGTCTGAAATCCGCGCGAAGCTGCGGATAGCATCGGACTTATCGGTCGTTTAAAGCTGACCGTCATCAGATTTAGATATTTAGCAAGTGGAGACACCTGAGCCAAAATCTGCTCTTAAGGTATTACTGCAGTGATGTTACGAGCAGGTCAAGGCAACCAACTGTGGCACAAAGCAAAAGCTTCGATAATGATGACTCCGCATCATTTTCCCTTGTTCTGCATTATATAGCTACTCCATGACAGGACCAACTGTTTAGGCCGTAACAAGTGATCGGCGTAATTAACACCTTACGATGTGCTGATTCAAGTTAACGACTTCTAAGAGGCCGTTTTGGCTTTTTTTAGCTAGTTAAAATAAAGATCCGCCGTACTATTAACTAGTCTTGTAGGTAATGGTCCTCTTCGAAACTATCGACTAGTCGAACACCTATACCACGTTAATAAACTTACTCTTCGGCTCATAACCCTAACATACAGACAACGATGAATCCGACTCAGATTCATTGAAATGCCCATAGAAATAGAAATGGGTCCCTAAAGACAAGGGGTCAGATTCATTGAAACGACAGGGGGTCAGCTTCATTGAGTTTTTCTTATCTAAAATAGACGATATAGACATGCATCGAAAGCTGAGAATTAGGCGAGCTCAGAAATGATCTTACCTTTATTATAAACCCAGTATTCACCTCTATATGTATAGATTCGTGATTGACGGTTTGATAGGGTCAAGATGGCTCGTGCGTCGAACCTAACATACTGGCAACTACAAACACCTACTAGGTGATGGTTGAAATCCTCACCAAATGGAAAAGTGGGGGGTGACATGCATGGGGTAGGTGTTGGTTGAATGTTAGGGGGGTAGGTGTTGATTGAAAGAACTCAGCTGATTCTAGAGTAAAACGTTAGCTTTAAGTTGCAAAATATAACATAAGTATAGGATATGAAGTATGCCAATTTTGGAAAGAAAACTACATTAGATTAATTTATAAGTAATTTTATTGCTGAAGCTGTAGTTTTGATGTGGTGTTCGCCGCTCCACCCCCCCGCATCTATATGATTGGACCACATCTCTACTTCCCCCCATGGACGGCTGGCCCGTGCGCTGAAGAGGATTCCACATTTGGGAAGTTGATGGGTCGCACCCACACGTTACTATGGTTACCCCATGTCGTAGAAAACATTCATAGAACAAGAAGTATAAGTTAGTATAACTAACGTGGTTCATCAGTCAGCCGGCCGGACCAGTCAGCCGGACGTTTTTTCTAAACACACTTATGTCCAAACCACTTAAACCTTTGACGCGTAAAATCTCAACAACCATAATGCCAATCTACACCCAAGAAGACAAAGTCATTCTTGCGATTGAAGCGATCCGATCGACACGCGCTGCAGGTAGTAACTTGAGCATTTCGCGTGCCGCAAAGACCTACGGTATTCCGAAGAGCACCTTAGCCGATAGAATGAACAACCGACCGCGACGCGAACAAACTCAACCCCAACGACATAAACTCGATCCGATCGAAGAGAAAACACTTCTCCAATACGTTATTGAACAGGATTCCAGAGGATTTCCTTTGCGCCTTGGCGGTGTGGAAGATATGGCCAATCTCCTGCTGCGAGCGCGTAATGCCGAGCCTGTTGGCAAGCGATGGGCCAGGCGGTTTATGGACTCACAGCCTGCTCTGAAAACAAAGTTTAATCGTCTATACGATTATCAAAGGGCTCTTCAAGAAGACCCAGAGGTTATTTCAAAGTGGTTTGTGTTGTTACGCAACATGATGACCAAGTATGGAATCCAAGAGGAGGACCTATACAATTTCGACGAGACTGGCTTCATGATGGGCATGATCACCGCGTCAATAGTGGTAACACACGCCGATCGACGCGGCAAAGCAAAGCCTGTCCAGCCGGGTAACCGTGAATGGGCTACAGTCATTGAATGTATCAATTCGGGCGGGTGGTGCATCCCTCCGTTCGTGATCGTCAAGGGCGTATATCACCTTGCCAGTTGGACCACAGAATCAGGTTTTCCGAGCAACTGGGTCATCAAGCCCACTGCTAATGGATGGACGGATAATCAGACGGGTCTTGACTGGATTAAACACTTCGACAAACATACTAAGAACCGAACTAAGGGCGTCTACCGGATGCTCATTATCGACGGCCATGAGAGCCATTTATCGGCCGAATTCGACGATTACTGCAAGCAGAACAATATTGTAACGGTCAGTATGCCTGCACATTCGTCGCATCTATTACAGCCATTGGATATTGCGCTTTATTCGCCTTTGAAACGCGCATACGGTGATAAAATCAACCTATTTATCAGAGCCTCCATAATCCACATCACCAAGTCGGAGTTCTTTATTGCCTTCTACCAGGCCCACAACAAAGTTTTTAATGAAGAAAACATTAGGGCTGCTTTTCAAGGCGCTGAAGTTTCACCATAGAACCTAGAGCATGTCATTGAAAAGCTTGATGTACGTTTACGGATGCCTATACCTCCTGTGGCCAGCCCTTCAACACCACCACCTTGGCAGTCGCAAACGCCCTCTAACCCACAACAAGCCGTCTCGCAGTCCAACTTTATCAAAAGCCGGATCTCTGCTCATAAAGGAAGCTCACCGACACCAATTATTGCTGCAGTTGAGCAATTGTCAAAGGGTGCGCAGGCAATGGCGCACTCAATCACTATTTTGACTGATCGGCTTCGTACCCTTGAGGATGCGAATGTAGCACTTGCTAAGCGTCGGAGGGCTAAAAGGTCGCGTGTGCAGCTTAGAGGGGCACTTAGTATAGAGGAATCTCAGGGTTTGCTGGAAGAGAAACAAAAAGGTAAACGTCCAGCACCTCGAGAGGATGAGGAGGGGGGTCCATCAAAGAGAGCCCAGCCGACTCGGAGACGCTGTGGTGCGTGTGGTAAGACTGGGCATAATGCACGAACCTGTTCCAAAGATGTCGAATTATCAGGAGATTCTGATAGCGATAACCAATAATTGATTTAATGCGTTGTGGTTGAGAAATACTAGATGTTGTTGTGGACGTGGGAAAAAACGTCCGGCTGACTGGTCCGGCCGGCTGACTGATGAACCACGTTATCGACGATAGGAATAGATATTTCAATCTAAAGATAATCGTTACGACGCCATCAATAATGGAACCATTTATGGTTGCTGAGTCGTTTTGTCTGCTTATTTGCACATCTTGTCAGTTTGCAGTAGTTGCTAACGAGTCGGCCGCACATTTGAGAACGCGTCATTCGTCTATTCAACCTAAAGAGAGATGTGCTATTGTCTGCAAGATCGAGCAAGAGACGACAGTGTATAAAACACAGTCTGATGTTGCAGGGCTAGAGCATCCCAGCCCACATATAGCGGCAATCCCATACATCATAGCGCCACGTAACGACGGCATACGATGCGATACGTGCTCGTATGTATGCATCCGGCTGCAGACTATGCAGCAGCACTGTCGAGAGAAACATGAGTGGGTGAATGAGTGGAAGAAGGGGGGCGACGTGAGCAAGAAAAGCCAGCAGCCCCGACGGCTGCCATGGATAATAGGCGTCCAATGCCAACGCTTCTTCCCAAGCCGAGCCGGCAGCCAGTGGTTTGAGGTGGCCCGGGGATAGACGGCCGATGAGTCTCTGTAAGCCGCTCCGAACAGACGCCCGGCGTAGCAGGCAATGGACCGCGTTCGAGATCTCCGGGAAGTCTAAGTAGAACGTGTGAAGACCAGCCACGACGAGCTGATCCGCGTCGCCAACGAAAAGCTGGAGCCCAGCCCATGGCTAGCCCGCGTAGGGTGGGCGGTGCACTTACAAGGGCTCAGTGCCAGCGCACTATTCAACACCATAGGACCCATCAATGAAGATGAGGTCGTGCTCCAGGCGATGTGGGCGACGGTCGACAGCGTGCTAGACCAGGCTCGAGCGACGTCTGCGCCCAACGCCGTCGGGCTGGCCGTGCTGTTCGAGGCGCAGCGTACAGAAGCGTACGTCAAACCAAGGAGGCTGTTTGATAACCGCATGGAGGATGATACGTGGGCGAGATATAAGGGCGTGTGGCGATGTCTCTTGGGTGTCTGGTTCTGCACACAGGAAATGGACGACGATAAGCGGCCACTGTATAAACTGACGTCGTTATAGGGAGAAGCGTGGGACTCGTTCGAGCAGATGGCGGAAGCAGCCAGCACGGGGACGGGGCACCAAACGCCGGAGAAGCTGGAACGCGCAGCGCTTGACATGCTTATCAGCATGCTGGACCACTAGCTGAAGGGCGGAGACTATAGCAGTGCTTTTCTTAGCGCACTCGCGGTGATGGGTATTGCCGAGGATGGCGGCTGGGTTCAGATCATAGACTATATAACGAAGTACTTAGCCGTTATTAAGGTAGCGCGTATGCTAGTGATCTATTAGGTATATACCGAGCGGCATGACGAGGTTGCCGAGCTAGAAAGATCTCTAGGGAAGGATGAAGTAGAGAACGCGGCGTAGAGCTTGTTCTAGTATATGCGGGCGAAGATACGGCGGTTTATAACGTGCACGACGGGCGAGAAGGACGTAGAGCCGACGCCGATGGACTGGATTCTCGAGATGCGGACGTACGGTATGTATATCTAATACAACATAGCAGCGGCGGGTGTCATGGACTGGGTGGGCGATCGCGTATCATATAGACGGGTACGGTTCACGATAGGGCAGCTATCAGACGCACTGCACGAGCTGGTCCGAGAGACGCGGGAGCTACTCGTAGAGCTAACGGCGACGGAGGATTCAGGTTTGCCAGACGGTCCCGAAAGTAACGTGCGGTCCTAGCTGCCAGCCATCCCATGGTCATCGATCGAAAACGACCATAGCGAGACGAAGCCGGGCTACTCATTTCTCGCCGACGACCGCAATGGTTAGGTTTCTAGCGGGGACGGCTAGCTATTCATACGGCTAGCGCAGTCACCCGCCGCAGCAGAGCGCTAGGGACTAAGCAGCACAAGCAACGGTTATAGGTCAACAGACCGACCGTTCCAGCCGTCAGCTATACAGGAGTTCGAGAGGACATTTGAACAACTCCGCGAGCGACTGTGGATACTTCTACATATGCTCGGCGGGCAGCCGGCGCGGGCGAGCGAGCTTATAGGTCTACGGACGGTCAATACGGTCAACGGGAGCGTCCGCAACATACTAGTACATAATAAGATGTTATGCTTCGTCACGGCGTACCATAAAGGGTACCGGACGACAGGCCAGGCGAAGGTGATCCACCGCTATCTGCCGAGGGAGGTCGGCGAGCTCGTCATATGGTATCTGTGGCTCATCTTGCCATTCTGGCAGGAGGTGCAGGGCATCATGTACGAGGCCAGCGGATACAGCGCGTTCTTATGGGCAGACGACATTATTCGGCAGATGGACCCGGAAGAAAGCAGGACGGCAGCAGTGTTGGAAGAACGGAGGGATAACACAAACGTCAGGGATAGCAACAATCGCAGTACAAATACAGACGAGGCAGGGGATGAGAGCACATGCGTAGGCGACTGGACGTAGAAAGATGAGCGAACGTGGACGACAGACAGGGCGCGGCGGATTATACAGCGCACCAGCATGAGGCTACTGGGATGCCAGGTCAACGTAAGTATATGGCGGCACATAGCCATCGGTATTGCCAACCGCTACTTGAACGAGTCGTTTAGCCGGCCGGGTGGAGACGACGAAGGCTTGGGGTCGGACGAGGGAATAGACAAGGTCGAGGATAGCCCGTAGGACTTACAGGCGGGACATAGTACGCGGCTAGCGGGCATGATCTACGCACGAGAGCTCATGCAGTTCGGCAGCGGTCTCGCGGCGAGGCAATAACAGTTCCGCAGAGTTAGCCGTCAGTGGCACAGGTTTCTAGGGTTCGGCGCCGAGGATTCGGAGTCGAAATGGGACTCCGCGGGATATAAGAGGAAAAAGACGGAGGCGTACGAAGGGCCACGGCTCGAGGCGAGGCTCCGACGGTTCGAGAAGCTAAGGAGGATAGACTTGGAGGGCCAGCTACGGCAGATGACGGGGGACGACTCGGCGGGGTTCCGCGGAAACCAGAGAGAAGCGGTGCTCGCCATCGCTAGCGGGTATACGCCGATCGTGCAGGTGATGGGGACGGGCGGCGGCAAGAGCGTCTCGTTCATGTTGCCGGCGTTCTGCTCGCCGGACGGGGTGACGGTGGTTGTGACGCCGCTGGTAGCGCTGCGGACGGATCTGCACAGGCGATGCGTCAAGGCGGGGATCACATCGCACGTGTGGCAGAGCCGGAAGAACAACCAGGCGGCGTCCATCATCTTCGTCACGGTCGAGTCAGCCGTTACAAAGGGGTTCAGAGACTTCATCGCACGGCTAGAAGGGAGGCAGGCGCTAGACCGCGTCGTTATAGACGAGTGCCATGTCGTACTAGAGGGTTCACGGAGCTTCCGGCCACGGCTCAGCGAGCTCGGGGAGGCGATTCGCGAGTTCGGTGTACAAACGATATGCTTAACGGCGACGCTCGCGCCAAGGGACGAAGCAGCATTCTTCCACGCGATGCGACTAGAGGCAAGTCGTGTCAGCATGTTCCGAACAGCGACGACGCGCAAGAACATAGGATATTCCGTCGTCATAGCAAGCGACAGGATCAGTGACGAGGACGACGGTGGCGCAGAACAAGACGAAGATGACGCGGCGCTCAAGACACTTGACACGGTTGAGGCCGAGGTATGCCGGGTAGCAGTCCAGTGGGTACGTGAGCTTCTGGCCAGCGGCGGGCGAGGCAAGGCGGTGGTATACGCCACGTCAATCGAGCGGGTAGAGCGTTTAGGATCAGTGCTGGGGTGCGCCACGTTCTTCAGCGACGTCGACTCGACAGAGGGCAAGGCGGCTCGGCTCGAGGCGTGGCGTCGAAGCAACGGGGCCGAGGGCGTCGTAGTGGCGACGAACGCATTGGGACTGGGCATCGATATCCCGGACGTGCGGCTCGTGATCCACGCCGACATGCCAACGGGACTCCGCCGATTCGTGCAGGAGAGCGGGCGAGCGGGGCGCGACGGGCAGCCGAGCGCATCAGTCGTAGTGCGCCGCAGCGGCAACAGCAGCGGATCGCAACAGGAGGCGGCAATAGAAGAGTATCTCGCCGGCGACGAATGCAGACGGGTCGTTCTCGACCGAGTGATGGACGGGAGAAGTAACCGTTCCGGCTGTGAGGAGGACGAAGAAGTATGCGACGTCTGCCGCGGGGGCGATCCAGGGTTAGGGTTAGGGTTCGTTCTCGACCGTAGTAGCGAGGACGGCGTAGCAGAAGATAGCGAAGGAGGCCGGGCGGCGTTCCATATGCTGGACAGGTATGCGAAGCTGGACCAATGGAGAGTCAGGGTGGAGAAGATGGGCGAGGCTGGCGAAATAGAAGCATTTCTCGCGCAGCTTCACGGGCGACGCAGGAGGTGCGCGTTATGTTTCGGGGTAAGGGACGACGAGAGGCATACGTTTGCTAGATGCCCGAGGAGGGCAGAGACGGAGTGGATACGGGTACAGCAAGGTATGAGGACTGCCGAGCGGGAGATATTCGGTAGGAGGCGTCTCGAGCTGTTCTCCGGCTGCTTCTACTGCGGGCTACCGCAGGAGTTTTTGAGCGGTGGGAAGGCGAGGCAGAGGACGGCGGGCGGTTTCACCAGGTAGAGGGACAAGCGTGCCAACTAGGAAGTATACTAGTAGAAGTGTTTGCGGCCAGTATAGCAAGACTTCCAGAGGTGGTATGGAGCGGCGTGTTCGAGGAGCAGATGGCTGCTGAAGGGGTGCAGATTATAGAAGATGGAAGAAAGGGTTGGGATGCGTTTTATGTGTGGCTGGGAGGGCGAATTCTGTGGGAGGAGTTGAGAGCAGCCGTTTATGTAGATAACTAGTCTTATTCGCAGCCGATTCGAGTAGAATCGGCCCGCCAAACCGCGCGACCTGGTCCGAGCGTTGGAGCCGTATCGGTTGGAGCCGGGACGGAGCGGTGATTGGCCGGCGCGTAACCCCAACCGGAGACTTGGGGTTAGCTTTTACCAGGGTTCGAGAAAGGGGGGCAGGGCAGTCGAAGAAGAGAGGGGGAAAGCGACGGGAAGGAAGGACGACTCGTTGCTTTCCTGCCACAAGGGAAGGGAAAGGGCCAGAGGCAGTGACCCAGCATGGATAGCTTTGTCGAGATGAACGAGGAGCATCGTATGCTCATCTGCCGCCAATGTAAGGCGGCCGTCCGGCCGGGCGGCAGCAGTATCGAGTCGCACTTCCGCCACGAGCACCAGCTGAAAGGCGAGAGCCTCAGAGATATTAGAGACTATTACAGCTGCTCGGACTTGGCCGATCCTAAGGTCGATACGCTTCCCGTCGACGGGAGCTCGGCCGTCGCACAGCTCGATGTCCTCCCGGGCTACAGCTGCTCCGCGTGCCGCTATCTCACAACGGCGGGAGACAACATTACACGCCATTAGAGGGAGACCGGGCATACGGCAACCGGGCCCAAGTCGACGAAGGTTCGACTACAGACGTAGATACGCGGGAAGTATGCGCGGTACTAGATCGTCCGCAGCAACGAGGCCGACGCGGGGCCCGACTCGGCCAGCAGCGCCGGGAACGAGACGATGGAGCTACTGATGGCCCAGTGCACGGCTGAACTGGAGGCCGAGGATGCCGAGCGACTACGGACGGGCGATCTGAAAGAAGAGATGGACCGGGACTCGTCGTGGGTAAAGAGGGTGCGATAGGTCAAGCATTTCGGGTCTCGGGATCGTCTCGGCATATTCGAAGCTGCCGAATAGATACGGGCGAAGAGCATGCGGGCGGGACGAGGCTGGGAAGAAGACGAAGAGGCCGTGCGAGAACGGTCGGCGTTGCTGCGTCTCGGAGAGAGCTTCGACCGCGAGGTGGAACGGTGCGGATGGCGTCTGGACAGCGTGCCGGCCGAGACGCTCCAATGGCTCGCGAGCATCGTGAGCACCAGCCCCAGCGGGATGCCATTCGGGCTCAAGGGCAAGGAGGCGTCGATGGCCAAGTACCGGTCCGTGGGGCACCGGTATCTGGGATTCTGCTGGCGGGCGCACCATATCGGAAGGGACGAGGCGCTAGAGCGATGGGCCATCCGCTTCACGGAGGAGCAGTGGAGCTTGCTGTGCGACGTGGTAGCCGAGCTGGAGAGGAGCGGGATCGCCAGCAGCCAGGCCAGCGGGTTCCGCAGCGAGCAGGACAGCGACGACGACGACGACGCGGGCGAGGCCAGCGCCGACGACGACGGGGCGGGGGACGAGGGCAGCCGTGGCGGGAACGGGAACGAGAACGAGACGCTCGACCGGGCCATCTTCTGCTTCATGGTGGCCTCGATCAAGACCCGGGTCGGCGGGCACGTATACGCAAGCTCGCTGCTGTGCTTTTGTGCAGCGCTAGGGATCCGATCTCGTCCGCTCGGGTATACCGAGCCGCACTTGTATACGGGCATGCTGGCAGCCATCTTGTGGTGGTCCCGGCTCTTCTTCTTGGAGGCGGCGTTCGAGGACCAGCCACGGGACCAGGACGAGGTCGGGGTTCCGGCAGTACTTGCGTTCCGGGACCAACATGCCGCTTGGATGTGTGTGGGCGCGCACATAGTCGCCAGCACCATCATCGGATGGATGGCGCTCGGGAAAGGCTGGCGGATGCGGATGGGCGGGCAGCCATCGGTACGTTGGGCGGATGACGGCGAGTCGCTGTTCTATAACGGCGAGCGCATCGTCGTCCGGGACTTCACGCGGGCGCTCCGGGACCAGGTCGTCGACGCACGGAAGCTGCTCGGCGCACTGTGCGGGGGGGACTAGGAGCTGATTAAGACGCGTATCAAGCTGGGACGGCTCGTCGATAGCATGGTGCGGCTCGGGGCTGGCCAGTCATTCGCAACGAAGGCGGAGAACGACTGGCTGGAGCCCGGACCGGCGGTGGTGATGAGGCAGCTCGGGGCGTCGATATGGGACCCGAGAAAGCAACAGGTCAAGCGAGAGGGGGTTCGGCAGTGGCTACGACGGCTGAAGATGTTCCGGGAGGTGCTGATGGTGCTCGTCCACGCATGGGGCGGGCTGCCCGGCCGAGGGCCCGAGGTGGCGACGCTGCGGCACTGCGACTCGTGGCAGCTTATCCGCAACATCTTCGTGCTCGACGGGCAAGTGATGATCGTGACGGACCGAGATAAGATGAAGGCGATCCGGGATAACTCGCGCAAGGTAGCCCGGTTCGTCCCCGACGTAATCGGGCAGATAGTAATAGCGTACATCGCGTGGATCATCCCGGCGGAGCGGGCGCTCCGGCGCAAGGCCTGACAGTCATTGTTTGCGTCGACAGCCTGCCGACGATTAAATTTGTATGGGAGAAATTTCGGCGCTAGCAGGTCATGGGGGTTGCGACGATTGGGATCAACGTCTGCCGACGATTAGCGGTCTGGGCGCTACACGTGTCGCGGCGAGTTCAAAACAGGTAAGCTTGTCAAAGGATCAACTACGAGCCGATTGATGTCAACAGTAATACGTTTATATGTAAGTACGGTCGCTTTGAAGCCAGTCTGCTTTTCGGTCGGTTTTTTGATGGTCGTTGAAAGACAGGGTATGTAAGCACGGACCATCTCGTCATAGCCAACCAGGTCGCATTCTTGACTTACAAAGTTTAACAGTAGCCGTAGCAACATGTCTCATTCAACGGCATTTAACTTGATTTGTTATCAAAGGATAAAGAGGGTGAAAGTAAGTACTGCGACTATAGGATAGATGGCTAGCTTAGAAGATTCAAGTACGGCATTTCCAATTTTGAGTGTGTTTACAATGGACTACTTTATGTACGAACCAGAACTACGGCTTCTCTACTGCCGTACATGCCAGACCGCAGTTACACGGAAACAAATTAAAGTACATCTTCGTAACAGTCCGCACACTCTCAGCGGTCAGGAGATCAGAGAGATAGAAGCGTAAGCATTAGGTCATATCATCTTCCGTAATCAACAAGAGGTCCACGACGGTCTACCATCCAGGCCAGACGATACACCGGCCATCGTAGCGTTAGGTCCGCCAGGTATAGGTAGTTTTCGGTACGAGTTCGTAGTCAAAAATAGTACGTTACCGCCCGACTATCGATACGTAGGTAGAGACCGGCGGCGGATCCGAGAACATCTCAGGGTCAAGCATGGCTAGGACTTGGGACTCAAGGGTGGACGTCGCTCTACTACCACGGCGGAGGAGGAACGAAGTATCAGTCCGTGGAGGACGGGCGTCCATCACCAGCGACTATTCACAAGCGGACTCGGGAGCGAGCTGTTCGAGGTGGCAAGGGGGCTACGTCTTGAACAAGCAAGGGTGCAAGAGGACGAGCCCCACGTCCGACTCCAGCGGGCCATCGAGGCGTTCCAGAACAAGGGCGACGATATCCGAAGTCGAGAGGCGGAGCGCATCGACGAAGAGGACAACGTCAACGCGCCCAACCCGTGGCTTCGTCGGCTCGGTTCCGCTCTTCACTTAAAGGCGTTCAGCGGGAGAAAGGATTTCTTGAGGGACTTGACCGCCATGGAATGCGACGTCGACCCCGACGACCCAGACAAGTCCGACAACGCCCAACTGCGGTTCGTGCACATGGCATTCGATCGGCTGGTCGACCACGCCAAGGCCGTCATCACCCCCAGCGTGGTCACTTGGAATGCTCTGTTCGAAGTGAACCGTACCGAGCTGTCGAAAGAGAGGACGAAGCCGTTCCACTTCCGGTTTAAGCCCGAAACACAGAGGAGGTACGGACTCGTGGTCAAGCAGCTGCTCGCTTACTTCGTACGCTGCATGTCTCTCGATAACGAGGCGGATCGACCACCGTTCAAGCTTAGCACGAGGCAGCAGACTGCGTATAATGCCGTGATGGACCATGTAGACGATCTGGCCGAGGCTTGGAACGAGGGCGGCCGTGACCCGGACGCACCCGGTATCGCCGGGCTTCTCGACGGGCTCGAAACGGCCGTTCTCGAGTTGTACATCTCCGTTCTCAACTACTTCACCAAGGACTCCGAGTACGACAACGTTCTCGTCAGCTTCTTGACCGTTCTCAGCATACAGGCGGACGGGGCGTGGGAAGGGTACGGTAGGTTCACGCCGAAGCTCTCCGCTATCATGGCGATCTCCCGGCTCTACATCGTCAAACATACGGTGGACCAGCGAGCTAAGGCGGTAAAGCAAAAGATACGGCAGGGCCAAAGCCAGGAGGAGGCCGAAGATAATAGCCCGAGCCATTTTACACTTATATCGGATATAACCCGGCGGTTCATAGTCGGCGGGGGCAAGGGCTAGGAGACGACGCCGACGCAATTCATCATCCGGCTCCGTAACTTCGGCATAGCCATACAGAATAATACGGCTATGCACGGCTCGGTATACTGGGATAGGAGTAAGGAGGAGCTTTATTATAAAGGTACCCGTCTCGGCGTTCTTAACGTCCAGGCGATAATACGAGTCGGGGTCCGGCAGCTAGAGACGGTGCTCTATAAGGACTTACTATTCTTCAGCGCGTTCTCCGAACAGTCGGCGGCCGAACTGGGGCTGCCGGCGATCCCGTGGGCCGAGCTCTTGGACAACGCGGCGGACGAAACGGTCG